GCTGTAGAAGGGGGAGAGGCTTCCGATCTTGACAGCGAGGCCGAGCTTGAAGCTGAGCTGAATGGCGAGATCGGTGTGAGGGGTCAGATTTTTCCTTCGTCCCATGGTGTTTTGAGTCATGAGGATTGCAGCCCCTTAGAAGTCTTCCAAGAGTGTGACGAAACCGCTGTCGACGAGCTTGGCGGTATGTCGTTAGAAGCTTTTGCTGAGCAATCATGGAGAAGCAAGGATTTCAGCTTTGAGGTTGCCGAAAAGATCGTGCGCATGACATGTCTACAGGCCCAGGCTTCCAGGAAGCGGAGAATCATGGGGGGTTCGCCTTCAGTAGCTGTTGGAGCATATGCACACGGGAGTCACTATGGGATCGTCAGGAAATCCTTCGAGTACCCCAATGTGGTCACGTATCTCAACAGCTTTATGCGACATCATGGCGCCTCGGGCTCCTGGTCCTCTCTTCAGCTTAACTGGGACTGTCATGTCGGACCCCATAGAGATGCCCAAAATCAGGTGAATACCATGAACTGGACTATGTCTCTCGGTGACTTCACCGGAGGACGCTTGTGGTTGGGTGACGTTTCTCAAGACAGTCAGGGACACGACTTGCCCGAAGTTCCCCTCGCCAACAATGTGTCAGCCCCAGGTGAAGTGGTGAACACCAAGAATCAGATCTTCTCCTTCGATCCCAAGAGAAAACATGCTGTTGAAGCTTGGACAGGACATAGGGCTAGCATCACCGCATATACCACCAGGGGCATTGGTCTTCTTTCACGAAAAGAAAGGGATATGTTGAGGTCGTTGGCCTTTCCTGTGAGTCCTGATCGCGAAGCTCAGAAGTATAGCAAAGAGCACCATCGATCCAACGAGCCTTGGAATCGAGAACGAAATGTTCGTCCCAAGAAGAGCATCCGGAGAAGTTTGTGGAAGGGAGCTTGTAGAGCTAGCGCGCTCTTCACTCTCGGCCTAGCTACAGCCTCATCGTTCCTATCCGAGGCCTATCCACAAGGGCATCAACCCGATCATGCCTCAGTCTTCGAGATTGGAGGACAGGAGCTTACTTGCGACCTTGCGGTCGCTGGGAGCACAGTTGTGGAACCATTGACGTGGGATCAGTTCCTTGCAGACGGGCAGGTTACCCGAGTGTGTGAGACCATCACAGCTCTTCGTCCTCATGTGGTATGGATTCAAGGTCAGGGAAGGGGAACTGGTGCGGAACAGTTGCTCATGCAGACAGCCGAACACCAAGTGCGATGTGGAGGATTGTTTGTTTACCAAGACAACCCTCAAGCAAGCGTATGGAAAGCCCCGCAATTCGAAGCCCTTCTTGCTAGATATCCCTATGACTTCAAGGAGCTTGATGATGATCGTGTCCTTCGACTCGGAGTACGACCTGAACAAACCAGTGACGACCGTCAGAAGCCCGAGGTTCTTGTTGCTTCGCATGAGGAAGGGGCCAGACAAGCAAGGCGCAGTAGACCAAGTACAGCCTGTGAGATCTCCTTTGACGACAGTGTTCCCAAACATGTGCAGTCTGCCCTCGCAAGGTTACATCAAAATCTCGGCCATCCTGCTGTGCATGATCTGGCGAGGCATCTCAGATTTGCCGGAGCTGATGCCGGGGTCGTGAAGGCTTGCAAAAGTCTCCGCTGTGAGGTTTGTGAGAGAAACCACCGAACCAACATACCGCGCCCGGCAACACTTCCCTCGCTCCTCGACATGAACCAGCTTGTGAGCATAGATGTCTTCCACGTTTTCGATTCTAACCGAGTTCGACATGAGCTTCTTTCCGTCATTGACCATGCGACGACCTACCATCTTGTTTGTAGACTTCCAGGACATCGCACCCAAGATTTCTTGCATGCCTTCACTATGTTGTGGGGTAACGTCTTCGGAGCGCCTGGCACCATAGCAGCAGATTTAGAACCTGGTCTGCAGGCCGGGCTAAGTCAATATGCTGAATTTCATGGATGCAAAGTACGACCAGCGGCTGGGCAGGCCCACTGGCAACAGGGTGTGATAGAGAGGCATGGCATGTGGTTTGAGGAGATGTTGAAACGAGTCATTGATGAGAAATCCATCGTTGGAGAGGACCTTGAGCTAGCAATCCAGGCCGTTAACAGCGCAAAGAATGAACTCCGAAGAAAGCACGGTTTCTCTCCTAATCAAGCAGTTTTCGGACGGGATCCTAGAGTGCCAGAGGAGCTGATGTCTGGGGTCGATGAAGAGAAGTTCATCGAGCTTATCTCCGAGGACAGGCAGAGACAACGGGAAGTCAGTATCAGGACCTCAGCTCGTATGGCGTTTTTCAGAACCCAAGCAGATGCCAAATTCCGTCGAAGTCTCCTTCAAAGGGCTCGGGTTAAACGAGGAGGTTATCGCATCGGAGAACTCGTCTGTTTTTACAGGATCGAGAAAGTGGCAACGCGCCAAGGGCAGTGGCGAGGACCCGGGACAATCATAGGGGCAGAAGGTGGAAACTGGTGGGTCTCTTTTGGCGGTCGGTGTCATCTGGTTGCCGAGGAACATTTGCGACCTTCAACAGCAGAAGAACTCGGTGATCTTCTTTCCACAAAACTTGCCCGGGATGACCTTGAGAAACTCCTTCAGTTAGACCCCGATGATCCCGAAACATATCAAGAGCCAGATCAGGAACCAGGCGATATCGACGAAGATCCCGGTCAGGAACCCCAACATGACATCGACATGGATTTTCAGTTCGATCTCGGTCCCGAAGATTCCATTCCCGATTATAGCCCTAGCATTGCTGCAGATGAAGGATTTCATCCACAAGAACGAGTAGAACCTCTTCGTCGGGAACTAGAATTCCCTACGCCGCCTGGAGGAGTTAACAAAAGGGTTCGTAAGAAGGGTCCTGGGCCTGGTGCCGAGGTAGGAGAACATTCGGCCCATATGTTGAAGAGATGCCAGACAGAGAAGTCTCTCGAAAAGCAGCTCGAGAAAGAATTGCCGTGGCGCCTCATCCCAGAAAGTGAACGTCCCGCTTTTCGTGCTGCTGAAGATAAACAGTATCAGGAACACCTGAGACATGGAGCTCTACAACCGTTGAGTCTGGAAGAAAGTGAAGCTGTGCGGCAAAGCGTCGATCCTAGCCGCATCTTAACCTCGAGGTTTGCCTACAAGGACAAACACTGGAGCCGTAGGAAGGTCGATTCTGGTGTTTGTTGGAAACATAAGGCGAGGCTCGTCATTGGCGGGCACAAAGACCCAGATATCCACATGCTCCAGACCGACGCGCCCACCATCAATCGATTGTCGGTGCTGATCTTGCTGCAACTTGTCGCAAGTAGAAAGGGTTCTGAGCGTTGGGAGGCATCAGCAGGCGACATAACTGCCGCCTTTTTGAACGGCGACGAGCTCGATCGTGAGCTCTACCTTCTTCAGCCAAAAACCGGTCTGAGTGGCCTCCACCCTCAACAACTCCTCAAAATCACCAAAGGGATTTTTGGGCTTCCTGACAGTCCCCGAAAATGGTGGCGTAAGCTTCGGGAAAGTATTTTGGGGCTCCACATCTCCTATGATGGGATCGACTACAAGTTCGTGCAAAATCCTCTCGATCCTTGTCTTTTCCAACTGGTTGGTTCACAGCAAGGCAGCAGTGTGGCGCCGATCGCATACGTTGGAGTTCATGTTGATGATCTTCTTGTGGTAGGTTCCCCCGAAATCAGTCAGCAAATTCGTCACAGTCTCTCACAGGTGTTTCCTGTAGATGATTGGGAAATAGATGATTTCGAGTATCTTGGATCACACATCACAGTTTCCGAGAAAGGGGTATACGTGTCACAAGAAGCCTATGCCTGCAGCCGACTCTTCGAGATCCCTGTCACCAAAGACCAGAACGAGGAAGACCTCGCGACTCTCGAACAAAAGATCGACAACCAGTCCCTTATAGGCGCATTGTCGTGGCTGAGTTCCCAATCTCGACCCGATCTTACCTGCAGCGTTTCCCTCGCGCAACAACTACAAAGAGAACCTTCAGTGTCTGACATCCGATTTACCAATCAGATCGCTCGACGTGCATTGGAACACAAGGACAAGGGGATATGGCTACGACCGCTTGATCTCTCCAAGCTTGAGTACCTTGTCTACCACGATGCTGCTTGGGCGAACGCAAAGCTCGGAGGAGAAGAAGGTTTTCGACTGAGCCAAGCCGATCACGAACTAGGCCAAATGTCCGGTACCCCGTTTGATTGGAAAGAGAGGAAGGCTAAGAGAGCCAACTCAAATGTGGCCAGTCAATGTGGTTTGTTGGTTGTTCTTACCGATAGTGAGGCGTTTGCTGCCGGAGGTGGGGTCTGTAGCATAGTTGATTGGAAGTCATCTGCCACGCGAAGAGTATGTAGGTCAACTTTTGGTGCCGAGACTACAGCCTGTACAGAAGCTGTAGAGGAAGGACAGTACGTTCGCTCATATGTCGAGTCCATCCTTTCTGGTACCCTGAAGACCGTTGACTCTCTGTCTGGACACCAGTTGCGCTGCATCACCGATTGCAAGAGCTTGTACGATCATCTTCACAAGGAGGGCATTCCTAGAATCCCCACCGACAAGAGGCTTGCAATCGATCTGTCCGCTCTCAGACAGAATTTTGACTTCGAGAAAATCCAAGATCGTGCTCCGCTTTACTGGGTTCCTACTAGCTATCAGCTTGCCGACATTCTTACTAAGCCGAAGTCTGCTACCGAGTGGTGGAGCACTCTCTTCGGTGAGATACGTCTGCCGTTCGCTAGCTCTTTGAAAGAGCCGGCGTAAGCAGCTTTTTTCGCTGCTCTTACTTTTGAACCAGTGTGAAACCAAGTTCGCACTGCGAGGCATGGAACGACCTCCGCGACAACGAAAGGCTTTCTGGTTCGAGCAAAAGGTGCGCAGATGCGCGGAAGGCCCCGTGGGGTGCTTGGTGGGTTTGGGGTGTGGTTTTCCTCATCTTGGTTTGTTACTAAACCCTAAACCCTAGTTTTGTTGAACCCTAAACGCAAAAACCCTCAACCCTAAACCCGAAGGATGTCAAAGGAGGTCAAAGGGTCACCAGCACGCCCCAACTTGAGCTTCTGGAGCTTGGCTTCCCTTAGTTGGCCGCCCCCAATGGCCCAATGGTGGTTCTTTGCAGTTTGGACATGTCGGCCCTTATAAATTATAGGCAATGGCGATGATCATAGCAATGCTGAGCTGCTTGGGCAGTCTTGTGTTCGTCTCAGTCTTTAGAACATTAAAAAGTATCCAGGATGCCACTGCTGAACGTCCAGCTCGACGCCACCCTGTCTGCCCTCAAGCTGGGTGCGCATTTCCTGACCAGCTCGTAGTGGGGCCACGCACACGAAAACACAGATACACAGTAGCCGAGAAGTTACATTATGTAGTCTCCTGCTTCGAGGCACCAACAGCTTATGCCCTGATGCAACACCAAGACTTGTGCAGCTTTGGATCATCCATCCATGTCAGCTTCCAGCCATTCTTCTTGCAAATCGACTCCACCCAGGCAGCATTCTTCCTGTGCGATCAGCAGAATTCTTCTCAACAGCACTGTGGAAAAACTCGCGCATGAGATTTATGAGATCTTTGTCCCGCCCCCATTTGCTGCATCAAGGCTGCTTGTGACGCTCGTTTGCCACAAGGCGATCCACGTGCTTTCGCAGATCGATCTCACCGTGAAGCTGAGCTTCCTGCGAAATCTGTGCTCCAAGGACAAGCTTTGGCATGTCTGAGAGTCGATTGTCCCGAATGCACACATTGCAGAGTTGGAGGTGGGTTTGTGGTTGTGCCTTCATGACGAGTGCTGATTTCCCTGGCCCTAGGCCCTAGGACCCCTCTTGCATCTCTTTCGCTGGACGTGGCTTGTCCTTGTACATTCCCCACTTCTCGACGACTTTCTCTGAGTCACCGACTTTCTCATCGCCTGGGGATGTGCGAAGTCGTTTCTGGTGAGCTGAGTGCCCTGAAACCTCAAGATCAGCCGAGGAGCCCTTCTCCGCAACGCGAATTGTTTCCATCAGCTCCTGCAGCGAGTCTCAAATGACTGCCCGCCTTCTCTGAGGCAACAGGCACGAGAAAGCCACGGAAAGGCCTTGTCACTATACCTTGGCCGGCAGCCAGTGCAGCACGCAGATCAGGCTTCATACAGCTTCATTTGCAGAAGCTGCTCAGCCCCCGACTCCAGCAACACATGTGCATAGTAGTCGAGAACTGCGAGCCTTGCAGGTCCATCGCGCGTCAAGACCCTCACAGCTGCTCTCTTGACATAACGGCAGCGTCCCGACGGCGATGACATGCACCTCGCCTTCGTGCTGGCAGGTTCGCAGAGTCTTGCGGAGAAAGAGTGCATCTCAAGCGGACGTCCTTCAAAACAATGTAGGAGTCGCCTTTGAAGGATTGCAGCGGCACTGCAGTACAGGGCGAGATGCCATCATGCTTTGGACGCCGCATGCAACGCAGCCGAGACACCATACTGGCGTGCACCGACCACACCTCTAGGATCGTTCCAGATGTTCTGCACCCCATATTTGGGTCTTTCAATGGGCTTGGCACCATCATACGCTGTGCCGAAAAGACCTGAGTCCGGTATGAGGCAATCGGGGGACCAGAACGCGCCAGAATGCCCCACTGACAATCGAATTTTCCTGAGAGCTGCACCACGCTCCCACTTTTCACGAGCGGAGGTTTTCAACAACCCGCCGGACGTGTTGGTCTCGAACTGGTTGCGGTAGTGAGTGTCCTTGACGAAGAACTGGCCAACCTGCGAAGCAGCTTCTTCACTGATTCTTCACCGCTGTCTTGCGATGCGATCTCGATCGAATTAGCGGACGCTTGGGATCTTCCCCCTTATACTAACAATCCTTAATGGGGATTATAGTACCCTCCCCCTATTATAATAATCCCTATTCCTATTCACTGCTGGTACTGTAGAAGGGGAACAGCCCAACGGATGTTCATCGTTCAGAGGCCCCCTTTTGCCTTGTCTAAGTTCAAGTGCACAATCAGCGGCGCCAGTTCCCTGACCCAAGACAGGGCCATGTGGAGATCTGTATCAGTGTAGCCCAGCTTTTGCACTCCTCAGTTGCATAAGGGATCATAAGGGCAGAAACATTCTAGGCTCCTCTGGCTTCTATGAGTGAAATCCTCCGGTGTGGCACAAAGCGAGAGACATGTCAGGAGCAAGCCACTGCGGTGCAACTCCGGCAATGCTCGCTCGTGGTTCTCTTGGGCAAGGTTGCGAATGTGACGAATGGCTGCCTGCGGCTGCGTCACAGGCAAGCGAACTGAATCTGGGCAAGAGATTTGTTCAACTAATTTAATCCCGAAAGATGGGGGGGGGGGCAGAGGTGTTTCCCAAAATTCCCTTGTCGTGTGCCGCTGACGCTCCGGAGGCTTGCAGGACGTCGAAGGTACTTGTGCTATGGTCTGGTGAGCTGGTCGCACTTTGCTGATGCGAAGACGGAGCTCCTGTTGACATGGCCGCAGCTGCCCCGCGCTGTCCTCACAAAGAAGAGTCTACTGAGAGTGTGCCCTCGCTTGATGTCCGCAGCTTCCCATGGGTTCAGGCAGCTGAAGGATGCCCCCTGATGCCCCCTGAGCCCCAGGCCAACTCTGACTCACTGGCTGTTAGCCTCCAGTGGGCCTGCGCTTCAGGACTGATCCCGCACTCCTGGTCGAGCTCACATGCTCAAACATACTCAAGGCCGCATGACTGGATTGGGTCCGGATCCCTGCATGTCCGGCATTCCCCCTAAATTCCAAAACACGGCAAGAGCGGCAGAGCTCCTGGAGTGTTTTTCGAAGACTGTCAGGATCCGTAACGGATCCTTTGAAGTCAGCTCGCTCCTGATGCATGCATACAGAAAAAGCCTTGTTGAGATGCATCTTCCTGCCCAAACGCCGGATCCAGACTCGTCCTGGATTTGCTGCCGTCGGATCTCAAAGAGCTTGCCCGTGCCACCTGCTTGCGAAGTTGAGTGTTGCCAGCAGTGACGGAATAGTGCAATCAGCGTGTTCAAGACAAGCCAGCCGACCAACTTTCCCGACATAGTTCAGGAATTCTGCAAACTGGATTGATCCATCACCGCTCGTGTCCTTCAACGGCCGGGAGAACTGGAATTGTGCTTTCACCGGAAAAGTGCCAGCTGAGTGATTCGGACGTGCTTTGCGGGTGCAAGGTGTTTATGGAGCGGGGCCGGAGTGCGTGTCGGTGAAATCGAGGAAGCCCGACAGACGGCCCAGGTTCCTGGATTTATTTAGCACACCCAGTATCATGGATCCAGAGTTCATAACACTGGGTTTCGGGTTTTTTTCTCTAGAGCTCCTAATAGAAGCTTTAGAGCCCGTTGCAGGGGTTGGCTGCCTCGGTCAGTGTCCCCTTCGGACCTTGATGCTTTCTTTCAAAGGGCGTGGGTCCAAGCACGGCTGGGGTGCGGGAGAGAGCAAGAACGGTGAGGTCTCCCTTGCTCCCTATTGAGCAGGTTTGCTTGCTTAAGGCAAAGGAAAAGAACTCTCCGCACAGCGACCCCCCGTGACGAAGCCGTGCCCCCGCCACCCCCCCCCCCCCCCCTGCAACTGTACGTGAGAGTAGATGTCAGTTCTCAACTTCCTTCCAACATCGCTGGGACCACCCACTTCACACCCTTCGTCGCACGACCCTGCTCGCCCTTCTTCCTAGGCCCCCCCCCCCTAGAATTGCTATGATGCCCCCCACGGCTTTCCTTCAAGTGGCGACCTTGCCTCGCCACTCAGCATTAAAAATGATGTCCGGCCATGTGTGACACATCATCCGAGAATGATACTTAGTTGCAGTGAGCCATGGAACCGGCAGACCTGAAGAGTGCACAGCAACCCGGTCCACTATGCTCATCAGCTTGTCCACATCCTCTTGTGTATCTGGGAAGCCCAAATAGTCGAGCATGAATGCGACCTTCAAAGCTCTTCGCTGCTAGCGTACTTGTCAAAGGCCATGTCCCAGCTGCTACACTGCACAGGCTGAGACTCTCAAGGCCTCGTTCTTGGACAAAATGCCGTCTCCGCTGTGGTCGAACCTGGGTTGAGGTTCCGGTTGTTACAATCTCGAGCTGTAGCTATGCGCAGTTTTTGAAGCGAGCCATCAGACTACCTCCTCTTGCGAATTAAGAGGGTGTTGATCCTCTCAGGTCTCCACTGTACTGGGTTCCCTATGCATGTGTGTATTTTAGGGTAAACCCCATGTATGGCTGAAGCAATATCAGCTTTACGGACGACTTTCAAGGCTGCGCGTGATTAGCGGATTTGGCAGTTCCTCGTGCGGGAACGGGTGACCTTGATGGACAGAGGCACTATGAGGCACTGGTCCAAACTTTGGAACCGACATGCAGTTTGTTCGAAGACCAATTGGAAGGGATGGACCCCCCAGGGTTGTCGCGCGCCGTCGCTGCTTACAAGACGAAAGGTTTCTTTCGTCTGCATGCCGAAACATCCTCCAGACAGTGTTGCGGCTCGACACGACTCTTGGCAGCTGCACCCCCTTGGGCTCCGAGGCTTCGCGCTTCGAAGCTCTGAACCTGAAGCTTGAAGCTTCGCGCGCGCTTCGCAGGGCCAAGCTCCCCTGAACCTCCGGCTGTCATCCAGAAACCTGGAGTCTAGTTGGCCGGCGACCACACGAGCCCCCTCGGAGTTCTCAGCAGATTCGCACTGCGCATGCACGAGCCGATCCTTTCATAGCCGGGGTGACTTCAGCTGCCCATGTAGCGGAAGTCGAAATGGGGTTTGAATGTGTTAAGTTCAACCTGAAGAACCGATGTCTCGGAAGGAATTCCCCCTGGCCCCCCTCGTGTGGTGGCTCTGCAGCCGGGCAACTTTCGGAAAGCAGCTGCAATCTGTTTCTCCTCTAGGTCCAGCTTCATGTGCAGGATGTCCAGGCCGTTCTGCGCCTGAGGGGGCAAATTTGCACACGGATAGGCAGGGACAGCCGACAGTCACTCTAAATACGAAGCATCCCTGCCCTGCCACTATGTTCAGGATTCTGTTCACTCGTTGCATTCGAGTGTGGAGGCAAACCACGCTCAACGTCACGTCAACCAGAGCTTCACCTAAACCCTAAACCCTAAACCCGAACCATGCGCCAGGCACAGGGAGGACAGGCCGACCAGGTTGCCCCAGCCCATTCTGGGACCGGCCTCATCGGTGTCTCCATTCGCGATGGCCTTGTACAGCTCCTCAACAAAGTAGGCTAGCTCATGGTCCTGACAGCACGCAACTTTCGATTTTGTCAGCTGGCATCGGGCATGCGCTGGCATGCTCCCGCATGGTCGACCGATGCAAGACTCGTTCGGTATCGACGCGAAACAACGTGAGGCATCTCCTTGGACTTCAAGTATGGCCTCGTTCGGAAGAGTTCGTCCAGCTCTTCCTGCAAGCTTCGGCTCTCTGTCGAGGGTTCTTTCACACTTCAAGTTGCGCGGGCGAGCATCACTTCAATGGCCCATTCTCAGGAGGTCACAGCCACAGACTAAGCCCTAAACCCTAAACCCTAAACCCTGAACCCTGAACCCTTCCCACGCACCCTATCTTTGCACTAAACATGTTATATATTATGAATTATATATTGTATGTTGTATGTGATATAGTATATAAAATAGACTATATAATATAAAATGTATTATATTATATTATATTATGTTATATTATATTATATACATATATCAATGATATATAAGACATGTATATTATATACATGTATATATATATATATATCGAGGCAGCATTCGCTCACAACTGGATGCGGGATTTGGACCCCCCAAAGCAACGGCAGCTCGTGTGCGCGCGCGCACGGGACCGTGCTGGGAGGTGCTGGGGTCTTAGGGTTTAGGGTTTAGGGTTTGGGGTTTAGGGTGTAGGGTTTAGGTCTCCTTACGTGTCCTCACGGCACGTTGCCTCACATGGTCGCGCGAGCTCGTGGACATGAGGCCTCTCAATTCAAGAGCGAGGTCCTTGTGGGCCACGCACTGCGGCGAGACATTGACGGCAGAGAAGTCGTTGTGCGCGCTTCTGAAGCGTTCTTCGCTGCTGACCTCTCGAAGGGAACACCACACAACTGAAGCTTCTTTACAACTGTACATATTCAACCCTGCGACATCCAAGACCTTCCCAAAACACAGCGTCTTTCGTTCTCTGTCTGCATCTCGCACAGGTAGCTCCGGCACATAACAATACACAAGCAGCCCCTGCCTCTGCAGAACTTTCGTTGCAGATGCACAGGGAGAACACTTGTCGAAGCGAGGAGAACATGATAGAGCAGCTCTGGCTTTTCCAGTTGCCACTCGCAAACCTATGAATCAAAGAGACCCACAGCGTACAGTGCAGCCTATGCAGGCATCATGTCATGATCTCATGAAGCTTCCGCGCATTCCAAGAGCCGCATTGGCTTGCGGCTTGCAACATGCATGACATGCATCACAATCCCCACGAAATGGGCTCCTTCGATCTCCTTCGTGCTTCTGGGTCCTCTGTGCCGCCCCGAACAGCAAGGAGTTCATGTTTTGGAAGAGGAACACAACTCAGTCAACCCCCCTCTATGCATGTAAGGAAAGACGACATGTCGCCCCACACTTCAATGCTCCTCGGGCCCCGGGGGCCAAAGCAGCTCTGCCTTGAACCACTTCCCTGTCACATCGCGATCCGCTCGTGCCACTGTCGCTTTGTCTGCCGCTGCGGTGGTATCGCGCTTGCTACTCTTGGCTATGCTCTGCGTCACCATCCACTCAGGCAGCACGGTCACGACCTGGCACATGTGGTGAACTCGTGTGAGGGTGGATTCCGCAGACGTCCCGGCTTGCGGTCTGAAGCGGACATCCGAGGGTGACCGGCCTTGCCGTGATCCCCTGCGAGACATGTTGAACGAAGGCTTTAGAGCACTTGCTGGCAAACACTTCAGTCATCATGAGCACGCTGAGCCTTTCGAAGCAAGTAGGCATAGTGGACGCTGCCACCTGAGCGCGGGCATATATTGTGCGTACAGACATCGCATCTGCGATATCTGCGGGCACACCAGTTGCATTTTCAAGCCCGGCCTGGAAGCTTCACAGGGATTGGCACCTCATGACTCTGGGAAAGACTGCGCCCTAACCGCATATGATGTCCGAAGGCCTGCTTGATGGCAAAGTTCAAGCCCTTGCCCTTGAAGTAGTCCAGCCTCACCAAATCAATTCCAATCTGGACTTGCGACTTAGCCTTGCAAGATTATCGCGCCTGGTGTTTGGGACGCCATAGCTGACACAAAGAAACCTGCGCAAGGAGGCTGACGCTGACTGCTGAGATTGTGAGACTGCTCAGCTGCACTGAGCACATGCGGGCTCGGAAGCATCTTTTTCGTTTGTGCCAGATGCGCATCTGCTCCTCCTTCGAGGGCTAGCAACTACGAGTACCAGGAACATCTCTGCGGGTTCTGCCAGAGTCTCCCGTGAAGCCTCAGTGGACACGACGTACAGCTTACATGCACGGCGCGGAGCTAGAAGTCCTGTTGCTGCTCCAGTTCTGGGTGGTGCTCCCGGTGTGCTGTAAGGGATAGGCGTCCCCCGCCCCGCCCCGCCTATTGCTACAGTACATCTGCCCACATGCAAAAGCCTGTGGATGAGGATGCCCGCTTTCTAGTTGTTGTGTTCGCTTATTGGTACATAACCATCAGTGCACGGAAGACAACGATGCTTCAAACTGGCTCGCGGCTTGCAGGAGCAGATGTCGGAAGGTGTCCCGGCCATGCCTTGCAGGTGGCAGGTTCCGCGCACCAGCAAGTGGAGTGCGCTCTTGCTGGGTACACGGAATGTTACGATACCTGTCATGACGAAACCCCACGCCCGCCAAACTCTGGCACCTTACTTCAGGAACTTGCCGCCTGCGTCCCTGGCAGTCCCGCTCATAGTAGACCCGCGCAGCTCTCCATCTTCAAGAGGGCATCGCGCAGGCTGCTTCCCGGAAGCTGTTCTGGAGTTGGGGCACCAGCAAGAATCCTTCGCACTGAGGCGCGCAACTTCGAAACTTCACCCGGAGCAACTGATGCGCAGCCAACCGTATTTATTTCCCGGCAGAGCGGCACCAAAGCACCCAACACGAAGCCTTGGATGTGCACGAAACTACAATACCTACAAGCGTAAGACAAACATGCAGCTGAAAGCCTTGTTCCTCGAACGACTGCAGCATAGCAACTGATCATAGCCTTGATGTCTTGTCGTGCTTGACAGCCGGCGTAGCGACCAAGGAAGTCTTGCGGGCACCTTGTGGCATCGACCGACGTCACCTCTCAGTTGCAAAGAGATCAGGTGCAGTCGCTGAGAAAAATAGGTGAGTCCAAGTGACAATGCCAAGGGTGTGCATGAGACATAGCACAAGGCCAGCTAACATCATTGAGAAGAGACCTTGGTGAGGCAGTGGAGCTGCTGGGCCTCTTTCAGATGGAGCATGTAACCTTGCTGCAGCCAGCTGGCAGAGCAAGGTCGTGCTGTAGGCCTTGCCACGCCCAGCTATGAGAGGAGAGAGCACAGCAGATCTAATCTAGCAAAGCAGTGTTTGAAAACACTTAACATATCTTGACTTGCATGACTGCCATGAGCTGTAAGCTGTCTGTCGCTGTGTTGGAAAGCTGCTGTCAAGGGTCGTCTTGACCGCTCTGCTGCTGGTCGGACAGCCTCAAAGCCAGGGTTGGCCGACCATGCTGCAGGATCTACGCAGTGTTAAATTGTTCTATTGATTCTATACAAACTTCCAAAACTTGGGAACCACAGCTGTGGATGCCGCTGGTTGTCATGAATGAAGTAAAGGCACCCAACTGGCCCAGCATTTGCATGGTGGCTGCTCATGCTGTGGACCTCAGCTACTCACACAGGCTGCGTGCACAGGCTGCCATGAAGCCGCGCAGGCAGCTTTCTCAAAGTCGGACCCTTGGGGCACGCACGGAATATGGAAACTCGATATGAAGAGATGGGAGTCCAAAGCGAATGGTTCCGCGGGGAGCTCCCAGTACACCTGACGTGCAACCTGGACAGAAATGGCTGCGGGAACTCGTCAAACTGGCGCCTCCATCCGGCAGAAGATCGATGTCAAGCACAGTTCTTAAATTCATGATTACTATTCGAGTCTCTGCTAGCAGCTAGCAGTCATGCAACTTGGCAGGGGGGTGTTGGCAGCGCACGTTCCCCGCGGTCTCAGCACTCTCTGCACCTGCCGCGGCTCTTCTTGGTCCCCCGGCTACCCCCTTTGTGGCATGGAAACCAAGTGATAATGCACGGTCACAAGAATTTTTAATGCTCGGGGCAGTGGGCTGAATATCGGGTGGGCATATTGTCCATCTGACGCGCGGCCTCCAGCAGGTACTTGTTGATCACGGTAGATGCATTGTCACCTTATTCTGCAGCAACTTTTCTGGCCATGCTTTGGCAACAATCAGCGACTGGCAGGTTCTGTGCTGTAAGCCTGTTTTCCCTACCACCTCGTCGCAATAGTTTGTGAACGATGACTGGGGCCCTGAAGTGCTTTCTGAGGCGCCACAAGCAAACGTGTCAAGGACGCTTTTGTCGATGACCGCATCGAAGCTGCTTTCTATCAGCCCTGCCGCCAGAAACTTAGAAAGTTGTAGCCATAGTCGTCGTAGTGGTAGGGGCCCGTAGTTATGGTAGTTATACTACAAGTAGGGGGGTCCTTATAACCCCTACCTGTATATTCCAGATGGCGAGAGTCGAGCGAACACGAGTCACAAACTGAAGGAGACCTGACTTTGCAAAGGTAGCGAGAGCGATCTGTTTTCAGCTTAGCGGCCCATTTCAGTGGCATCCATCTCGAACCTCTGCCCGCATGCAAAGTACACTGTAGTACTTACGACTTGGTGGCGGTTTGGCGCAACACTGCGATTAACCTCAGCTCAGGGCCACTTCAGCTCGGGGCGCAGAGTCCGATTCCTGTGCGAAGCACGCATGGCCAGATGTGAACGACTTGCGCGCTAGCGAGTCCTCTCCGCCATCTGCTGAATGCATACCTGGTTGAAGAACTGCTCCCACTTCTGCTCCACAAAAATGTCTTGACCGAGCCGAAACTCACTCCTGACACCTCTGGCCTCCGCGATATCGATGTTGGTGACATCTTTGTAGCCGTGGTCATACCTGTGAGGCGCTAAGCACAGAGGCAAATTGGACTGGAACTTATCTCCCGAAACTGCCGCCAATCCCTGAGACTCCCGCATTGCTTCGGGCAGCAAGGAGTTTCCACAGCCCACGTGCAGCACAGCTGCATCAGTCCTGCCTGATGTGGCCTGGTATGCTGACACAGCCCTAAACTCGGATCGAGGTCGACAGGATCACGGTGATGCCCAAAAGGGATCCATGATTCAAGCAGCCGGTGGCCGGAGGAAAAACCAGCGACACAGCAGCTGTGTCCCAGAACAGAAGGCCTCTTTGATCAGGCTCTCGAGCTCTGCGAAGCTTTCCAACCACTCGAAGGGGTTCGGATCGCCCCGGTACCTGCCAGTTCTGCTTTGCGATGGCCGCACGCCGAAGGGGCACAAAGAGAGGCTGGGGCTGAGACCGTTTATTCCAGTACTCTACGCCATCGCCGTAGCCAGGAGCCTCAGAAGGGCTTGAGACAACAGATTGCACGAATAAGCCACCACTACTGCGTTGGGACCTAACAGAACAGATGTAGCTGATTCCAAGACTATCCGGCTCAGCCTGCAACCCTGCATTTGAGAGCCGTATCTACTACGTACCCTAAAAAATCAAAACCAAAACCTCGCATGTACCTTGCCCGCCGCGAACCCAAGACCTCTGAGGAGCTTTGCGTATAAAATCCTACAAGCAGTGGGGGGTTCTTTAGCCAAAATCCTACAAACACTTGGGTTCTTTTGTCAGCTCCACCACCTTTTGCTTCAGCTGCTCTTTGCTTCGGTCCCTGGGCTCCCTGCTTCTTCCGGGGCTTCTTCAGCCACATCCGGCTCCTTCCGCTTGGTGCCTTGATCTTGACCTTATATACACATATGCATATACATATACAGGTACACACACACACATATATATATATGTATACACATACAAACATATAGTGCGTTATCTGAATATATATATATATATATATACATATGCAATAAGTATAACATTACCTTTTACAAACAACCTCACTGTGTTTATGATTTATGTAGATTATATACATACCTGCGGTTGCTGATTTTCTGCCACATGCCTGGCACCAGCCGCAGAACATCGGTTCCGTGTGTGCACGACTCCGAGGCCTGGGCCGTTGGACAGCGGGCCGCTGATCGCGTTAATTGCCATGGGCCTGCAGAACAAACAGCTTTATATAACTTACATGTGTACACCTGTGTTTATATATATATATATGGGTTTGTATTTTAATGGGGAGGCGCGTGACACGTGTTGGGGTCGGGGTATGTTTCGCGGGTATGTTTCGGGGTATGTTTCGGGGTATGTTTCGGGGGTATGTTTCGGGTATGTTTCGCGGCATCAGGAGCTACTTTACCTGCAATTTCGGGGGTATGTTACGGGGTTTGTTTCGGGGGTATGTTTCGGGGTATGTTACGGGGTATGTTTCGCGGGTGTGCAACCCGTGTGCCATTCTTAAACCTGAGCCCCCCCAAAAAAACACAAACCCATATATAGACGCATAGCACATGTATCGCTCTATACGCATCCATGAGCAACCCATCTTCCATCTAAGGACGAGAAAGAGATGTCCCGCGTCGCCTTCGCACCAAGCCGGCGGCAGCGTGCTTGGCGCTACAGGCTTGAGACAGAGCAGAATGGCATGTCTCGGGGCTCGAACAGTATTTGAGTGGGCATGAAACAGCGTAGTTTCTGCCTTCCGCGGTGTTCATGACATGTCTCTTGGCGGAGCGACGGAGCCACTCCCTGATCATCCATGGACATCCATCACGTCTAGCACGCTTTTTTTGCTTACGCAGAAGGTCCACTGCCAACCTGTGCCATGACCTGAGCACAAGCGGTTCTAGACACCTTTTCCAGCTTCTCACTGTCGAGAGGACGGCGCCTTTGCTGTTGCCGGCGCCCGCTGGCGGCCGTCCTTCAAGCCATGATGCTCGATTCATCTCAGGCCAAACGCCACAAGCTGCTAAGTCCTCGTCTTCAAGCAGCTCCTGCAGGGTTTAGGGTTGAGGGTTTCGGGTGCAGGGTCCACTACCCCAACAGCTGTTTGAGTCTGAAAGTCGCTCATGATGCCTTTGAATGGCCTCTGGTTGGTTGCACCAGCTCAATGCCAGCACGTGCGCTGTCAAAGGTTTGCGTGACATAGAGCGATCGTTTCTTTAAAAGGGCCGGAGGAGAAGATGATGTGGCAGAGTTGGCAACAAGAGCTTGTTTCTTGCCCTTCGCTCGACGATGACTGAGGATAGTCCTTTCCGACAACTTTTTTTGAGCTATCTAACAAGTGGGCTGCACACACCTCACAGACATAGGACACAGGCTGTTCGACAACAGAACAATTTGGTTCCTAATGAGTGGTCCTGATTTGGAAGCAAGCTATGAAAAAAACATCCGCCAAGCGTGCAGGCAACGAGTCGACAAAAAAAAGATCAAGATCGCTCTGTTGGTGAAGTCAGGGAGCTCGGGCTATAGTGGGAGGTTGTTGCAGGGCAAGTCCAAGGCCTTCAGACGGCGCAGCCATGGCCCTCTCACCCTGTGTGTTTCACTGCATGTCTTTGACCAGCGCCAGAGTCTTCAATGCTTTTAAGTCCGACTGCTCCGTAGAAGAGCTGCTTCGTATCTTCCAGGCAGATCACGTTTCTTGGCCTGCTACGGTTGGTAGGCCCGTGAAGTTCTACTGCCTTCCTCTCTGTCGAAGCAGTGCTCACGAGCGAAGACACTCCCTCTGCAGTCGTTCTGAAAGCAAGCTCAGGCAGTCCCAAGAACAGTTAAACAGGGGGCTCCAAAACCGTCCAGCAGCGCATGAGTGATAAAGGGTCAGTGACCGAACGCAATGATGTCTCCATCAAATGTTCGGCCTGCAATTTGTATGTGCAAGAAGTTGCGCCACTTGAAATTTTGGCCGTATTGCATCGCGCCCTTGAAAGCATGGTCAAACCACTTGGCCCACACACCGGGACGTGCAAGCCCGCCATGATATGGAAAATCATGTAAAATCTGATAGGTGCTGTTTGGCGCTGTACCCGGTGTCACACTACGTTGTGTATCACTGCCACGAAGATCACCCAGCAACTCAAGCCCCGAAGTCGCAGCCCTGCCTGGTCTCTTATTCTTTCGCCAGCAACGCTGCAGAGAACCCGACTAGTAGCGGTGGCCTAAAGCGTGCTGTTTCTGATTGCTCCTGGCTGTTGGAGCGCTGGCGGTGTTCGCAAAACACGAAAATTTCCGCAGCAACTTGAAAGACCAAGGCATCATGAGCTTGCAGGGAGGGTTCATCACTCCCCTTTCTTCTAGAAAAAGGGGTGCCGTGTCCTCCCTCCAGTGCCTGTGCCCAAGAGGTGAGGTGACCTCCCCCGACTCCACCCCTGAGTGCTGCAGAGAGGTGTGGACCCCTAGTAGGACTTAGTAGGGCGTGAGGTTTAACCTCCGTACCTCAGCGAAAGTGTGTGTGTGTGTGTGCTTTTGTCATGCTCATTGACACGCTTTCACTGCTTTACATGACTGCACAGTGACTTTCAAGTGAAAATAACCGTTTTCGGAGTTTTTTTCTCTCGCGACCAAACACCAAAACAACAGACGATGCACAAACTTGGTAACGGCGCCTGTGCGCGCCTATGCGTTTCTAGAGATTTCAGAATGAGGCGTTTTGCGTGGATACGCGCGAAAACACAGCCAGAGCGCAATCTCAACCAAAATTGGTGTTCAGGTGCGCGAAAAACACTAGAGGCTGAAGTAAACTTTGGGCCTAACTGCGTTTTCGCTCGGGTTTTAAGCTCATGTTTGAAGAGGCTGCAGAAGAAAAACTATTGTAGAGAGAGTTTGTTGAAAGTATTGACTTGCCTTAGGTTACACTTGGGGTTAAGGATTGTGTTTATGCTTGTGCAGTATGTTGTACAAGAGGCGAAAACGCTGTAAATATCAATACTTTGCGCAATATGAATGACGTTCTTACCCCCCCCCCCCCACCCCCCGCCCCAATACCCTGAAACCTGCAAAAACGCATAGGCGCGTACAGGCGCCGTCACCACAAGCTTGCGAAACAACCTACACACGCAGGGGGAAAATCTTACAGGGCGATGCCTTCAAACAAGACCTACACAAAACGTGGTCATGCCTTTGGAAGGCTTGGTTGCAACATGTTGAAACACTTGCGGCACTCCTGAAGCCTCTTCAGGTCCTCAACCTTCGCATATCAGCTGCATCATTGAACCAAGTGAATCAAGAGTCTGGCGTCAACGTCGCGCTCACCTCGTCGACATCCCACCATTTGCTCAGCCTCGAGTTTCGGTCAGACGTGACCAGAGCACCGGCGGAATGCAGGCACATGCAGGCATGCTGACGGCCGGGCACAGCCACGCGTAGCCCTTGCCTGTTGCAATCGCCAAAACTTGGCAGTGGCAGAGACTGCAGGACCACGGCAACAGTGGCAAGCTCCATGTTCTCGGCAGCTCACTCTTCCAAACGCTTCTTCGTGGCTTCAAAAGTTGTTGGCCTCGGACCAGTGCTCCCTTTTCTGTGGGCTTCAAGAACAGGATGATGCTTGGGAGCACGCTGGCTCCATGGCAAGTCCTCAGCAGAAAGCTTTGCGGTCTTGCTCACCAAGCCGGGATTATCCAGGAATCAACAACTGTCCCGATCCCGAGGACATGGCCGCCAATAGTCCAGGAGGGCATCGCTTCAAAGCAATCAAGTCGTACCTAGGACGCCCCCCAGATGCTGAAGCCATACCTAGCACGCCATTGTGGCAGCCTCTGAGCCTTGTACCCTCCATCTTCTGAAGGCCCAAGCCTAACATCATTCCAACCCAACCAGCATCGTAGTTCTCAACTCGCGCGTGTGCCAACGCGCCCGGGCGACGGGCACTGCATCGTAGCCATCCAGCAGAGCTTGCCTGCACATGGTATGCCCCTGCTCCGACAGGTGTGGCACAAGACTGCGTTTTGGCCTGGTATCCTCGAGTCGTTGGGTGGGCCGTCCAGGACCTGAACACGTGTGCAAGCGCGGGAGGATAGCACAGTCCTACATACCCGTTTTGATTTGCTATTGCGCGTGTAAAAATCGTCAGATACTCGTTAAGGCCGCCTCTGGCAAAAAAACGTCTGCGAGCTGGGCTACTGACTGTCCGCCCCGAGGCAGATGGTCGCCTCGATGCTACAGAGTCCACAGAGCTGTAAGCCGGTGGCCACGGATTTGTGGCACACCAGCGCAGGTTCATGGAGCTTCATGCCTCGGCCAGCTCAAGGCCCTGCCGGATGATGCCCTCCAGGCTCCAAAGCAAACAAAAAGGTCGCACAGGTCATTGTCAACTGTGTCTCGCATTGAAGTGGAGAGGAGCGCAAACGCGGTCCCAACGCAGTCCTCTAACTTTGCACCGAGATCACCGTCAGGCTGCTTCCAGCCTTCACATGTCAGCCGATCATCAACCTTTCACAGTCCGGCCTAAGAAGGTGATTGAGCCGAAGGCGGGTGACAGTGGTCGGAGGCCTGCCGAAAAATGCCCCCCCCCGTGCTTCGTTGCGCTGAGCCGGCTTGACAGTTTGCAGCCCGAGAGGCACATCAGACGGAAAGGCTGCGGGCCTCTGCAGGCAGTGAGTAGCTGCGTAAGCTGAGATGAACACGAGCTGGCTTACGTCAGGGCGCGGAAAACTGGAAGCATCCATCCCGTCTTCCGTCGTCGCCTTCGTCAAGGCTTGCGAGCTTCGAAGGGAAGGCGCTTTGGGCACTCATGGGCCCACACTAGGACCGGATAGGCCCAGTCAAGATTCGAGGCCATGAAGATGAAATCGCTAATGAAGGCCTCAACTGCACAAGAGACGCGCGGGTCGCTGAGCGCTGGATGCGCTGGATAAAGCTCAGGAGTCGGGCTGTAGCAAGCCTTGCAAAGAATGCAAAGCAAGGCAGCGTGTATAGGGATCAGTGAAGCACTGAAGGAACCTGCATGCAGCATCATCGCCGATGCTGGCCGCCAGTCGGGTCTTTGCCTCAAAAAGGTCCAGATCTCTCGTTCTCAAAAGACAAAAAAGACATAAAACACACAGGGGTCACCTCACCTCACAGCCTATAACACAAGGCAGCTCAGGGGCCCCCGCCCTTCCGGGCCTCGGAGTCGGTTTAGGTTGGAGGATACAAAGGAGTTCCAGGGATTGGACTTCAGGGCTCAGGCTTTGGGATTTGGAGGGATTCGGTTTTTGGGGCTTTAGGGGGTTTGTGTCCCCTACCCAACGACCCGGGAACATGCAATTCTCAGCTGGGACCATCTCTCCAAGCCTTGAACCTAAACCGGTCTTGTATATCCATCTTATTTCCAGCCATCCTCGCCATTTCTATTTCCAACGTCTTCCAGTCAGCGAATTTTCTAACAATTCCTGCTATACAACAGCTGTTCTCCGCCATTTGTCTGCACATTCGCGCAGTTTCTGGCCATTTCCAGTTCTTCCCAGCTAATTCCAGTATCCATGTCCAGCTCATAGTCTAAGACAGCGCAAGCTGCTGTGACATTATTGCTGCACGGGTGCTACTTCTCTGATTCTGACTGGGGACTTTACAACACGATTGGATCACCATGGTACCGAGGCTTCGGCCGCGGAGGCTTCGCAAAAACACAAAGCGGAATTCGCGCCGCCATCGCACTCCCATCAACACAACTAATTCATTCATTCAAGTTTTACGCGCATGCCTCTTCTCAAGCTAGTTTAACCAATTCCCTGCTGAGCCAACAGGCCGCAGCTTTCGCGAAATGGACCATTGGGCCATGGGAAGGCCTGAAGTGAATGGTGCTCCACGAAGCTGCCTCAACTCGGATGTTTTCCTCCAGGCAACTCCAGACTCCTCAGTCGCAGTGAGTCCGATTGAGCAGCAGTCGACTGGACACCTCAGCCCAAAGACATTCACTTGGCCGAAATGATGCTCCAATCCAGCGCGTCCTTGCGACTGGGATCAAGGCCCAGGGGGCACCTGCCTGCCAGCAACAAGAGACGCTTGACCTGACCTTGTGAAGGTTGGGGACGAAGGCTTGGGATGCTTCCCCTTATACGAAGAGTCCTTACAGGGATCATAAAAGGGGTACGATGATCCCGATTAAGGACTGTTAGTATAAGAGGGAACATCCCAAGTGAAAGCGGTTTTAAGGGTGTGTAACAACCTGACCCCTGCCACCAAGATCGGTGTCGCACAGTTTCTCTGAGAAGCCTTGACAGTCCTCGTCCAGATTGACAAGGTGAGACTGCCGCCGTTTCTTTGAACTGCAGATCCACGCTTGTAGTAATAGACACGTGCACCGTGGCCCGGGGCTTTGTGGAGATTTGAAACCAAGGAGGAAGTACAAAGGTAAATAGAAATAATCAACATACTAATAATCATAATGATAATGATAATAATAGGTAATGTGCTACTTCAAACTCTCAAGGCCACGAGTCCAAAAGGCAGTGGCGCTGCCCAGCTTGTGCACAAATTACAGCTTACCTCGACATGCCGGCTCTCTTTGCGCACATGCCGCCGGAGGGCTGCCAGGCCAAGGAATCAATAATAATAATAATAATAATAATAATAATAGTAATAGTAATAATAATAATAGTAAAATAATATTACCAATAATAAGTTAATGTGCTACTTCCAGCATTCGGATGGTTGCTTAGGGAAGTGAGCTGCGCGACGAGGGCTTACAGAATCTTCGCGCGACCTGGGCCCGAAGGATCTGCGACGCAAAGCGAGGGGCGATGGAGATTGTTCATCGGGTTCCTGCGCTAGGGTTTAGGGTTTAGGGTTCAGGGTTCAGGGTTTAGGGTTTAGGGTTCAGGGTTTAGGGTGTCGGGTTTAGGGTTTAGGGTGTAGGGTGTAGGGTTTAGGGTTTAGGGCAGTTTAGGGTTTAGGGTCATCCTACGCTGCTCCATTCGAGCAGAGGATTGCTTCGACTTCGAAACAATGTCTTGCGTCAGCGCGCAAGGTGGGGGGGATGACCTCCTCAGTGGCTCCCCCCCCACATGCCACTGTGAAACTGCTCAGCCCGTAGTTTGTCACAGCCAGGGTCCTTTGCACAGCTTCCTCGCTTCTTCCGAAGGAGAGAATACATGCACCCAGCAACACTACCGGGCAGTATACCCTACACCCTAAACCCTAAACCCTAAACCCTAAACCATGAGAGGTTGTAGGAGTTGCCAGGGTAGCCGGGACCTAGGATCTGGAAGCATCACTTGTCTCAGCAGGTGAAGACTCGGCAACGGTCACGGGCCGTCTCGAGGTGCCGGTCCTAAGTGCAAGCCCAATAAGTAGGGTTTAGGGTTTTTTTCTCTCCTGCACAGCTGGGGCAGGGTTTAGGGTTTAGGGTTTAGGGTTTAGGGTTTAGGGTTTAGGGTTTAGGGTTTAGGGTTTAGGGTTTAGGGTTTAGGGTTTAGGGTTTAGGGTTTAGGGTTTAGGGTTTAGGGTTTAGGGTTTAGGGTTTAGGGTTTAGGGTTTAGGGTTTAGGGTTTAGGGTTTAGGGTTTAGGGTTCCCTAAACCCTAAACCCTAAACCCTAAACCCTAAACCCTAAACCCTAAACCCTAAACCCTAAACCGCCCAACCGATCCCGATCAGCATCTTGATCCAAGCGGCAGCAGTTGACTCAGGGCAAGCAGCTGGCTGCCCTGTTCCAAAGCTCGCTCACGCAAAGTCGCCTGCGCATCCAGACAGGCAAACTTCTACGACAACTGGTTATTTAGGGCTTTAGGGTTTAGGGTTTAGGTTTTAGGTTTTAGGGTTTAGGGTACTGGACTGATGTCTCCCCTCCACTCCCACCTCCTGCAGTTCCGTGGAGTTGCGTCGGGCTTTGGATGCTAAGTCTTTGAGGCAGGTCGTCAACCTTAGCAAGTGAACCCTGACCCTCACGATCGGTCAGGCAGGGCACGTGCATGCCACTACACAGGACTGACCGTGGCGCACTCATCACCTTTGCACCCGGAGTCGAAAGTCGAGAGTGCAGTCGAGAGGCTCCGTCAGAGACAGCTTCTGATCTCCAGATTCCACCGGCATCTCTTGCGGGACAGCTGCGCTCTCCTTCGTGCTTCATGTGCATCTCAGAGCACCTGATCTGCCTCCAGGCATCCCCACAACTTCTTAAGCCAAGGTGCCAAGTGCCTCCACATAAGTTGCCTATGGGCGCCAGCAAGGTCAACAAAGGAGTCCAGATCCTGCAGGATGTGGAGAGCAGCTCCAAGACCCCAGTGGCCATTGCTAGCTGTACTTCCCAAAATCTTCTCAATCGCATTTAGGTTGCTTTACGATATAAAAACCCTAGAAACCTTAAAGGGTTTTTTAAACGTAAAAAACCCTAAATGCTCAGAAAAGTCTTAAGTATTGAGGGGTGCGCCCCATTTTTGGTGCAGGGGCTGCTGATAAACAGGGCAGGGCTCCACAAAAAGGTTACCCAGCGGGACCTTGACTTTCGAGCAGCACCCTGCATGACCCTCCCCCCCTCTTCGAGCAACTCCTCAGAGCTCCACGTTGGTGGCGCTAGCTCGCGGAGGATACCTGCCACACCCGGGAAATGTACTCAAGTTGGCCCTTTATAACAAGGTACATCTGCATGTCTCGTATCCAAGCGGCTCTTCAGCTGTTGTAGCTGGACGGGCTCGTTGATGGAGATATCTGGCCAGGTGAGGAAACTTTGCAAGCTTAGACTTCATGGGCAGGTGCGACGGCAGAACGATGGCAAGCGGCAAGGGAGGTGAACGGAGGCTTCATGCCGAGTGCGGCGTTTTGAATTCTCGACCTAGCGCCTCTTGCAGAAATGCTAGCTTGTACGGGTGCAGCAGCTGTGTGGCTGCTTTCGCGCGTACATCGGGCGCAGCATAAAATAATGACAGTAATCATCATGGTAGTAACGATAGAATTCATACTGCCCAGAACAAGATTCATATAGCAATTCAATACAAATTTTCATGATTTAATTCATACCAACAACAATGAACTGTGGCCGTTGGCAGTTGGCAGCTGTTGCTGGGCTCTGTCTGACGTCACCATGTTGTTAGACTGTTAGACTTTACGGCTACCGGAAAAGACGGTCTGTGTCCCGGCATCCCTTCTTCCTGGCCTTTCACGTGCGTTTGGGACGCTCTGCAAGACTCAACCCCTTGGATCCCTTTAAAAATTCGCTGGTCTTCGCAGGTCTCTCAAACCTGACCGACTCCTAAACCCTAAAAAAAAGCCCTTTAAAAAAAAAAAAACCCTAAACTCTCAACCCGAAACCCTTTTTTTGCAAAGCCTAAACCCTAAACCCTAAGCAATTTTGGGTGCCTCTGCGAGCTGCCACCTCAATGGCTCTTGGACCAAGAATGATCTTGGTGCTCTGTGGGGTCACCTGCCGGATAGTCGGACATGAATGAGCGAACAAGCTTTCGGTAGGCCCTGGCAATGGTCTTCAGCTGAGGCACAGGGATTGCATCTGCAGCAGGCTCTTCAGCAAGTTCAGCCAAGTGCGTGCTAGAGACCTGAAGCAGTGTGGAAACTGCCATTCGGGCCTGCATGGGTCCCTGCAGACCGACAAGGCTTTTACTTCACCTGGAATACTGAGGGTCAAGCCTCGTCGTCAATTACGATCTCCACCGCAGAAGGTGCAGGCGATTGGATGAAAGCTTCACGATTCGATGCCTTTGGTGGCACTTTGTTTGAAAGCTCTTAAGCCAGGCTTGTGATTTGCTTCGTATATGGCTCGCTGCTCAGGCTGAATCTGTGTGCCCAGGGTACCGTTGTCCTGAGACTCGACCTTGAAGTTCTCATGCAGACCGTACGTCGGTTTGACATCTCCGCTATGAAGTCCGGTAACATGTAGGTGTCTGGCCTTGCACAGCGGGGCATACATGCTTCAGGTTCTGGGAGCATTGTGGGAATCTCAGCACGCGCATGCTAGTCGCCGGACGCAGCCGCGCAGAATCTTAAACCCAAGAGCTCCAGAGACCCCTGGACACAAACCCCAAAATCAGGGCCTGCAGCGTAGATCCGAAACACATATGGTGCTTTCCGTTCATACAAGGGGTAACAGGCCTTTTCTACCAGTCCCAATCCCCGGCCCTTGCCTCGAAAATGCTTCGAAAGGAGTTGGGGGGTCCCCTTGTAGGATCTAGGCTTTGCAGGTACCTAAGCCCTGTATCAGCCTTGCTGAAGCCGTATTTGGATGAAATCCGTGCAGGGACCTTTTGGGACCTTCTAAACCTTCCTACAGCCATTTACAAGGCTTTTCCAAGTGGTTCAAAGCCCTTTGCAAGGATAATTTGAAGGCTTGCAGAAGGGCTTTAACAAGCCTTGCTGAAGCCGTTTTTGGAGACATGTTGAATTCCTGTTGAAAACGGAACCCCCCCCAAAAAATGGGAACCAGCTCCCTTTGAAGGAAGGGGCGAGGCCAGGTGCATCAGGCTCTGGTTGAACTTCTGCTGTATCTCCACCACAGGCAGATCATTGTAGTCCTGGCCGAATGGCTGGTCAATCTCCTGGGCGATGTAGAACCTGCACAGGAAGCTTGAGGAGAGATGCATGGCTGCAAGGGGTGCAGCCTTGCCCTCGCCCCTGGCAAGTCTAGCATGTCATGCCATGCACGCAGCGTCTGTTCGGACTGGCAAGACGAAGTCTCAAGCACGCATGCAACACCCGTGCAGAGCCTCACTGTATATTGAAGTCACAATCAAGACGAGGAGCAAGGTCCAGTAAGAAGTTGAGATCAACCAAACGGTGCCGCCAGCCCACGACCACTCAGAAATAAGCTGGACGACGACCAGGGGGCTCACGATCCAGTGCAGGACCAGCATGAAGGATAGGTACTGCGAGTAGGGAAATGGAAATGGCACCTCCACAATCTTCCGCAGCTCTGCCACGTTAACCATCCCTGCAGCGCCAGGTCTTGGGTCAATGGAAAATTCTTTGCTAAACCCTAAACCCTAAACCCTAAACCCACAAAAATGAACCTTGAGATCGGGGCCACGAAAGCTGGACAATGGGGTGGTGCGCAAGGGCAAAGCCCGGGTCCCCAATCCCGTACGTAGTAATGTGGGGGTCATATTGGGTGGGTGGGGGCCCTCCCCCCGCTTGCATCACGCAAGTGTCGGTGCGCAATCAGCAAACATGGCAATTTTTTCCGATCACTGATCTTGTCAATTGTGCGGTAACTACTGGCCAAAGTCCAAAGCTACAGCCACAGCAACTTCCCCCACACGTTGCCACCACAACAACCACAACAACCACGACGACAACGATGACGACGACGATGACGACGACGAGGAGGACGACGAGAATACCGAGAACATCATTCTGCCCAGATGCCATTCGACAGCTCCTGAAAAGCTCTGGAAAGCACTGGTGGTGCTACGTCGAAGAGCTTCTTCTTTTCGGTCTCTACGATGAGGCGCTCGATCCACAGCATCACTGTTTCGCACCTTAGCATCAGCGCAATATTGTGAACATTCTTAGTCATGGGACACTTGGGGATGCTAGTCTGCGCGACACCCGTCGCCAGGCCTGTCTGGACTGGCGTGCAAGTATTCCACGCTGCTTGCGCTCAAGCCAGCAAGGTCCACCACCTCAATGTTCTCGTCGTTTAACTCTGCCACCTCTGCAGCTTCGAGCCCAGACATGCACAACAGAGATCTGCACATTTCTCCCTAAGCCACCGAGAGAGCAATTTCAAGCGCGCGCAACCCTCCAGAAGCCTCATGAAGAGCGTAGCAATGCAGCGGGCTCATCAATCTCAGCAGATATTCGCCTCGCCGAGATGTGTCAGGATGCGTCATCGCTTCACAGCTTGCATCTTCCAGAACTAAGACTCTAGGACAGAATGTCTTTCAGAAAAGGAGCGGAAGTGGTCAATCGCTTCTTTGTGCTCCTCACTCTTTGTGCAGAAACCTAGGAGGCTGCTGAAAGCACTGGTCCACTCGCCCCGGATCTTGTGTGTGAGCGAGACCTCGGCGAGAGGGTTGGCATGGGTCGGCACTCGTTCAGGAGCACGCCTTCGTTTTGCCTACACGACGTACAGTACCAACTAACCTACTATTTGCTTAAGAACCCCAAAAGAATACAAAAATGATAATCTCATATACCCCTTAATAAGGAAGAATGTTTTTGGGGGGGGTTTCTGAAGCAATTAGTAGTAGCGTGTAAAGACTGTCAATGGTCGGGCTACAATTTAATTGGGAGAGGAGGTAAGCAGGGACCCCCACACGTGAGGGAAATTGAATGTTTGCAGATGCGGGAGCATGAAACCTGAAAGTGCCCTGATCTGGCCATCAACCAACCTCAAAGCAACACCAGGCACACCCTTGTGCAGCCGAACTGCACTTTCCCAAAAGCGTGAGTAAGCTTGGTTACTTCGGAACACGATCAGGAACCCCAGGATAAAGGTGTACCCCGACCAAATGCTGTCCAAACCGGAAGAATTCTCGAAGTACTCGATCATGGTGTCCCTCCAGAGAATGTGGATCAAGACGGTCCTTGGGAAACTTTCACAGAACTGGGGCTGACTTGCCTTCTGTAGGTGGATGCAGCAAGGGCAATGGAAGGACGAAAGATCACCCGCAACCAAGGAGCAGTGCGCTGCACGGCAATGACCACACCATTGCTTTTGGAACCACGGAACCTCGAAGTTTGCAAAGCACTTGCATTCCCCATCGTCCTTGGATGCGATTCTTCGATGTGGAAATAGCACCAAGGGAACAGCTTGAAGAAACTTCCCTAAACCCTAAACCCTAAACCCCAAACCCTAAACCTTGCGAGACTGACTGCCGCCCCAAGAATCCATGGTGGTATGTGATCATGAATCAAAGGCTGCAGCTCAAGACTGGCTTGGGACCTGCGACTTGCCTCAAAGAGGTCACCTACCTACGGGCTGCGAGCCCAATGTCCCCTTGCCGGACAGCCAGGCATCGGATCATGTTGGCCAACAACGCCCAAGTTTCTACTCATGCCATGGAAAGCTGCATCTTGGCAGTGCATCTTGGGGCCTTCGCAAGCAAAGTGACCAAGCGGGGGTACTCGTTGTTCCTTCAGGAGACTGCGAATGAAGCATTGCAAACGGCGACTCTCAAACCTCTCCAAGGCCCCGTATTCCCTGTACTTGGGGGGTTCACAGTTATGACTGTACTTGTAGCTGTGCTTATAACCATACTTAAACAATTAAGGAGCTTATACGTGGGTTCTAAGTACAGTTATAGTTAAGTATTGTCCGCCACGGCGAGAAAAAGAAACATGAGACAACGGGCACAGGGCCTGGCCAGCCGCTCCTTCAAGGCCATCAGCGCTGGCCGCATGTGCCTTGACTAGCTGGGCAAAGAGGCTTCAGTGGCTTATTCCACTAAGGGACTCCGAGGGCAATCTCTCTGGGATTTCCACTATTAAATGATATAAAATATACCACTTATCTAAGTAATAAAATTATTAAATTAGAATATATTAAAATGGTATAATGTTGGACTGACTTTAGTATAAGGAGGGTCTATAATCACAAGTTTCGAAAATTTATTCTGCGAACCGAGTTTGTTCAGGGTACCCGCTATTATCACAAGTTTTTTCCGGACTTTTTTTTTTTTTTTAAGGGTTTGTGTTTTGGGTTAAGAGCTTTCGCAGTAAGGCTTGAAGCCCTGAGGGCTTGGGCTCCAGGAACCTTAAAGAGCCAGAGCGCGGAGAATTCAGAAATCTAAGCCCGGCCAGTCCCATGTAAAGCCTAATGGAAATTCATTACGAAACGAGGCCCCAAACAAATTTTGTGATAGGTAGCCCACGGGCCGGTCAGACTGTTTTTAGTAAGTTTGTCTGGCTACCCTCTATAATACCAAGTTTTTTTCGGATGAGTTCTTTTTTGAGTGTGTTTTGGGTTAAGGGCTTACGCAGTAAGGCTTGAGGCCCTGAGGGCCTTGGGCTCCAGGAACCTTAAAGAGCCAGAATCCAGAAATCTAAGCCCGGCCAGTCCCATGTAAAGCCTAATGGAAATTCATTACGAAACGAGGACCCAAACAAATTTTGTGATAGGTAGCCCACGGGCCGGTCAGACTGTTTTTAGTAAGTTTGTCTGGCTACCCTCTACAATACCAAGTTTTTTTCGGATGAGTTCTTTTTTGAGTGTGTTTTGGGTTAAGGGCTTACGCAGTATTACTGCGTACTAAGGCTTGAGGCCCTGAGGGCCTTGGGCTCCAGGAATCTTAAAGGCTGGAAAGCTTCAGGCCTTGAGGTCCTATATAAAGGCTTGAGGCCCTGAGGGCGGTCCCCCCCCCCCCCCCCAAATTTGTTTGGGGGGGTCGCCGGGCCACGCGTTTATAGAGGGTCCAAATTTGTTGGGGGGGGGGGGGGTCCCCCATACTAAAGACAGTGCAACATTAAAATCCACTGCAACGATTAAAAACAACTCAGGACCGTGCTCCACGCATAAACTCACGGAGAGCCCAAGCTCCACATACCTTCCAAATGCAAATCGCGCACCAGAACACAGAAGCGCCTCATCTCTCAACCCGCTTTTTCATCAAAACCCTCACCCTGCACGAAGCCACGAGGTCAAGCCTTGGGAGGTTCGTCTGTGGCCTATGAGGCTCAGCCGCAGAATGCATTGAACGCGGTACTTCCGCTGCAGCAAAAGCTGGCAGAGCTTTCGGCTTCTACTCTAAACCCCTATTTTTGTTGCTTTCCGTTGGCAAGGACATCCTCTATGGAAGTGCCCGCATGATGCTGTGCGCTAAATGTGAGAGGCTCGCGACCCAATTGGCCGTCGCGCCCAGAAATTGAAATTGAAACCCATGCCGGAAGGAAAGCTGCTCGTCCTGTAACGCACTGGACGAAAACAACGACTCGTGCTGTTTTAAGCTCGACTGCGGCGGATACCTTCGAACTAGGTTGCGTCTCATTTTGTATGTTACCCCTAAAAGTGGGGATTTTGACCTGGCGGTGACATGAACACGGGATGGCATCCCAGTATCCTTCTCTTCAGCACCAGCACAACGCCAAGCTTTCGGCGTGGGAGCATCCGTCCCTCCCTACTGGCTAGTGGTCCCTCAAATCCATGCCATTCCAGTGGAAGCGCGCGCCAGGTGCTGCTAGTAGCAAGCCCGCCGAGATTGGCAAAAGCGTCGTGTAGTTATGACTGGATTTGTACTTCCGCATCGTACCTACATACATATGTACACGCATACCTATAGATGGTTAGATGTCCGCGGGAGCTGGCACATGATGAGAGCTTCCAAGCCAAGCAGCGAAGCTGCACCCTTGCCGTTACAGCCTGTGCTGCAACACGCCGTGAAACCTTTCGATGCCAATCTGGGTCATCCTTTCAGGCCCAGAGACTGACGAGAACCTGAGCTGACGGCTCGGGATCTTCGGTGGAATTTTGGAGACCAGTATTCAGAACAACTCGACTAATCTTAATCCCCTCCCCCCTAACCCTTAATACTAAATACCCCTGCTATAGTTATATTCGGGTATATGGGGGGGGGGATTTCATATTGGGAGGAGGCGGGTCCAACTTGAAGGGTAGCCTGATGGAGTCTGCACTGGTACCGAGAAGCAAAAGCTGCAAAGTTGGCAATGAGGGCACCCATTTGGCCGCAGAATCCCATGTTTTCGGTGATCTCCTGGACCTGGGCTTTGCTTGACCAGAATCAGGCGCCGCAGAGACATATGCCCGAGCAGGCTTGGGTGCCAGCCATTTGCTGTTGCCCAAGCCCGCGAGCGTAGAGATACATGGTTGTCACCTCAAATTATTCGCCGGCAACAAAACAAATCTAGCCACAGGGGAGCTGCATTGCGGTTCCTTGCTAAGCTCATCGCCAACAACCCGCGGGAAAAATAGAATAGCCCACACGTCACAGGCAAGAGAAACACGGCGAAGCTGTAGCTGAACCTGGGTGAATCCAGACACTTGCGTTTTTCATGACTGCCGAACAGAAGAGTCGAATCACCTGCTTGCACTGAGCACTCTGCCACAAGGACGCGTCGTACACGGAGGTCAGCAAGCAAACGGAGAACGAAGCCTAGGCCAGTTCCTATACAGCGAAATCGCACCGCAGGGCGAAGCTTGTCATCCAATCTGCGTGAATCCAAGGCTATATACTATATACACATGTACAAATATGCATTTATAGAAATATGTATATTGGTTGTAAGAATAACTACATAAGATATATACACCCGTATACATACTGCAGCTATACTGGCATCTCGACTTCAAGAGCCCGCAATCTGGGATACCGGCCGTCAGGAGCAGCATCCACGTCAGGAGAACTATCCTGTTCCCCTGGACCAAGGCGGTTGCCAATCGTCCAAGGACGTCACCTGATCAGATCTAGGCCGATTAGGGCAAACATTGGCCGACTCGACTCGCACAATGTGCTGTGAGACTGCGTAGGCACTCTACGGTAGCCCCATATCTACAGCTCACACTCAGGTAACGCCTGTATCGTGCCATCTTGGCTATCTTGCATGACTCATATCCTGAATCACATCAGCAGATGCCGAAAGCAGCCTGAATTCTGCAGCACCTGCATCCACAGCAACAGCTGCTGGCTGGCCTTCCAGGAACATCTTGGAAACGTGCATCTTGGAACACAATGTGTCTTGCACCAAAGGGTCTGTGGCTGTGATCCAGGCCGAACAGGCCCCGATTCAGCCAAGTTGCTGTGGCACTGCCAAAATGGCCGGCCTCGGAAACAGCGCACTTCTGCTCGCGGCAAGTCTGACAGATAGTCTGAGTCCTGTGATCCTGCGCAGCAATGACAGGGATAGAACCTCCGCCCTGCCTGCTAGAAACATAGCGCCGCAGTACCCTGCGCCTCCTAGAAAGCTCAGGCTTAGGCCATGAATGGCATCAGTGTCGGCATGGTGTACGTGGTGGCATAAACTATGAAGCAACCAGCCATCAAGAATTTCGCCTCAGCTCTGGCGTCTTTGGGGGGGAAGGAGCAGCTCCGGGAAGAATGGGACAGCTGCACGCACAATCGAGCACCCGCGAGTGAGAGTATGTGTGTGTGTGCTATGGGCGTGCATGCGTTTTGGTTCGTTCTTCGTGCGTTTGTGCGAGTCTGCCTGTCTTCTCTTTTTCGTTCTGCGCACCAAAATTTTTGGACTCGCTTCTGACTCGCTGACTCCTGAGCCAGTCGCTGGAGGGACCGACAAAAACAAACCGTCTTCCTGACTCCCTCCAGCTCTTGCGATGGGCATAGGTGTCGGACTTGCTTCTTTGCTCGAGGCAGTGCACCCCTGGTGCCAATCAAAGAAACCCACTCCGTCTCATTTATCTGTTGCCTATCACTGTCCCTCCGAGCGCGCCTGCGCCGCAATGGCTCCATACTTTCTCTTGTGATTCTTTTCTGATGTCCTATATTGTTGTACCCTCCAGACGCATGTCACCGCGCAAAACCGACATGCCGATTTCCTCGGTATTTACAGTGTTTCCTTAAGGTCACATGCCGAAACCCTCGCTGCCGTCGGTGTTTTCGGCTCCTCCACTTTTCGCCTTTTGGGACAGGCCCACAACATCGGTCTTTACAGTGTTTCGCGCGTGTTGCACGCCGGAAACATCGGCATTTGCGGTCCTTTCCTCGTGTTACACGCCGAACACCTCCGTGGCCAGAGCATCCATGCCCGCACGATTACGTCCGTGTTACCAGTGTGTGCGATTGGCCAGAGCATCCATGCCCGCACGATGATTACGTCCGTGTTACCAGTGCGTGCGATTGGCCAGAGCATCCATGCCCGCACGATGATTACGTCCGTGTTACCAGTGCGTGCGATTGGCCAGAGCATCCATGCCCGCACGATGATTACGTCCGTGTTACCAGTGCGTGCGATTGGCCAGAGCTAGCATCCATGCCCGCACGATGATTACGTCCGTGTTACCAGTGCGTGCGATTGGCCAGAGCATCCATGCCCGCACGATGATTACGTCCGTGTTACCAGTGCGTACGATTGGCCAGAGCATCCATGCCCGCACGATGATTACGTCCGTGTTACCAGTGCGTGCGATTGGCCAGAGCATCCATGCCCGCACGATTACGTCCGTGTTACCAGTGCGTGCGATTGGCCAGAGCATCCATGCCCGCACGATGATTACGTCCGTGTTACCAGCCTCAAGGCTGTGCTTGAAGCACTGCGCACATACCGTTTGGATCGCTCCGGGCAGGTCGGAGCCGATCCAAAGCACTTCGGACAGTACGAGCACGACCACGCTTGGCTCTTCTGAAAAAAAAAAAACGTGAGACGTCTGCCGAATTTAGAGAAAAATTGTATGTTTTTACGCGCGTGTGATGCTTGCTTCAACTATCGATTGTATCGGTATTTACAATGCTTTCCTCTCTTCTCCAAACGTGCGCGCGCGGCCACATACGCCTGCAGCGTTGTTGTAGCACTATGTTACAAATATTTACATATTCTTGTTTCTTTTATATTTACACAACTACATTGGTTTAACATTAATACGATCACTTGGTGCTATATCCAAAACTAACAGATTATTATCTGGCATTGTGTTAAAACAGCATTCCATTGTTCTTTGTTGATACTCTTGAACATTTCTGTGTGTTTTTGTATATTGCTGCATTTTATGTTTTGATGTGTATTGTAACTATATTGTATATATATATATATATATAGTTGAATTCTGGATATATTCTTATATTGCGAAAATAAGATTTCGTGGGTCAGCGGAACGCTTTTAATTATCGTGTGTCTGGTGGTCGCTCCAGCCTTTTGTTTCTGACACAGCGCCAGTGCTGCCACTTCCCCTCTAACTCCCCCCATCCATCATGAAGCATGCCCGCTCTCCAGCAGCAAGAAGAACACTTCAAATGGGCAACAAGACCATGCGCCGGGTGACTATCCTCGGCATGGGTGGCTTCGTAGTTTCGCAGTTCTCGGCCCCATTGACGGCACCTGCCGGTTGACATGGCATGGTTGATTCTCCTGCCTAAGACTCGTGCTGCTTTTGGGCGGGCGAAAGCATTCACCAAATCATAACAACCACGAATAACAACAATAGTTAATACCAGTACTAAGAGCAATACCAGCAATAAGAGCAAATGAGACGCAGAAGCAAGGTTGCCAGCAACCCCTGCCAGGAGCGGTCTACAAGAATTGTACATCAAACACTCCGACAACCACACCTTGGCCATTTGCGGCCTGGCCGTTCTGCCCCCCCGTCTGGCCACAGCTTCTTGCGGTGAAAGCTCCTCCCTGGCCGGCCTGAAGGGGCTGAACAGGGGCTGAGGCAACTTCACTAGAATTGCCTCTGAACAATCCCCTCCCCCTAGTATTGAACCCCCCCTACCCCCGAATATAAAATACTCCCATTACGGACACATTCTAGTATACCAGGGGGAATTTATATTAGGGGGGTAGGGGAGGCTTAATCTTAGGGGGAGGGGATTACGTGAGCTCAATAGCTTGCCTGGATGACCGCCGCTAGGATGAAAAAGACTGCAGGGCTAAATCTCGGTGAGCCCTGCTCGCATCCAGCGAGTTGCCTTGCTGCATGCACTGGTTCATTCATAGTTTAGGGTTTAGGGTAGCTTAGGGCTATTTAGGGCTTATTTTGCAACCTCAACTACATACAAGTATGCGTACCTCCGATGACTCCGGCGCACACTGCTCAATTATGCTGGTCGAGGCGCATCGCAGCAAAGCCTGTAGCCAGCAGCCCACCAAGAGTCATGCCAACACCTCGCATCCCAATTGGGGTCCGCTGATCAACGGACCAACATGGACCGATCTAGTGGCATGTGTGACGAGCATTGACGAGCTCAACCGGTTCGCATCAAAACGTCACCAATCCGCCAGTCGCTAGTCACCGCTAGTCGCTGCAAGTAACACAAAGAAGCCATCTGAAACTCAGCTGCGGCGCTCATCCCTCGTACACAGGAGGCAGGGCGCTGTGCCACTGCAGCCCAGTATGTGACGCTGCTCATGCATCCTGCCAAGACGAAAGATGCCCGCACTGAAAACGCATCTGAAACGCCCTCCCTCAGCTGCGCCGCTGCGCCTACGCTTCCCGCCAGGACGGTGCAAAGGAGGAGGATCGGCGTCGTTCGCCACAGCACGGAGCAAGCTGCCAAGGCTACGACCTCATGAAGCACGCAGCAAGCTTCGATGCAGCAACGATAGAGCTTGAAAATACCGCAAAGCAGGAAAACGGCAAACATCTTGGGGATGCAGAAGGCAGGTAACAGCACTCAACAACTCTTCCCACGCCGTGACCTGAGGTCTGGACTCCTACTACTTGGAAGAAGCCGATAGCACAAACAAGGTTTCCAGGCCGTCTTCTCGTCAACGCCTTGTAGAAGATCGGCGCAATGTTTCCTTAGAGCACACTTTCAAGGAGACTTGAGGGAGCCGAAGCCTTCGGGCCCCCAAATAACCAGACACTTCAAAACAAATATACTATATACTATATATATATATACTATGATATACTATATATACATATATATATATACTGTATATATTATATATACATATGCCAAAAGCCTAAAGCGAATAAGTGATGGGCCAGGCGCCGACCTGCGTGCAAACCGCGATGAGGTTTCCCAGCCGCTTCCCCTCGGGCAACTCCGCCACGAAGAAGGGAAGCTCGGCCTGAATAGGCTGAATAGGGCTTCTGCTGCATGATCTGAGGGCCGCGCGTAGGGTTTCTTTTGCCACCCGCCGAGCAGAGCCCCCCCAGGGGGCATAGGGTTTAGGATTTAGGGCCTCGACGCTCACTTGTGCAGAAGGCCGGCAAGGTCGAAAGCTTGGGGTTGGGAGTGTGTTTCTGAGACAAGCTGCCGTGATGATGTTCAAACTCCACCAGCCACTCCTCAACACCAGAATACACCAGCATAGAGTCAGGCCGAGCAATGCGCAGCACAACGAGATACGATGAGGATGCAAATGCCGCCGAGAGACATTCCTGTCAGATACCACCTCGGAAAAAGGACCGTTTCGACTGCTCCAGTTGTCTACAAGCTTAGGCTGCCACGCAGATATCTCTGTGCATGTTGCTTCCTGACGCGCAGCAGGGAAAGAAGTTAGGATCCGAGACCTAGAAACTGAGTCTTCCCAAAACTTGTGCAGTCTTCCAGGCGTCCTCCGCATCGGGGTGGCTTTCACCACTAATTGCCCGAAGCAGGCGCGACTCCGGGGACTGCAGGCTTGCAACATTGTCTCCCCCGGAATGGCCTGGAGCCGTTCTGTTGGGCGATCGTATGGGGGTTTCCGAAAATAGGGGTGACCTTTTTGGGGCCCCTAGAAGAGGATTCCATTCTATTTCTATTTGGGGTATAAAAAGAGTGTAGCCCTATTTCGGAAATACCGTGTGGCAACAGCAGCCATGTGGATTGAGACTGAGGACTGAGGGCCTGACTTCTGGAGCTTCCAAATGCTGGGAGCATCACCGGCGATCACTAGGAAACGGCATCGGTCTACACAGCGCCCTTTGAACACAAGCTGCACAAAATGAGGTCAGATGAGGCCTTGGCTGCATATCATGCACGTACATGTGCTACATGCAGCAGTAGCCCAAAGAGTCACCTCTGCCGATCTTCGACAGCGTGCCGCTTCAGCTCGAAGTCAGCGGGAAAGGGTTCTATGCCTGGGCATGGCAGCAGCCCAACTGTCATCCAAGCTCCGATCCTCATGGCTGCGAGGCTCGATCCCAAGAATCTCGTGAGCTGGTCGAAGAGCTCACGCGGGCGATGGCGCAGGAGCTCAAACCTGAACTCAGTATGACGAGAGAATTTGCAAACAAGGCCCAAACAATGCACATCCATGTCCAAAAGGTCACACCCTCCTCCACCATACACCTCCGTCTTTTCTACGCATGCTTTGTACAACCATACCTGCTTAAAACTTCTAGGCTACGTGTTGTAGACAACACCGGTGATTGCGATACTTTGCCGTCTTCTTATCGAAAATGCATCAAGGTTGTTTGCAGAACAAGTAGTTTACGGCCGGGGGGTGGGAAAGCAAAAAGAACACACGTCTCTTAGAGTGTCCTGGACATTGTTATCCCCATTAAGGAACAAGCTCTGAACAATATTTCGACTCTCACACTCTCTGAACAATCTTTAGCAAAATTTAGTTATTCTACTTACTTGCTTTGTAAGCAAATCAAACTAAGACAGGTTGTAAGGGCTCCGGGAATTCATGCATAATTTGCGTGATGTAATATCAGAAAAGTTGCATAAATTGAAAAAGTACGTGCGCAGTATATCATGTATTCAAAGTGCCGCCTGAATTCCAATCGCGGAGGCTCCAAAGCAACATTTACATATATATATATATATAGCTTGACGATTAATATGTTTTTGACCAAGCATCTAGAGTACAACTAACATAAATAATCACGTAAACTAGCCAGACAGCTTTAGAGGCTCCAGGATCTTAAATCCAATCGTTTCATGCGGAAGCCCGGCTCCAATTCAAATGCATCTGATAGATCGGATTTCTTATACACTTCTTTTTTGTGTAGACTTTGAAAGTTGAGGAAGGTGGGGAAACTTCGCCGAGCGGCCTACATTCGAGGCTCCCGGAATGAATTAAGGTTTCGAAATTTAACTAGGCACTGGATTTCGTAGCAACGCGAAATGAATTCATTCAAATTCTGACCTTAGTTGACTTGAACTGAATGAATCTGGCGCTTGCATTTTAAACTAGAGGATGATAAACATAATATTTAGATTTGCGCACTGCAAGAATCCAAAAAACGTATTTGCTTCTTCTTGCCAAACCAAACCTCAACTTGAACATCTAGGCCACAAATGCCAAATAGCTCTGGTATCCTTGTAAAATTCGAGCCGGCTCGGATTTCCCAAACATCTTAAAGCACCAGGCCACGAAAACTCCTGCGAATTTAGAGAAGAAAAGAAGAACAAAACCAGAGATGCCAACATGTTGGCTTAGCTGGAAAGTTCGAGATGGATCGAATCTTTCCTCAAGCTAACCCAAAAAGATTCGAATCTGCGGCCTCCAGGGAAAATTTAGGTGCAAGCTCGAGTTTACACGACCTGGTACTTGAAGAATTTTGGAACATTCGAACCAGCTCGTTTTCCCAAAGACTGCCGAAAATCTGAGATGTACGAGGGGGGGCACCGATCCCAAAATTTAAAGTTCTTGATTTGGAAATTCGAGGCGGCTCGAGTTGTCATGACCTGGTGACTTACTGACTCAAACACCCCACAAAGAATCCCCAAACCGATGCGTTCTCATGCTGGCTCGAGCTTACCTCACCTTATGCTTTGACTTGAGCATAGGTAAGTTTCTTGTCGAGCCTATCGGTGTGAGGCCACTTTTTCCGAAGGGGGGCGGGGGGGGGGGGGGGGGTGAGCATCCAAATTTACATCACTATGTCGATAATCTACACAACGGTGTACAACCTCTGCCAGTGCCACACGAATGACATCCTAGAAAGTTGACGCTGTCTCGGCCCCCACACTCCAGCAGCAAAGAGCGGCCCGCTGAGGGGGGAAAGAACTTCACCTGAGAGCGGGTGTCTTCTTTCATGTGCTGAGCTGGGTCCTTCCGACATATGGTAATGTTGTAGCAAAGGTCCTGGCAACGTGTTCCAAGGACCTTGACAAGAACGCGTCCTTAACACGACAATCAAGGCAAGCGCAATGGCCAGATGTTTTTCATAGCAGCCCCTCGTACTTTCAGCGGCTCCTCACTCTTGGCAATCATGTCCCAAAAAAACGTTAACCCATTGCACCTCAACATTGACATCTTCAAAGGTCACGCCGTTGAATATCACGTCCTGGAACTTGGATAGGGAGGCGATCTGTCACTGTACTTGTCTGGTACAATGCTGCAGCGTAAAGCAGGCAAAGTGTAGAGAAAAATGTAGATGTATATAAGAATATATATATATACACACACATGATTCTAGACTTTTCGTTACGTAATAAACATGACGAGATGAAGGCACCTGTAGTGAGGGGACTTCCGAGCAGTCGCTGGGATTCTGGCACCTGTCAGGATTCGGCTAAACGAGAGTCGCCACGGGCGCACGCAAGCGGAACGCTTGGAACTCCAGCAGTTGAGGGCAGTTCTCTCAATCATGGTCCCCAAAACTAAACCCTAAGCCCATAAGAGTGGTTCCCATAAGATGAGCGTGAAAGGGCCCAGGACTTCGAGAACTGCCCATATCCAATGTCCGAGACACTGGTAAAACTTCCGCAGGTTGTACAGGGACCTTATGCTGTTGTGCGCGCCCGTTTCGAACTCACTAGCTTGAGCATTGACGTTGAGCTCACCCGAGTCAGTATGTCGAACTTCAGTGAATGTGCTCATTCCTGTCTGTTTGCTGGGGCCAATCGAACTTGTGTTCAAGCCCTCCGACATGCAGGCGGAGTTGTTGACTTTAGTCGAGGCTGCGTGTTGAAAAGCCACAATCTGAGATGCACAGATGTGTCTACCCTGAATCCCCTCGACACCATTTATCCTCGGGATGGGCTACTTGCAAGGAAGATTCCTCTGGGCAAAGACGGAGGAGGGGCCTGCAAACATCAGGCTTCTGCATTGCGTAGCATGAGTCAACCTTTGATTCTGAACTTCACTTATAGCCTCTTGAGTGGCGACCCTTCACGTTGCCTGGGATGCTGACTCCAGCCACTCGACAGGCTCACGCACCATGACAACCAATCGCAAGTTCGGAATCTGGCGCAAGCCGCAAAGACTAAAGCCGGATGCATGCAAGGGGGTGTAAGCCGGATGCATGCAAGGGGGGGGTGGGTGTCCTTCTAAGGACAGGCGGGGAAACCAGAAAAATCCGCTTTTTTGGAAACTCCCAAGTGTGTCTGCAAAGTGCCGCCATCCGAGGTGGCCTTCGAGGCCAGCCTCAGCGCTCGCTGACCTCAGAGCCCGATGATTCCAAGATGAAGGGTGACCAAATGCCAAAATTGCGGGTCCTTGCTGGCACCCTAAACATTTGCAAGACTTGTGGGTAGTAACTTCCAAGGCGGGCCAGAAGTTACATCAACCCCGCTTTAAAGCCCCGTGGCGGCTTTTCCTTGTTCCTGCGGAATCTCGGGGACCGACTCAAGGCCAGTCCTTCACCTCGCCAGTCGTCACAAGATCGGCAGCGGCACAACTCAACTCGCATTGCACCACAGCTGTCGGGGCGGCTGCCCTTGCCGCCCTTGAGGCTTTGCCTGGACAGGACAGGAGGACATGAATTTTACCGAGTACTGTACGGCTACACGCCGCTGCGTTGCAACAGCCTGCTACAGTATTCAGGTCCCTAAGAAGCCCCAACGACAGTCCTCCTGACAGGCCCGTGGATGTTTTGGACACTGGGCGGCTCCCCCCGTTCTATCGGATGGCTGCCTGGATCCTTCTTCGTCCTTGAAGAAGGAAGCATAGTGCCGCACCTTGAATATGCAGTTTGCAGCTGAAAGAGCTAAGCAGTTCCTCACTGGCGCCTGGGGAAAGTGTGCCCGAGCCCGAAGCCTGCACCTGCTGAGGCAAGGCTGCCCAGTTGAACGTCATCTCTAGCTCCGCGAAGTTGACCTGTCAATGAGTAATATATGTATATATATAGTATATAGTATACAGTATATAGTATATAGTATATAGTATATAGTATATAGTATATAGTATATAGTATATAGTATATAGTAAATAGTACATAGTACATAGTACATAGTATAGAGTATCTAGTATCTAGTATATAGTATATAGTATATAGTATATAGTATATAGTATATAGTATATAGTATATAGTACCTAGTATCTAGTATGTATCGTATATAGTAATGGATAGTATATAGTCGATAGTATATAGTATCTAGTATAGAATTTAGTATGGCGTATAGGATGCCTACAGTGCTGCATAGTGCAGCATAGTGTAGTAAAGCACTAGTATAGCATCATTCTTTGTGAACAAACAAAGCAGATTCTTTGTTGTATACATACAGACATATATATATATATATGCTACCCCCCCCTCAAAGATCCACCGTTTTAGAGACTTGCAATAGACAACACAGCTCCCGTAGCATGTTATATCGTTTCTGCTTACGAGACGCACAAGCACCTGAAACAACCTGAAAAACAAAAATGTATCAGAAAAGTATCTACACAAAACCTGCTGGCTTGCGCGCCCCTTCAACTCACAAGCCTAAATTCAGATATAGCAGCACAGTTCCCGTAGCACAGTTCCCATAGCATGCTATATCATTTCTGTTTACGAGACGTACACAAGCCTGAAACATCCTGAACAACAATACTTTTGTAGTCAGGATGTGATACGCAGTTGCTTTGGACGAGTATCATATAAGACCTTATGGGCTTGTGAGAATGAACAGCTAGATACTTGCGAGCAATTACTAGCAGCCTGTTGGAAGATCTCAGGGAATGGCGAAAAGATATCTGCTCACAGTATTCTCGCGTTCCGGGAACTTACAGCAGATGTTTTTTTCGTATCACCCTACGCCTTCTCCATTGCCTGTGTTTGATACACAATACATATACCCTATATACATACATCATGAGGCCATGTGGGTACTTGTTCTACTTTCTCTTTGTATTTTCACAGGAGGCAAGCCCTGCAAACATAGGAATAACCTTATGGGATTTAAGTTTAGGGATTGAAGCCTTAAGCCCTTCAGGGTTCAAGGTCCTACTCCTATAGGCAATGCCCAAACCTTGATAAACCAGTACCCTGTAATTCCTATAGGGCTGAAAAGCTATCGGGCAAACCCCGTGAGGGTTGTAGAGATAAACCCTCAAAGTCCCAGACCTTAGGTTTGTAAACCATTAAACCCTAGAAGGTGTATGGTACTTTGAGGCTCAAAGTACCATACACCTTCTAGGGTTTAATGGTTTACAAACCTAAGGTCTGGGCATGTACACCTTCAGCTCCGGGTTCAGACCCTAAAGAGTTTAGGGTTAAGGTTTAAATGCCTAAATCTTAAACCTGAAGCCCTAAAGTTAGCGCTTTAAATGCCTAAATCACAGGGTGATAAGGCTCCTATAGGTAATGTCTACATCTTGAACCCGAAACCTGTAAACCCTATAGGGTTTACACCCGAAAGGGCTAACCGCGTGAGGGTTTTAGAGATAAACCCTCAAAAAACCCTTACCCTATAGGGCTTACTGATTTACAAACCTAAGGTCTGGGCATGTATACGTTCAGCTCCTATAGGGTTGAAAACTTTGAGCTTTTTTGGACCCTATGGGGTTTTAGGGTTCAGACCCTAGAGGGTTTAGGGTTAAGGTTTAAATGCCTAAACCTTAAATCCTAAGTTTTGGACTCTAGGGGCTTAGGTTTATATGTCTAGATCTCAAACTCTAAACCTTTAAACATTAAACTATAGGGTTCAAAGGTTAAAGGTTTAGGTTTAATTGCCGACCTATATTTACATGCCTAAATATTCAACCCTAAACCTTTAAACCTTAATCGTGTAGGGTTTAAAAGTTAAATTCAGGGTTTGGGTTGAATTTGAATTGCTTAACCCAAGATTTTGAGGGGCTGTTGGAGATGCATCTTGGAATCTGGCTTGGATCCCGGCCGTTTCAATTGAAACGTTTCCGTTTCAATCGAAACGGCTGGGATCCAAGATATAGGATTCCAAGATGCATTTCCAATAGCCCCTCAAAATCTTGGATCTTGGATCTTGGATCCCAGCCGTTTCAATTGAAACATCGGCCGTTTCAATTGAAACGGCTGGGATCCAAGATCCAAGAAATTGAGGGGCTGTTGGAAATGCATCTTGGAATCTAGCTTGGATCCCGGCCGTTTCAATTGAAACGTTTCCGTTTCAATTGAAACGGCTGGGATCCAAGATATAGGATTCCAAGATGCATTTCCAATAGCCCCTCAAAATCTTGGATCTTGGATCTTGGATCCCGGCCGTTTCAATTGAAACGTCGGCCGTTTCAATTGAAACGGCTGGGATCCAAGATCCAAGATTTTGAGGGGCTGTTGGAGATGCATCTTGGAATCTAGCTTGGATCCCGGCCGTTTCAATTGAAACGTCGGCCGTTTCAATTGAAACGGCTGGGATCCAAGATCCAAGATCCAAGATTTTGAGGGGCTGTTGGAAATGCATCTTGGAATCTAGCTTGGATCCCGGCCGTTTCAATTGAAACGTTTCCGTTTCAATTGAAACGGCTGGGATCCAAGATATAGGATTCCAAGATGCATTTCCAATAGCCCCTCAAAAATCTTGGATCTTGGATCCTGGCCGTTTCAATTGAAACGTCGGCCGTTTCCATTGAAACGGCTGGGGTCCAAGATCCAAGATTTTGAGGAACTGTTGGAGATGCATCTTGGAATCTAGCTTGGATCCCGGCCGTTTCAATTGAAACATTTCCGTTTCAATTGAAACGGCTGGGATCCAAGATATAGGATTCCAAGACGCATTTCCAATAGCCCCTCAAAATCTTGGATCTTGGATCTTGGATACAAGCCGTTTCAATTGAAACGTCGGCCGTTTCAATTGAAACGGCTGTAACACAGAAGTCATATTTATTATGAAGCACTTGTGAGTTCATTGTGAGTTGCACGTGTGAGTTCATTGTCAGTTGCACTTGTGAGTTCTTGTGAGTTCATTGTGAGTTTATGAAGTTGAGGAGCAGATGAATCGGAGAAGCAGACTGCGTTGTTTCATTGTGTTGTCTCCTTGAGAAAAAGGGAAAAAAAGGTGGATCTTTGGGGGGGGGGGGGGGTACCATATATATATATATATGTGGCAGGAACCTTTATGTATCATTTGACTTCCTTTTGTTGTTTTACTATAGAGAGCTCTACTAATTATATTTGATGCTATGTTTCTAGCACTATTCGTTCTATTACAACTTCTGCTTGTTTTTTCGTCGTCATGATGACGCCCTTCAAAAACATGTGAGACGAGCCATCACCCTCGCAGGCTTCTGTGATCCCGCAAGAGATCTTGGTTTAGGCTTCTGAAGGTGATGAAGAGCCACCCCACCACTCGGTGGCAACACTCTCACGAATCAGATCACAGGCTGTTGAGAGTAGCCGCTTAATGTGTGCTGAGCTGGGTCCACTGTGAGAGCGAACCATCCCGAAAACCCTAAACCCTAAACGCTAAACCCTAAACCCTAAACCCTACAGCTCCCCAAGCTCTCAGCAGGACTAAGAGACTTTTTCAATGGCCCCATACTCGGTAAGGCCAGGGAAGTGGCCGGTCACTTCTCAGAATTTCGGATAGCATCCGCAGGGTGAGGGTTTAGGGTTTAGGGTTTAAGGTTCAGGGTTTAGGGTTAGGGTTTAGGGTTTAGGTGTTAGGGTTTAGGTTTTAGGGCTTAGTTTAAAGTTTAGGGTTTAAGCTTTAGGGCTTACGGTTTAGAGTTGGGAGATGGGGAAGAATAAACTTTTGGAACAGGGGCCACGTATCTCAGAGAGGTCCTTCGGAGTGAGGAGTTCTTCAAGAGGGTTTAGGGTTTAGGGCTAGGGTTTAGGGTTTAGGGTTTAGGTTTTAGGGTTTACCCCTGCAGAGGGCTAAGAAGATGGCTAAGGCCACAGTCTGGTGGGCTGCTCTCTTAGAGATGCCTCGGGCGAGGTGGTGAAGGCCGCTTCCCATCATTCTGCACTCTGTAAGGGGGACTCTGCTGGACCCTAAACTCTAACCCTAAACCCTATACTTATTCCTATACCCTAAACCCTAAACCCTAAACCCTGCACCCTAGACCCTAGACCCTAAACGCTAAACCCTAAACTTAAACCCCAAGCCCTAAACCCTAAACCCTGAACCCACACTAAACACTAAACCCGAAACCTGCAGGCCCTCTCAGGCGCCGCCCACTCGGGGCTTGCTCACGTACTCGATGTTGCGTCGGGCCTGGGTTTCGTTGAGGTGCCAACTGTTTAGGGTTTTGAGCTTAGGGTTTAGGGTTTAGGATCTAGGGTATTGGTTTTCGGGCTAGCGGTCGACTTCCTCCTCTCTGCACTCCCTCATCTCTAAACCCTAAACCCTAGTTTCGGGTGGGTCCCTTTGTAGTAGCACCTATATAGGTGCGCATGGCCTGCTGCTTCTCTTGCATCCTCCGTTGAAATTCCTTGACCGCAAGCTATCAACATGCAGGGTCGAACGTGCGAAAGACAAAAATGAGAGCGGGGCCATAGCTCGTTCGTTCTTCCTCCACGTTGTGTGCGGCGAATCCTTCTTCTTCTCGCTCTTGTTGCCGTTCTTGTTGCTGTTCTTCTTGCCGCTGTTTTTGCCTTTGTTCCTGCCCATGTCGCCTCAAAGCAGATCACAAATTGGATAACATTTACGCTTCTTGTTTAGTCTAAAATAGCTGGCCTTCGGCGTGCAAGCAAAAACAAAAGGATCGCGGCGCAAGAATGCTTGAGCAGAACTGAGCATCGCAGTGGCTAAACTTCGCTCATGCATGCCGATGTGCAACACACGTAGCAGCTACTTGCAGTTCACTCAAAATCCCCACGCTTCAGAGCTCTAACCTTTTTCGCCAATCATATCGCCACAGTCGATGTCAGGTTGGCCTGAGCGTCGTGGCATTTCTCGATAACCCATAGGCCTAAACCTTGTCGATGTCGAGCGTAAGCTAGGTGTTCAAAAAGTTTGTATAAACCATACAAAACATTGACTAAAAAACAGCAAACAAAAAAAGAACAAACACCAACACGTGTGCTGTCGGGATTTGCTGTACCGAACGCAAGCTAGCTGTATAAAAATCACAACCTTTTTTTCGAGACTATGCAAAACACTCTGTAAAAACACTCTAATAATTAAGAACGCAGCAAATGACACACTAAAATCAATTTTGACATCTGTAGTGTAGGGATTTGCCTCAACGAGCGCAAGCTAGCTGTACAAAAAATATATTTTTTTGAAACCATACCAAACACTAAGTAAAAAAAACTCAAAAAACAAGAAAGCAGCAAAATAAACACCAAAATCAATTTTGACACGTGTGCTGTAGGGATTTGCCGTGCTTTAATTCACAAAAAAGGCAATTAAATGGTCCTATATACAAAAAACTATACAAAAGCCGAGGCAAAAACAAGCAAACCACAAGAACACCCCCAAACTAAACTTCACTGAAGATTAGAGACTGCTATTGTCAGCAAAGCTGTCGGGATTTGCCGTGCCGAGCGCAAGCTAGCTGTGCGAAATCGCAATCTTTTTAAACCATACAAAACACTGACTAAAAACACTCAAAAAACAAGAACGCAGCAAAACAAACACCAAAATCAATTTTGACACGCGTGCTGTAGGGATTTGCCGTGCCGAGCGAAAGCTAGCTGTGAAAAATCACAATCTTTTCAAAACCATACAAAACACTGACTAAAAAAACACTCAAAAAAAAGAACGCAGCAAAACAAACACCAAAATCAATTTTGACACGCGTGCTGTAGGGATTTGCCGTGCCGAGCGAAAGCTAGCTGTGCAAAATCACAATCTTTTCAAAACCATACAAAACACTGACTAAACACAATCAAAAAACAAGAGCGCAGCAAAACAAACACAAAAATCAATGTCGACATGCGTGCTGTAGGGATTTGCCGTGCCGAGCGAAAGCTAGCTGTGCAAAATCACAATCTTTTCAAAGCCATACAAAACACTGACTAAAAACACTCAAAAAACAAGAACGCAGCAAAACAAACACCAACATCAATTTTGACACGTGTGCTGTAGGGATTTGCTGTGCCGAGCGCAAGCTAGCTACACAAAACCATACGAAACACTGAATAAAATCACTCAAAAAACAAGAAAGCAGCAAAACAAACACCAAAATCAACGTTGACAGCCTAAGGAAATACTATTTATAAACAATGCATGGACTTTTCCTGTTGCTGCTGCTTTCTAGGAGACAGACACGGCGGACCGATAACAGTACCACCGTGTCGTGTCTGCTACAATGTCTTTGATCAGAGATGGCGAGATAACAATAAAACAAGGAAGGGGAGAGACAGTGGACCGATAACAGTACCACTGTGTTCAGGGACCGATAACAGTACCCTGCTTTCCCGGCGGCCGATAACAGCACGCCGGGTTGAGATAAAAATGATTTCACTCTAAGCTCGGCGCTTGCGAAAATGCGAGTGAGGACGTGTCCATACCTGCACGACGCCAAAGATAACCTAACGAGCGATTTTTTGGGTATTTTGTCAAAATATTGTAATTCAAAGAGCACGATGCCTATGATCTACTATCGGAAGGGAGGCCCGGGGAGGGCCCAGGCTCGTGATTTAGTATTGAGGGGAGGCCCGGGCTCGTGATGTAGTATTGGGGGCAGGCCCGGGCTCGTAATTTAGTATTGAGGAGAGGCCCGGGCTTGTGATTTAGTATTGGGGAGAAGCCCGGGCTCGTAATTTAGTATTGGGGAGAAGCCCGGGCTCGTAATTTAGTATTGGGGGGAAGCCCGGGCTCGTGATTTAGTATTGGAGAGAGGCCCGGGGCCCTGGCCAGGAGATTCCCGAACTTTTAAAATTTTTAAAACTTTTAAAACGATTAAAACTATTAAAACTATTAAAACTATTAAAACTATTAAAACTATTAAAACTATTAAAACTATTAAAACTATTAAAACTATTAAAACTATTAAAACTATTAAAACTATTAAAAAGGCTTCTTTTTAATAGTTTTAATATTTTTGGGAGGCTTTTTAAAAGTTGAAACTATTAAAACTATTAAAACTATTAAAACTTTAAAAAAGAAAAAGGCCTGGCCTGGAGATTCCCGAACTTTTAAAACTTTTAAAACTTTTAAAACTTTTAAAACTTTTAAAACTTTTAAAACTTTTAAAACTTTTAAAACTTTTAAAACTTTTAAAACTATTAAAACTATTAAAACTATTAAAACTATTAAAACTATTAAAACTATTAAAACTATTAAAACTATTAAAACTATTAAAACTATTAAAACTATTCAAAAGGCTTCTTTTTAATAGTTTTAATAGTTTGGGAGGCTTTTTAAAAGTTGAAACAATTAAAACTAAAAAAACTTTAAAAAGGAAAAGGCTTGGCCTTGAGATTCCCGAACTTTTAAAACTTTTAAAACTATTAAAACTATTAAAACTATGAAAAAAAAAATTAAAAAGGCTTCTTTTTAATAGTTTTAATAGTTTAGGAGGCTTTTTAAAAGTTCAAACTGTTAAAACTATTAAAAAGAAGCCTTTTTTAATAGTTTTAATAGTTTTAAAAGTTTTAATAGTTTTAAAAGTTCAGGAATCTCCTGGCCAAGGCCGTTTCTTTTTAATAGTTTTAATAGTTTGGGAGGCTTTTTAAAAGTTGAAACTATTAAAACTATTAAAACTTTAAAAGGAAAAGGCCTGGCCTGGAGATTCCCGAACTTTTAAAACTTTTAAAACTATTAAAACTATTAAAAGGCTTCTTTTTAATAGTTTTAATAGTTTAGGAGGCTTTTTAAAAGTTAAAACTATTAAAACTATTAAAACTATTAAAACTATTAAAACTATTAAAACTATTAAAACTATTAAAACTATTAAAACTATTAAAACTATTAAAAAGAAGCCTTTTTTAATAATTTTCATAGTTTTAATAGTTTTAAAAGATTTAATAGTTTTAAAAGTTCAGGAATCTCCTGGCCAAGGCCGTTTCTGTTTAATAGTTTTAATAGTTTGGGAGGCTTTTTAAAAGTTGAAACTATTAAAACTATTAAAACTTTAAAAAGGAAAAGGCCTGGCCTGGAGATTCCCGAACTTTTAAAACTATTAAAACTATTAAAACTATTAAAAAGGGGTCTTTTTAATAGTTTTAATAGTTTTACTAGTTTTAATAGTTTAGGAGGCTTTTTAAAAGTTCAAACTATTAAAACTATTAAAAAAAAAACTTCTTTTTAAAGTTTTAATAGTTTAGGATGCTTTTTTGAAAGTTCAAAACTATTAAAACTATTAAAACTTTAACACAAAGGCGCCATGACAAATAGTACATAGAGGTTCCTCTTACATATATATATATATATGTGTGTGTGTGTGTGTGGATACAAATACGAAAATGCATACTTCATACAGGTCAGTACAAATAGAATTCTAGACATATAGATGCATTCTTTAATGATGCATTTGGTCGTCTACACTTATACTTAATTTTATCTTTGTGCTTTCACTCAGCCGTGCTAGGCGCCGCTAAAACCATCTAAGTCGTTGCTTGGAGATGCCTGAGGATGCTCCATCATGTTGCCACCTGCGTGAGTCCGAGAAGGAGAGCAAGTAAGGAGAGCAGGCATCTGCGACTCATGGAAACATGAGAGCTGCGAGTGACCCTTTGGGGGTTCTTGCTGCGAATCTTGGAGTCCGGCGAAGTGAGTGGGTCCCTGAACGGGCAAAGCCAGCAACTAGGAAGTCGAGCTGCACATCCTCCCAACCTTGCAGGGCGATTTGGGGGTTGCTGGTCATCACAGAAGTCTCTCAAGAGAGGCTCAGGGTCATCCCCCGTGCTATTTTCGACGGACGCCGTCCGTTGTCGCGGCGTCCGCAAGTCTACGGTGTGCATCAAGGTCACCTTTCCGTTCTTGCATGGTCTGGCGTCCGCTTACTGCTTCCAGGACACACGCTGACAAACTCAGCGTCCATATGGACCGCGTTCACTGGAAAGCCTCTAAGTCTGGGTGCCCCGACGTGCCAAAGCCTGAACATTCCGCAGCCTTCGAGTACATCACACATGCCACAAGTTTCATATGCATGTCCTTATGCTGAGGTAGTGGGTTCCGCACTCGATCTCGGAATTCGGCTGCAAGGCCTGTGCAGCAGACACCGGGATCCTCAAGTATTGGGATCTACTCTTTGGGTCCTTAGGCTACGTCCACTGTATTCTGAGAAAAGGTGCATGCAGAGCTGGGAAACTTCATCAGCACATTACCCACCCTGCTCCGGCTACCAACTCGCCGAGCCGGAACCTCCCAAGTAAGGCCATGTCGCGCCACCAGCCGAGTGACCTAGCCGGCGATTTGCACAGCCGAAAATGTCTGCAAAGAGCAAAAATCCCAAGCCCACGCAGACCCGTCGACTCACCACCCTTTTCATGCTCAAGGCGTTGTCTGGCCACTTGTGGGCGACATGCACCTGAGCTTGAGAGGATTTCATTCATGTATGCCAAAAGCCTGTCAAAGGATCATGGTTTGACGGCTACTTGACCAAGGCTGACCAGGCAGCTTGTGCAGAAATGCGGGCACCAAAGAAGGGTCGAGGATGCCGATCATGACATCGTCGGCATAGTCCTGACTTGCATTTCAAAACGACACATTGAAGCATGGTCATTGTGCAGTGCAGGCTGTCCAGCACAATGGGCAACTGGTGGTCCACTGGCAACACCTGTTCGGGAGATAAGGTCACGTATGCTGCAAGTTGAACAAAGTAAAGGCAAACGAAGTCCAGACGGCAAGGGTCGCATCCATCGGCCTTCACTCGAGAGGCTGCATCCTTCCTAGGCTCCCGTGAATCGCAACACATGCAGGCCAGGCCGCCGAACACAAAACCGACAGACGCCACACTTCGCTCGTAAGTCAGATCCAAAGAAGCCCTCGTGCTCGAACGCGGTCCACCGTTGGACAGGACCCGCACTTGATCTCCCTGCGCTCCTGAAAGGGGCGTCTTGGAGCATGATGGATGCCCCCCAAGATCGGTCTCAATAATAATAATAATAATAATATGAATCATAATAATAAGAAGAAGAATAGAAACAATAACAACAATATGTATATATATGTATATAGTCAAACTGCCTCTTTGAGTTCCACCAGGCTCCACCGTCTTTCCAAGAGTGTGAGGTCAACACCGGCCTTGCAAGCTAGCAGCATCCATGCCCTTGACGTCAGATCCCCTCCAAATCATACACCCTCACTCACCTATGTCGCCCTTTTCCTTTTTCCTTTTTTTTTTTTTTTTGGGGGGGGGGGGGGGGGGGGAGGGCTCTGCATCCCACAGCCTCCGTCAGGAAAGACAGCAGGTACGTGGCCACCGATGCATGCATGACGCTGGTCGGCCAGTCCTCCTGCTACTGTGCCCAAGCGAAATTCTCCAAGTACGGTAGTCTGTTTCATCCTTTCTTTCTTGGGGCATGGGGGCTTACGCAGCCCAGCTCCAAGCCTTTAAGATGTTTTTCTCTTTTGCATACCCTGAAGCCCATCATTTCGCTTGTAAACTCGCAACCTCGAAGGGCAGCGGAAGCTTCGAGAGCTCTTCGGAGACGTCCTCGGCCGCCGAACCTTGCGAGCTCTTCTGGGGGGAGGGTTCTCTTGGTGTTGTTTTGGCTGTGTTCTCTTTTCCTTTTTGTTGGTTGTTTTTGCTATTTTGGGGGTGGAGGGTAGGAGGGTAGGAGGCGGCGGGTCTTTTGGGCCGTATTCAGATCCGAATGCTTGGTCTTCGGGGTTCCAATGGGGGGGAGCCGGCACCTTGTGTACTAGAGAGCGGCCCTCTTGGGCAAAGGAGTCAAAAGCAATGCAGTCCGGGCCTATGAAGACATTCAGCGAAATGGAGGGACCTGCACGTGGGCTCCGCAAATCTGTGGGAGCCGGGCATGTGCTGGGCAAGCTCAGCCTTCAACCCCCGAGGACGTGCGATGAGCCCATAGAGGAGGTAGGTAAAGCCTTTGGTGTCTACACTCCAGGCTCCAACAAGAATGAAAGGCCTTTTAAACTCACAAGGGTTCTTGCTCTGCTGCCCTAGCCACGCATCTCCAGGCTCCAGCATCACCGTTGAGAAGTTGAATCCTGCGCAAGCAACTGCACGCCATTTGCAGTTGCTGCCTTGGGGTGGTCCGTGGCCCAATCAAGTTTGCCCAGGTGCCTGCGTCGTTCATCACCTGCCGTGCCTAAGCCGTCTCACACAGCACTTGCCACCTCTCCGAAATACACACTCAGCCGATCTCAGCCGCTTCCATCTCAGCAAAGATTCATACGGGTGTCCAGTCGGGGGTATGGGCAATGTTTGTAGAGATCGTGGAGGCAACCTGTAGGAACCGCACAAGAAGTCACTTTGCAAGCTGTCCCAGTTCTGCATCCGAACCTCAACAGCGAAGCCCAATGTGCTGAGAGTGGGGCAGTTCAAAGGTTTTGGTACCAGATCTGAGATGGGCGGCTGCAAAATATCCTCATGCCCATTTCGACATGGAGAGCCTTCATCAGCTTAGGCACATCTGAACCACCACGTTGTGCCCCATGTCGTAATGAGTGGATGCCCCGGTTGAAGGGCAGGAAATCCAAACATTTGCCTTGGCCTCACAGGGAATCCCAGATGTTGATACAAGTGGTGCACTTACATTCTATTCTATTTTTATAGGGTTCTTAAGGGAGGGGGCTGGGGAGTTTTAGGGAACCTTGGGTTGCATACCCCACTTGAACCCCCTTAAGAACTCTATTCTAGTCTCTCTGCTGGCTTCCGCCCCTCCGCTTTAAAGCTGCTTGGGCCCGGGGCCGGGATCACTAAACACCACGCGTCGTCTCAGGACAAGAACCTGCTGACGAAAAGGACCCTATAATCATCAACCCCACAGTACTCTTAAGGCGCATGGACCGCAATCATACGGTGACCGCACGAAAACCCAGCAGTTCACCAGGAACCGTTCAAAAGACGTCCAATGGACGTCCAAGGCTTACCCCGTTCCGTGCGAGTTCCCTGCCGAACTCTGTGATGCCTCGAGACCTTTCGCTGCCACGGCGCGCACAGCATCGGCAAAGCTGCCCACGAGACTTTGCACGTCTTCGTGGAGCCTTCCACCTGCACCTGATGGCTGCAGATGGCCACAAAAGACAAACAGAGAGTAGAACACGTAACACGACTGCACCGGCCTTCCGCAAGGCCAGAGTAAAAGTACTGTTCCTGGCATCACTATGGTCACAACAGCAGAAGAATGCCACGGCGAGTTTGACACGTTGCATCTCGGCACAGTGGCACCTCCTGGCGCGAAGCACATGCCTCAAACAGCTCTTTGGTGCTCTTTTGCTCGAGGATTCGGTGTGGTGTCGGCGACCACTGGGCCCGCAGGAGCGGGCCAAGTGTCCTGCCAGGCACGTAGTACCTTGGTAAGAGAATGTAAGAGAAGCACTGTTGGGGCTACACGCTGACATCCCATGGTGGGGCAAACCCAGCAATCCAAAGAGCCCTATAGGATTCAAGTATGCCATTGAACACGGTCCGAGGCCAGCCCAGTCAGGCGGTTGGCCGACCTGGACCTTTATGTGTGGGGGCCTAGGCTTCCGCGTTATCACTCTCTGATGTCTCAAGTTCAAGTTTAGGTGCATATGGTGCTAGCGTCAATATAACAAAGTACAGATGTCGGCTGCGCGGCAATTGAAACGGCAGGTCTTCTGAAGCGGCCAAATGGCGTGAAGCGGGTCAGCTGTGCATCGCGAGCTTTTGCCCACACATCCCGCAGCAACGGGGCACTGGTGGCCAAGGACCTGGGACAAGCATGCATGGACAAGCGACCAGCGGACAAGCTGCACAGGGATGCAGCGTGCCTCAATCTGATCTGAACCGAGTCTGAACAGAACAGAACGTTATCTCAGGACTCGGCTGAGGCGTCCAGTGCAGAAGTGCTTGACATGGCAACTGTGAAGCAGGAAGTTTGGTCGGCCGAGCGGCTTCCTGCAGCCACGAGCCGTGCCGGTTACTGTGACTGTGGCCAATAATGGGCTCATGTTTGCACTAAGTTCACGCAGAGTTGCAACAGCTTGGGCTAAACTCGCGCCATCCAGCAGAACCGCCTCGAGACTACATAAGGTCGCAATGCCATCGCAATGAGGTCATGTCACGGATGTGGAGAAGCTCGTGCTGCCTCATGGGCATGCTTGGGCAGGCTCTTGAAGGGCCACGACCACAAGCCTGGGGATGTGATCATGCCCCCTCCGGGCTCCTTTATGGGCCCGAAGTTTATACTGTACACCTCTGATGGGCAGAAGCCGTTCTGGGCGCCTGGCCTATGCAAGCGGCCAGAAGGAACATGGCCAGCGCGGGCCACGCAAATAACGACATGTTTGGCAGTTCAGCTCAGAAGCTTAGCACTTATACATACCTTTACGGAAAGTGTGTCCTGATCTGTGTCGTAGTCAATTAGGTTTGCTCTTCAAATCATGACGCGTGCTTCACAGCGGCGGTATCAAAACACATGTTGCGCATTGCCATTGTTGCCTTCGAAGCCAGTTTCACTGACAGGCTGGCTGCATCCCTGCCCGAACATGCCCGAACACCCATCTTCTGAGTCCAAAAGCAACAGTCGCTGCATCGTCATCGCCACAGTATGCAGGTGCACAGAAGCCTCAGCGCTCACAGCCTAGTTACCAAGTAGTGATCACCGCTCACTTGCCTGAGGTTGCGTCACCAGTGCGTGGTCATCTGCGACCCTCCCACATCCGGGTGCCCGCCGTTGTAAATCATGACGGTGGCCTAAGTTGCGCACTGCCGACGGGCCGATGGGGAGGTAACAGGACGCTGGATTGCTCGGCCGGCCTCAAACATGCGGCCCTGCGAGTGGTGCAAGGCATCCTGGCAGAGGCAGGAAGAGGAAAGCCTGATCAGCCCTCGGAAGCACAGCACAGCGCTCCACAAGATTCGAGCTCGGCGTCCGGCACAATCAGCTGCTACTTGTTCCAACTCAGCGGCCAACACACTTCTACGCAGCCGATCAAACAGGCCCGATCTTAGCACATCTCATCACACACGCACGGGCCCAATGGCTTATCGGAGGAATTGTTTTACTTTACGCATTTGTGGGGGACTGGGTCGAAATCTTTCATGTCGATGAATAAACGGGGGCACACAGCACGCGACCAAGCGCCCGAGAGACAGGGAAAGCAAGCGCGTGTAACGTTTCCGCGAGATTTAGCAGCAGACGAGAAGCATCAAAACGAGCTCAGAACCGAGAATACTGAGACTAAAGCATAATTAGTCCCACAGGTCGGCCCCGTGCGCACGCCCCCGTCCCAAGTACAGAACTGTCGCTTTTTGGGCCTTGGATAGTGCTGTCGTCACAGTCCTTTTTGTCTCCGAGTCGTCCTCCCACTAGGGGGTCCCGTGCGCACGCACAGAACTGCTCGCTTTTCGGCTTAAGTGCCGTGAGTGGCACTTGCCAAAATGCCCTTCATGGTCTTAAACTCTTTGGGGTCCGCGCGGCGCAATTCTATACTTCCTAGGCAAATGCTTAAACCAATCTCAACATGCTGGTCGTCTCTGCTTCCCACACACCATGTTACGATGCACATCCGCAATTGAGGCGCGCGCCTCATGGTTCCAGAGGCCCAGCGTGACCAAGGGCGCGAAGTTCTGGCAGTGCTTCGTATGGGGGACTTCGAGGAGATTCGGATGCCCTAAACCCTAAACCCTAAACCCTGATGGGAGCTGTGTGCTGCATTCGGGCCTCGATTCCAGCATCGAACTCCTCCAGGCATCTGGAAGGTGCGCAGGCTGCCTGCCAGCGCAATCACGCGGCCGTCCCCGCAGTCGCCGCCGGAACTCCCAACATCCTACCATTCATGTCTGGCACTTTTGCTAGCACAAGTCATTGACAAACTCCGCCACCCCCTCCCACTGCCACAGAAATCTACACACAGAAGGCTTCGTCCGCTGACACGGTAAGTCCCGCCCCACCGAGGCTGAATGAAGGTCGATGCTACTGTCTGAAACTACGTGCGCTCGACATACATGCAGTCTGGCATAGTGTGGATGCAAGCCCTGCAGCGTTCTCCTGACGATTTCGGACAGCGTTCAACTACTCCCCACGTCAGTGTGCCACCTGCCCCCATATGCAAGCGGACGAAGCCATGCCAGAGCATGAGTCCTAGTGACTTTGCGAGACAATCTGAAAGCGAACTCTTTGTCAGGGCCAACAAGGAAAGCATGAGCTAGCTACAGTACATACGAAGTTCTTTACTGTTTAAAAAAAATCCGGCTAAAGATCTGGTAGTCAACGCCTCCCCTGAATGGCCCGTCACGTCCCCTTCCTGAAGTCACGGCACTGCGACATGCCAAGGCTCCGGGGGCGCCAAGATCAGCAGAAAACACTGCTCACACTGCGACAAGTTGATCTTGAGTGCAAGAAACTTCCCCGCCAGCCCAGGCCAGCGTCACATGCTCCAGTTTTCAAACGAACTTGCTGGAGAGATGCTATCTCAAGAAACCTCCCTCACATGCTGCGAGAGCTCATCTGAATATCTTCAGAGATCGAGTCCTCAGAGTACACCTGAACCGCAGCACTGCAGAGTCAGATGCAGGTTCACAAAGGCCTCTAGAAAGCCTACACTATATTTGTGCATATCCACATGTACCTATATATATATATGTAAACAGTTATGTAAGATAACATTATATAATGCTGTAGAATTCATACACATGTATATATAAGCAACATATGTGTACCTCTATATATATATATGTGTGTGTGTGTATCTTCCATGCGACGATCTTGCTCTTCGCCTCTTCCGCATCATCGAAGCCAGGTCTGGCCGGTAGGCTCGACAAGCCAGGCAAAGGCGGCACGGTCTTTGCCTTCGCAGAGAAAAGCATAGGGCTTAGGCGGCTTAGGGTTCAGGGTTTAGGGTTTAGGGTCAGGCAATACAGAGGACGCACCATCAACTTGCTAGAGGGTTTAGGGGAGGATTTAGGGTTTCGGGCTTAAGGCTCTTCGCCTTCTCCTAGATTCGGGAAAAAACATATGCTGAATGCCACCATACCACTGGCGGGCTGAAAGCTTTTGGAGCTTCCTCCTTATCCGGCTTGGCCTCACGCGCTCCTAGCCAATGCTGATAGAGGCAGCAGAGTGTCTGCTGCGGGTTTCAGTTCTTGCAGCCAGCGATTACAGAGATTGAAAGCTATTGACATGGCTGCACTGATCTTTACTCAGGTTAGGCAGGCAGCCATTTGTCTGTTTACTGCGCATCGGTCGTAGCCCCGAAACGCAGAGCCGCAAGCCAAATGCCCACAACACAGTTGATATGAAAAGTTGCGCGGTCCTTGCTCGATCCGAATGGGGCGGACCGGCTCGTCGATGGAATCGTCGCTGGGCGAATCCTTACAGGAAGTTGCAGCCATGCAGGTCTGTGCACGACCAGAAGAAGCTACCCCGGCCGAAAAACAAACTAATCAAAAGCCAGCGCTAAAGCCCGAGGCGAGGATCTGAGTCATCGAGTCGCCTCTCTGCCTCGAAGCGCGCCTTCGCCTTCGCGAGGTCGGCTCGGGTGGGCCGGTCGGATTCCTGAGATTGTTTCGGGGTTAGGTTTATGGGTTTATAGGTTTAGGGTTTAGGGTGTGGTGCATCAACCTTGCATTGACGGCATGCTGTGCTGCACGGCGTCCTCGTCGCTACTTGCCAGGTTCACATCTTCCGCTCGCCCCCGCATCTTCATAATCGCAGCAGCATCATCCTCACTGTCGCTGTCTGGACCCGGCCTTGCCAGTTGCAACATGCCCGGTAATCGTATACCGATGCCCTGTGGCATGTGCATTCGTGATGTCTTTGTGCAGAAGAGTCGCATCCAGAACACCTCACCTGCAGGATGTTTCATTAGAATGCTCTTGGCATCTGCTCCTCGCTGCTCCTCGCGCTCCTGCTTTGCTGCGAATTCAAGATTCCATTCTGCAGTGGAACGACAAGCGACGTCCAGGCAGCTGCCACAAGGAAAAACAAAGTCCTGCTGAAGCATGGCGTCTTGCCGCTTTGCAACCTCAGACCATGCCCATGTCCCCGGCATCGGACATGGGCGGCTTGACACCTAGACCGAGGTCCAAACAGAGGCCCAGCGCTGTGCCTCGGCGCGGGCTACAGCGAGCTCATCGGCCAACTCCTCCTGGACGCGTATGCCGCGTTGCCCGCGACAGGTGCAACATGCATCAACAGCCGCACCACAAAACGTGACTTTAATGAACGAGTCGCACCCCCCAACAAGGAGGAACACCAACAGATCGGCTCAAAAAAATGCCAGACCAGCCTCCTTTTCCTTCAACTCCTCGAACTCCTTTCTGTACTTCTCGGGGAGCGTTTCGGCATGCTGCTGGAGGATGCGGGCAACCTTAAAGGACTCTTCCCTGCCTTGCGCAGGAACCTCTACTTCTAGCAGACTCTGGCAGACAAACTGCACCTCACAGCACCGTCGTGTAGTATGACGAGTCCATTTCTGAGATGTGCACCCGCAAGTCAGCTGCATTGGCCTCACACTGCAAGTCCCACACCTTCCGAGGTTCCGGGCTGCAGCCAAAGCAGAGCGCAGGGCTGCAGGGCTGCAGGACTTGTCTTTCAACTTTCAAGGTCGGCCTCTTTGCGGCACTGCTTCAGCTTCTGCGTCAGCTGAGTGACAGTATTGTCTTTTGCCCTGAGCGCCTGCAGTGCTCTAAGATGACTTCATGACAACCACAACACAGTCAGTGATGCTTGAACACAGGTGATAGAAGGTCGGTCCTTGGAAGCCTCGAGGACTTTAACGCGGACGGAAGCCAACATGCCACCCTCCTGACAAAATTGCCAGCAGGGCCGGAAGAAAGGTGGAAACTCCCCTGGGCACGATGAACCACTTCGGATGCTTTGAAAGAAAAATGCTCTGTCCTCTTATGTCCTTAAACCCTAAACCCTAAACCCGAAACCCTAAACCCACTCCCTCCTCCAATTCGACATACAAGCTCGCCTCTCTCGGGCCTATATAGGTTCCCTTCACCGCCTTAACCCCAACCACTCCGATGATCTCCGAAGCTCCCCCCCCTACATTCATAAGCAGCCCTAGAAAGCGAGTAGGTTCCTAGTCCGGCTCCTATAAGGGTTCTACTAGATATCGCAGTGAAGGAAGTGATCAGGTACGACTGTCGTGAGACCCTAGACCCTAAACCCTAAACCCTAAACCCTAAACCCTATTCCCTAAACCCTAAACCCTAAACCCTAAACCAACCCTAAAAGCTCCTCGGTGAGCACCAGGCGCCGCCTCGGCGGCTCGGGCTTCTTGGGTTCCAGGGACTCTGGTCCCAGCTTCGCGACCAGCTCCTCCACGCTCTCCTTGGCCAGACTTAAGGGTTAGGGTTTCGGGTTTAGGGTTTAGGGTTTAGGGTTTCGGGTTTAGGGTTTAGGGTTGAGGGTTTAGGGCCTATACTTCTAACCCTATGAAGCATGGCATGTCAAATCTCTGCTGCAACTTATACTGCAGGCATATACCATGCATGTTAGAACTTGTTTTATGCTATGTAGACTTTGTGTAGAGCCTGTCGGCTGCTTTTGACCCAGCAAACAGGTATACCTACTCGAGCTAGCGCACCTGAGCTTTTCTTTCAGGTCTTTTCCTGGGGTTCTCGCTGAGATTGGTTCAAGATGTCGGTTTCACTGCGTGCCTTTCATCATATGTATATATATGTATATATAGAGACACACACACACCCACCCTCGCGCCACGCAATTGCTGGCGTGCACCGTCACTTGGGCAAAAATCTAGAAACTCTTCTTTCAGATTTCCATTTCTGCCCGAGATGCCTTTCGACTCTCACACTGGCAAGGGCTTTGCGTTCCTGAAAAAACGGCTCACGACGCCCAGTCCACCATTGCTGTATCCCAAGGTTGTGTGCAGTGTGTGCATGTAGCTCTAGATGGGAGTTGCTCTACATTCGGGTTTTTTGATGCTGTTTCTTCCACAGTTTCGCACAATGGCATCTCCTTGACCATTGAATACATCTAGCAGCATTTTCATGGCGTCGGATGCAGGCTGTGACTTCCTTGGCTGTTCCCTAGTACGGCGTTCCTTTAAAAGGACCACACCCCCCCCCCCCCCCCCCCCAAACCAAAAAAAAACGATAATAACAATATAAGAAAGACGAGACCCGAGTCTAGAACAACCCCTTTCTCCCCTTCCCAACGCTGGTCCAAGTCTCTGAGCTGACAGGAGGTGTCGATGTCGCAGCCACTGGCTCTCCTGACCATGTGTTCAGGATTTAGGAGTTGAGGGGCTCAGAGCAGCTTCAGCGCGATTGCCCGTGCAGCGGCAGAAGATCGATATGCTCCGGCTTCACCACTCCAGGGCCCGGAAGTGGCAGCAAACTTATCGCACAAAGGACAATGTGGACCGGAAGAGGAATCAATCAACATGCGGTCAGGCCATGGTTTTTGGGGGGCTTAGGCGAGGCTCTTTTAGCATTTTAGCGCGCTCCTACTAAAAGCCCTTGGCACAGCCTTTCCGGGCTGCATTCCACCACTTCCCTGCTTGTCTTACACAGAAGGCACTCGGGACTGCCAAACATGAAAGCGTGCTGGCCATCTAATCGGTGGGATACGGGCCACATGTAAGGGGAAGCTCCCACAGCTGAAAGCCATCGGGAGCACCTCGTTGCGCGAGGATCTTCTCTAGCAGTGCCTGGAGCTTGGTGTCCATCTCATTGATGTCCTGGTCACCTACAGAGCTCAGCGATGCACGTATGGCATTCGGATGCCTAAACCCTAAACCCTTTTGAGCAATCCGCGCCTGACTTCCAGGAGAGGCCACTCGCGCCAAAGAGCTGACGAAGTGCCACGCTTGCCTGCTCCCGTGAGCCTTGCGATCGTACCAACAAGTATAGGGGTTACGACCTCTAATATAGACCCCCAAGTAGTAGGATTCTCTTAAAATAAGGACCCCGAGAAGAGACCCCAAATTTCGGAAACCCCCATGTGCCAAAGCAAGAAGGCAGACACGGCATGGACGTGCGGCTCTCGCGCAATAGGGCCGCCTGTGTCGCGGCTCGAACTTGCTGATTTGGTCATTGTCACCAGCTTCTGGAGAGCCTTGGTTGCAGACTGGCAAAAGGGCGGGAAGGAGGGGAGTTCCGAAGACCCTGCAGCAAGTGCAGGCGTCCGGCGGAGCGGGCCATCTTTGACTTGTCTTCCCTCGCAGCCGCCATGCTGAAGGGGACACCGAAGAACAAAAGAGCTCCAGTCTCATAAGCAGGGCACGTTGCTTGGTTGTCTAAGCTAGGGCTTGTCTTTTGTGAAAACGTGAATTGAGGTTCTGTTCCTGTTCCTGCAACCATGGGCTCACCGTGCACATCCCGTGATGCTTTGCACAGCCGGCCATCTTAGGCCAGATTCGGCTAGAGCCAGCTGAGAATCTTGGAACATCATTGTGGAAGACGGGCATCCAGCCAGAGGTGCATCCCAAAGGACGCAGACCGAGAGAGAGAGAGAGAGAGACAGAAAGGTAACAGTGTGTCTGGTAATGCATGGAGATTCCCAGTAGCACACCATGTTCGTCCATCTGTGGTGCTTTTGTAGAGAGCCAATCTGAAAGGTAACATAAGGGCCTTATTAGAATGGAGTCTTGGTGGGCTATAGTAGCATTATATAGGATCCATAAGGGAAGACTAGTAGTAAGTGTAGACATGGAAACCCTTGACGTGTGCCCCTGCCGATCCCGCCTCAACACAGACAACGCGTCCTGGACGGTCTGGAGTCTCAACGAAGCCTGGGCATAGGGTTAAGGGTTTAGTTTAGGGTTTAGGGATAGTGACGTGAAAGATTGAACCACATGGGGCGCAAGGTTAGAGCACGGTTTTGCTGCGTGCTTTTCTATGCGACTCTGCGATCCGATCCATGAACCTGGGCGTGAAGCGAATAGGTCCTCTCACTGGAGGTCCTGATGCCTTTGGCATCATCCAAAGGGTCTCCAGGTTCAATCTGAGACCTATCGGCTGAGGGAGTCTTGCGGCCAGGCATGCAGAAACATGCGAAAATCTCCATATCGCACTTCATCACCTCTCTTGCTGGTGTCCACTTGCGGAGGAAGCAACATACTACTAAGCAGTTTCGCAACAGCAGCAAGCACAAGAACCTGTGCCATAGAGCCACAGGGTAGGTGAAGGTAATATACTAGCTTCACAGGCAGGCAACCCAGGACATGCGCCAAGGAAGGTGAGATACCTCCGCAAGCTGGACCATGGCGTTGCAGCCCGTCCAGACAGACGCCACATCATTTGGAGGGATGGGACATAGCCTTCGTCTCGAGTCTCTGGTATTCCCTCAATGTGTGAAGGAGCCAATGCTCAGCTGGATATGGGGCGTGGTGGACACCGAAGCTGGTGGGCGATTCATAGCACACTAGTTCCTTCCTGCCCAATGACTGACCTTGCAGGTTTCCACCGGAGCCATAACAACTAAGTACATAAGTGCACGTTGGCACAAGGCATCGTGGAACCTGTTGCAGCTTGCTTAGGCTCATGAGAAAATAAGAACCTTGGGGCGATCAGCTAAAGCATGCCAAACACGTTCACCGTGGATGTCGCCGCGAAGAAAAGGAAAAGGCCACCGCCTATGTACGTCAGCGTCTTCTCCTGAGCTATTTAGGCATGTCTGCGGACAAGGACCTCCATCAACTGAGCAACACTCACCTGCTGTTGTTTCTACCATGTCGGGCAAGGCTCTGACACGTACGTGCTGATCAGATCACCGAGTGCCACAGCAAGCAAGGTGGCAATGGCATGGGCAGCAATTGACCCCACGAAGACGGCTGCAGCCCCTTCGGGCCCACCCTGGGCACTCAAGGCTGCGGCCGAGATGAAGGAGCGGTCGCCCACCTCTGCGGCAAAGACCAGGATGAAGGCCTGGCCAAGGGGGGAATGAAGGGTCATGCTGCTCCAGACCATCCTAAACCCATGAAACCCACTCTGGCTAACAATTATTCTTATTTAATGGTCATAAAGAAAAAAGCAAAAGATAATAACAAGAATAATAGGAGTAGTAGCAATAATTGAAATCGCCTTGCCTGGACGACTAGCGCAGGAATCGCCAGCTTGGTCACCCACTCTGGCAGGGACTCGTTGACCGCCTCTTCTGCCTCTTCCTTCTCTTCTGCCAGGATGCTACCATCATCCGGCATAGTTGATGCGTCGAGCAGGAGCTTCACACCGAAGTAGCCAAACCTGAGGCCAAACGAGTGCTGTGCACATATACTGTTGCATACACCGGTCATCAATCGAAACTGCAACAGTTCTCACGTGCCGCAGGCTATGCCGAGGATCGCAAGGATTGAAGCATAGTCATCTAGGGGGAGACCACCGGCTGCATCCGGCACTGCGTGAAATATCTGGCCGATGCTCACGGCAATGAACGTCATCACGGCCAAAGCACAGATGGCCCCAATAAAAGTCAAGACCTGATGCAGGCACAGCCATCATGAACAAGAGTATGATGACATGTTGGAAGAGAGCACATACCTTCCTGCATTCTTGGCTAGACCTCATAACTTCTTCTAGCGGGCTTTTTGTAGATGTTTCTAGATCAGATTGATTCCCAGTACTTGTTGTTAGTGGTCAGCTATTGCTGTGCTAAGCTTCAAGTCATTACGCGTGACAGCCAATGTCAGGCGCACATACCTTCGAGCAGCAATCCTGTGGTTCTTGCGTGAAATTTGCGTGAACACATGCAGTTTCTTCAACTAACCTCATGCCGCCCTCAAGTCACAAAGGCAATGGCTTCAGGACATCCCCCTGCGCCTTCTGACTCAGACCATCTGCGGCACTGCTGCCAGCAGCCAAAATTGCGGCGATAAAAAAGGTCTTGTCCCCGATTTCGGACACAAAGGTCAGCGCGAAGGCCTCAGGTGCAGGAAGTTGACGTGCCCACGATTCGGCCGACACAGGTTGCCACACTCATGTCTCCTCATGCCTCCGTGACTCTATGGCCCTGGGAGTTGCCCCTAAAGGGTCGCCTTTAAGGCTGCGATGCTTGGGATGCTTATCGCCGGCCTGCACGATTGCGTCTTGAGGCTCGATGGTTGCCTCGACGGCCTCCGCATGCGCAGCCGCTGGGGCCAGCACAGCAAGCGCCTCCCAAGGCTTCCATAAACCCTAAACCCTAAACCCTAAACCCTAAACCCTGAACCCTAAACTTCCAGGCATCGAAACATGATTCAGGGGGTCCAAGGAGGTGCAAGGAGGTCAGGAGCGGGGGCAGGACTCAAGTAAAGAAGTGTCCAGCACTGAAGTCAAGTCCGGGCTGCTCCCAGCGGAGCAGCTGCCCTCAAAGCGTTGACATTGGATGGTCCCGGTGGTGGTGGCGGGACGAAGACGCTGCCTGAACGCACCAGGCCCTGTCGCTGCAACACCTTGCGATTCCCTCGAAACGCTCCCTTGCCTCGGCCCAGCATATAGCAGCAAGCTGCAATCCACAGCAAAACTCGCCGTCGCTCCTGGTGAAAGCTCCTGCACCAATTGAAACTACACACCGTGGCAGAACCCTCCGCTGCTCTACTCTCATCTTCTCTCATCCTCCTGCGGCTGCGATGAATGCGCGAACACACGCGAACGTACGTAAGCTGCAAGCTGCAAGTAACGAGCATCAACAAGTCAACCTACGTTGCGCTTGGCTTCCTGGAACACTTTGGGAGCATCATCCAGGCCATGGCTTGATTGATTTTGGGCAGTGGCTTGAGGGCAACTGGGCTTCCATCACCAAGGGCCAAGATGGGTCAATGCAACTCAGGGCAGGCGCGTTGCAACTTGGGACCACACAGGTCAGAACATGAGTGCTGGTAGGCCCCATGCTTCCGCCCATACGCTCGCAGGCTTCGCCAGCCCCCGTCAACCTCAGTCCAACAGGACCGATCACAAGCTTCGCCAAAAAGGGGCGCAAGGCCCCAGCGTAGCTCGGCTCGCTTCTGCCGGAGGAAAGATGAAGACCACCCGACCGTGGATGGTCCAGCCCTACAAAGTGCGTTCAGTAGAGCACGGCATGGTACATCTCAAATGAGAAAGAGAGCAGACAGCACAGTTACCTCGGCACTTGCTTTGCTGGTATTGTGTTCAGATGTTGGCCTTGTGCAGCAGCAAATCGCATGGAACCGGAGCTACTTGCCTCACGGGCATTTTGGCGCGAATATAGGTGATCACAAATGATCGCAGGCATCGAATGCCAGCTGGTTAAGCAGTTTGAAAATGCAGCGTGGACATCAGTGCCTATACTGCTATGTACTGATACTGTGCCTGGGCACGCCTGAGCAGCGAGTCTGAGGGCCCAGCAGCTCCACCTCACAAAGCGCAAACTCATCGGCGGGCCCTGCACTGCTGCGGATCATGACCTAAGCCGGAAGGTATTGAGCTTCAGAGGAAACTCGGCTCCGGCTTCGCTTGCAGATGTAGGCTTTCGGGGCATCTTTTGCCATTCTCTACTGTTGATACGCATGCTCAGTCATGCTCAGTAGCCGGCACCTGTAGCGGGCTTCCTGGACGTCTCACTGGCACCTCGACTTCAACATACTGGTACGGGCACTGGTACGGGCACTTCCACGCAGATCTCGCAGCATGCGTCTGCTCCAAGGCACAGTGCACGACAACCGCGTTGCCGCCTAAAGCAGGTGCAGCATCCAATGAAACGACTATCGGCTGTGGCAGTCCGCAAAACTGAAACGCGTGCCCCACCCAAGTTCTCATCTGCGGACCCACAAAGAAGTTCCTCCTCCCCCACCTGGACAGGCTAAACCGTAAAAGCAATTTGCCCTTCGCTGGCTCGAGGAAGCTTGGCCCCGCTCGATGAGGGTAACCTCGTAGACGAGCGGCTCCCGAAAAGGGAGTGTGTTTAGCTGGCCTGAGCAGCTGAAACATGCCCTGACTTCTGTATGAGCAGATGCAGCTTCAGTCAGCTCCGATTCATGGCCCCCCGTCTTGCGGATTGCAAGTGCTAGGCGGCCGGAAGGCGCCCACAACTTACATGAAGCAGCTTGTCGGATCCGTTTTTCGCGCCTGTCCACAGCATCACTCGCGTCACCTCAGGGGCTCAACAGCCAAAGGCGTCCGAGAAGGGCCGCGAGGCCTAAGCCGGCTAGGTCATCTAGGTCCGGCTTTGGCCCCTATAAGGGGTCGACGATGTACTCTGCATCCAGCTCCAAGCGCCAAGGTTGCCTTTGCACGAGTCAATGCCACGCGACAAGTTCAAAGGATCCAAAAGGATCCCAAAGTTGCCTGCGCGAGCATCGTTCTCGCCGGTAGTCGCCGTCCTTGCCATAAAGATGACCAACACAGCGACAAGATGACTCAGGCACCCCTGATTCACGGAGTCATTGACATGTTTCCGAAGAAGCAGCAACACAGAACGCACACTGAAGTGCCGGTGCAAGCAAACGCAGCTGGCAAAGAGCGCAGGTACGGAGGCAGGCCCGCAATGCTTCGATGTGCATCTCTGGGCTGCCGCGCAACTGCCAGGAGATCATCCTGCAGCTGCTTGGTCGCGGCCCACCTCTGCCATGGCCTGTCCAAGGGAACCGGGACACTTACAGGTCCTGGGGTCCTACTTGAAGGTTCATGGTACGTAGTAACCAATTATAGCTGTACTTATACATGTACTTATAACCATATTAGGGCACCTAAGGGGCTTATAAGTGGGTTATAAGTACAGTTGTAATTGGTTCATAGGTACCATGAACCTCCAAGTGTAGGCCTCCTTGCAAACTGCAAGGGCATGGCAAGGCACATGCGCGGGATCTTCGTTTCCTACAATGGCCTAAGGGGCACCCAAAGCCATGGCAAGGCCGCTTCGGGCTCTGCGGGCCTGGCAGGCCTGCAACCCCGCTGGCCCGAGGCAACCTTCAGTCGGAAGATCTCAAAATCCAACTTGTTCAGAAACTTCGTTGGATTGTGGTAACCCCTTATGATAAATCCCCATTAAGGACTGTTAGTATATGGTACCCCCTACTATAAATCCCTATTAACGGACCTGCTAGCATAAGGGGGAGCATGCCAACTTGCACCCTTTAAACCCAGGACCCGAAACAAGTCTGGGGCTCCACTTTGCTTTGCCCTGAGCCCAGGGCGTTGCCCATTTCAAGCCACTGCTCTGTGTGCCCTGGCTTAGTCTTGTGGATCTTCAGGAGGCACCGAGTCTTCCACCACGAAAAGACGGCACCGGGCAGAACCTGGACTTCATGGAGCTGCGTCGTTTCTAGCAATGGCTTGGCCTTTGCAGGGCAGCGATCCAAGGTGACCGCGCAGCCCGGGTCAGAGTCTCCCAGATATCCATCTGGAAAATAGCTGAAAGCCCTGCACTCCTGCGGCAGACAATAAAGCTCACCTGGCAAATTTGCCACGGAAGGTCTGTTCCTCCGTCGCTTGACACCGTAGGCGGCCTTGGCACACATCGCTCCGATTCGTGAAATCTTGCGGCTGAGACGGCAAAACCCCAAACATCTGAGACACTGGCAGGCGGCTGCAGTGGGCACTTCCTTCAAAAAAGCAAAGTCCTGGGCCAACGTCGTCCATCGTCTCTGCGCAGCAGCTCCAATCCGTCAGGCCAATGCGCTATTGCTAATATTGTTAAGCCTTAAGCGCATGACCGCTCCCACTCGATCTCGGCCAACATGTAGGCATTCAACTGAGACTCAGATCAGGTGTCCGGGGAGCCAGAGAAAAAACCAGGCGAAATACTGCAGCCTGGATCTGCGCAGTCGCGCAATCCATAAATGACTCCGGCGTGAGGTGACCATGGAGCCTCTGCACACCCACAGCAACAGTGGAAAGGGTGAAGATCCAATCGAATAGTTGGCTGCTATGCTCGATGACTCTGCTCTGCACTCTCACAACTGCTCAGTTGTAAGAACTGGGCATCTGTTGTGGCTCTCAGAACGCAGACCTGGCTTTCCAACTCTGCGTCGCTTCTCTCGTATATGGCACTAGTACATGAGCATCGCGGCGAAATGCTGTGAGCAGCCGCGCCAAGCCGCGCCAAGCCGCAGAGCGCTGGCAAATGGCCAGCTCTTAGGGAATTCTGAGGAGTCGGCTCGGCGAAGGCCAAGAATGGCTGCCGCCGGAAGCCTGGCACAACACTCAACTCTGCAATAACAATCTACGAAGACGGATAAATAAATAATAACTAAGATTAAAAGCAAAAAGTAACAACGATAACAGTGATCATCGTAATTGGACTTGGACCCCTTTCTTCCCGCCTGCAGCCGATCGGCTCCCAGTTCTCTGGAAAATACGTCCAGCCACCTGCGCCCGAAAAACCAAAATAGTCCGCCGCAACTCTCAGGACGCAGGCGGAAGGCACGATGATGGTAAGAACATAGACAGCTCATCTTCGGGTCCCTGCCAGAGCACCGCTTGACAGCACGAACGATGAAGAGCCCGATGTTAAATCCGGCCGAAAGCCCAATTCGCGAGAAGCTGAAATTCACTTGCAGCCTGACAGTTTCACAACTGGCGTCCCGCAACAAAGCAATTTCGACAATGTGAAAAATGGAATTGCTGAGCCACATGAGGCAGGGGTTTATTGCTGGCAAGCCAAGCGGACACCCCATAGCTTCACTCGCCAATGTGTATAACCTACACCAAGTGAGGCGCACCCAAGAGTATGTATGAAGTAGTGACCTTACGTGCTGCAAGATGCGCCAACATGACCCTAAACCCTATAAACCCTCTAAACCCTAACCCTAAAGCCATAAAACCCTAAAACCCTAAAACCCTAAAACCCTAAAACCCTAAAACCCTAAAACCCTAAAACCCTAAAACCCTAAAACCCTATAAACCCTATAAACCCTATAAACCCTATAAACCCGAAAACCCTAAACCTTATGACGCGTGCTGGGCATTGGACAGTAATGGGGGCGGTTTGTCTGGTCGACCAAGGTCGAGCCGAAGGATGGTGAGTCGTTCATGGGTTTAGGGTTTAGGGTTTAGGGTTCAGTTAATCACACCATCCTACGCCCCGCAGGAGGGAAGAGTACTGTTGGGGTAAGCTGACTTGGGCATTGACCTCTCCTACTCCCCCCGCCCTCGCGCCACAACCAGAATCCTCTTCACAGCGGTTCTGGCATTGGGCTGCGCCTCAGTCGCAAGAGCTTGAACTCTCACAACTCATACGTCCCACGAGAAGCACAAGTGCTAAGAAAGCTCAGTTTCCCATTAGATACTCCCGCAGCACCTGCTAAACAAAGTCACGTGTGTGTGGAACATACACAAGCCTGGCCGCACTGTGGAACATGGTGTCCAGTACCCAACTAGAGAGAAAAAAATGCTGCAACACGCGTCAGTGCTGAGGATTGGGTGCCTGCTTGTGCTTATGACATCATCCCCTTCAGGCCATCAATGGTCCGCACTCGCGACTATGCTATTCCTAGGAATTGTGTGCAGAATGGATGCGGTGCTGGAGTTTGGCATGGAGGCTGAAACACGGATGGCCATCTAGGGCCAAGCTTCTAGTCACAGCATGGGATGTCCCACACTTGGAGAGCGGGTTGGATAGTAGCCGCCTTGAGATGCAAGCAAAAGTGTCAATGAGCGACGCCGCTCCTCTGCTAAGCAGGGAGCGCGCGAGCGTGTGTGTGTGTGTGCGCGCGTGCACGAGCGAGAGAGCGAGAGAGAGAGAGAGAGCGAGGAGAGGGACAGGGAGCTTCGTTCGTTCAAAGAGCCTCGAGCTCACAACAACATCTCAGAATGGCTGGTGACCTGAGTTGGGGAAATACCTGCCTTGTGTTGCCAAGCCGTTAGCTGCTTGTGTGAGTGTGGAAACACCTGGACATGGTGATTCCATGTGATATCTGCAGTCCACATATTGCACATCGTGCCTTTTTCAATAGCAGGGGCACCAGGAGTGCATCGCTCAAGTCATGCACTAGGAGGTGGTCGGGGGACGCCCGACAGCACCACATGAACTTGTTGGTTCGTCTGTGACCTTCGAATGATCTGCGAGAGACAAGTCGTTTTCTGCTCAGATTCTGAATTTTTGAATAAGTTCCGAGTTCGCATACCAGCATGAAGCGCGGCGCCAATGCTGCTCAACTGCCGGCCACTGCAGACTCGCAATGTCCCAGGCAAACCCAGGCGTAGGTACCGCCATGATCTCGGCACTTCCAAATGTGGACATTCTGAGCGCAATCAAATTAAATGTGGTGTAGAATTTGCAGTTGCAAAGGGTTACAGTATGTTGTACAGCGATGACGCAGTCAGGTCTTGTCGATGTCCATTTCATGTGCCCATGCCAAGCCGCAAGTAAGTGTGTAAGTGCAAGTGGAAGTGTAAAGTGTAAGTGTAAAGTGTAAAGTGTAAAGTGCAAAGTGTACAGTGCAAAGTGTAAAGTGCAAAGTGCAAGTGTGTATGTGTATGTGTGTGTGTGTGTGTGTTTGTTTTTGTATGTGCGTGTAGGCGTGTGTGCGTGTGCATGTGTGTATGTGGGTATGGGGTGTATGTGTGTATGTGTGTATGTGTGTCTGTGTGTCTGTGTGTCTGTGTGTCTGTGTGTCTGTGTGTCTGTGTGTCTGTGTGTCTGTGTCTCTGTGTGTGTGTGTGTGTCTCTCTGTGTGTGTGTGTGTGCGTGGGTGTGTGTGTGTGTGTGAGCGTGCGTGCATGCGTGCGCGTGCGTGCGTGCGTGCGCGTGCACGTGCGCGTGCGCGTGCGTGTGCGCGTGCCTTGGGAAACAGGGAGAAACCTCTTAAAGAAAGTTGCTTCGAAACACGAGAGCCGGGCTGTGGAGGCGTGGCGGCTCGAGCCTGGTCTGCTCTCTTCCCAACGTTGGCTGGGTTTAGGGTTTATGGTTTAGGGTCTAGGGTCTAGGGGTTTAGGGTCTAGGGTCTTTTTTCCCACCCGACTAGCCAGCAGCAATGCGGGGTCTTCGTTACAGCTTGGAAAAAGACTCCCCAGCTGCACGCCAAGGGATGCCCTTCTAGGGTCTCGGGTTTAGCGTTTAGGGGCTAGTTTTTGGCACCTGCATAGCTGGATGAACCACTCAGCAGGTTTAGGGTTTAGAGTTTGGGGTTTAGTGTTCAGGGTTTGTGGGGTAGAGGGTAGGGAAGCTTAGGCAGCCGCGAATAGTACTCATGTGCCCAGAGATCATGTCCTGGAGGATGCAGAACGGTCCTTTGATGTTCCTTCGTGTCGTTGCTGTCCAACATTGGTACACGAATTCCCACTGCTCTAGGCCTAGAAATGGAGAACACCCCGAGCGCTGTCTACGGGAACATGAATCATCCATCATCATGTTTGGACGCCAAGATTCGCAACGAGTCAATCCCTCTTCCCGCTTCCCTCGTTGGGGGCCTCGTTGCCAACCACACCCTGCCCACAGGCGCGACGCCGCGCCACAGCACCTGAGAACTGCCGAGTGTAGTGCTCAGCGCCCCGGCGTACCCTGACGCAAACGCAAGCGCACGCAATGCGCGTCGGAGCTGGTGAAGCTGGCAAGCCCGCTTCCTGGTGGCTTTTCGGGGCTTCTCTTCTCGAAGGCAGCATCCACTCATCTCTGTGGCCATTTCAGGCCGGAATGAGCAAAGCAGAGCTGAGCTTCAGCACGAAAGGAACACCTCATTTGTACTTGCTGCAGCTCCAAAACTTCAATCATGAACCTCTTGAGCATGCTCAACGTTGGAGCTGGCAGAGATTCTTGCAACGTCGAATGTGTATGAATGTGTAAGGAAGCACGGATACTTGCAACCGATAGCAGATGGTACTGCTCTTCAATTGGCTGCAGCTGCTGCTTGATTTGGTCTGTTCAAGCAGCTCTGTCAAGTACCCACAAACTCGTAACTAGCATCGGAGGAACAAACCAAGTAGGATGCATGGCAACTGCTTCCAGCTATTACGCGCCCTAAGCTTGTGGGTACTGGCGCGATTTGCGGCCGGAGCCAACCACTTCGCCGTGGGTGGCTTGAGCTTTACAAATTTGCACGGCAGCTTCAATGTTTAAAGACTAAAGGGGGTGCCAAATTCTGAATGCGCCCGCAGTTCCACCATGTATGAGTTTACGATAGTTTTACATAGTTTTAAACCACGTATGATAGGCGAAGATGCCTCGACACACCGAAGCTGCCAAGAGACTGGATTTCCTGACAACCTTCATTGCCGTCAGGAACTGTGCGTACACAAACATCCCCTGCCTTCCCTGTCATTCACGAGTCACTACCTTTGTGACAAGAACTCTTGCCGGCAGAGGGGATACGTGGGACCGTCGAAGTAAGCCATCAGCAGCCGCACTCACGGCTGCTACTGACGGCTGTCGCAAAAACATGGTCTAAGCAAAGGATCTATGCACTATGCACTGCGCGCAGAAGCGCGCGCTTAATTTCCTTCTTCTGTTTTCTACGGCGGCGTGGTTCGTCTGCACTGCATAGGTGACAATGAAGGCAGTGGCGCCCATTCTCGCAACTCTGCGGCTTCCAATACCATGCACAGGGCTTGCACAGACCTTCAGAATGCAGCACCGACCCGATGGACTCCATGGGAACACGCTCGGAGTTCGCACCGAGCTCTTGGAGCTCGAGCTCTCTATGCTCTCCGAACTGGAGAGACCGGGTCTGAGCAAACTTCCACGATTCTTCAGACGCTTGGACCGCTTGGAGTGACTCGAGCTCTGCATCGCTCGTTCCGGGCCTCCCAGAAAAGCTGCCCAAGGCGCTGCTCTTTACCGCCCTCACAGACCAAGTTTGTTCTGGCGAGTCGCCATGCAAGCAACCCGAAGATTCCGAAGACCAAGAGCAAGCATGTTCGTTTCGTTCGTGACCTTGCAAACACGAGTCCCTTGAACGAGAGCGAACCCACCCTGGAGGTGGAGGCGCCACAGCTCGGTCCTCCAAATCAGTCGCGGATCTTCTGCCAAGGCATGTCGACACTGTTGTCGGGGTGTCTGCCCCACAGGAACCTCCAAATGGGAACTTGTCAGTCTGCGCTATTCCTTCTTCACACGCGAAGTCCATGTAGAATGAACCTTTGCTGCAGTGCCCGCTGGTGCTGTTCAGCAGGCTCCAAGCCAGGGGGTGGCTCATCTCGTTGTCGTCGTCTGTGAGTCTGCGAGTCTACCGTGGGGCACTGCCTTGCTACCTTGCGCCAGAGAACACATGAAAGACTTTTTCACCCTAAGATGCAAGAAAGCCAAATGACAGGGGACGAAGGCCTGCTCAAACAGTCAAAGGCAAAAGATGCAAGCGATTCTCGACCTCTTCGTTGAGCATCGGGCCGGTTGAAATCCATCCACCCTGCCTGAAGTGTAAGCCCAGAGAGCAGGCTGCAGGGTTGACTACTGCTTGGCTGATCTTGGCTGGCATATGAGTCTAAGCCGTCAGCCCAGCAGACGCTGTCCCCCAAGGGTCCTTTGCCCAGGTCGCAACCTCAAAGCAGAGCAAACCATAGTGGTTGGAGATGCTCCGGGGCGTCTTATGCATTTAAGGTTTGGTGCCACATCTTAGCGGTTGAAGGGGCTGCGGCACCGCTGGCAGGAATGAACTTCGTCAAAGCATTGAGGAACCACATCCTGCGCGGGAGCGGGGCTGGGCATGGCACAACGAACCTCCGGGAGCTTGCAGGTTGCCAGGCGCTACCAGTGACGGGAATGAGAAGTTCAATGGAAACGCATGGTCCTTTTTCCCCCCCCCCCCTTTCCCGCCCCCCGGGTCCTCTGCCTCGCAAGGCTCGGGCCTTTTTGACTCTGCTAAAACAAAGAGTTTAACGAGCAATCCGTGGATCTCCATTGATGTCTCGTGTTGGGGTCTGGTGCTTTGAATGACTCAGTGCCCTGCCGATGCCATTCTTCCGGGCCCGCTGGCTGCAACCTCAGTAAGCAAGTAGTAGGGCAGGTCCAGCCTGACCCTGCTCCCCAAGAACGCCACAGCTCACACAAAGCACTTCTCGCGGGGCACTCACAGAGGCGCAAAGTGGCTCAGGCGGGAAAGCGTCCAAAGCGGATCCCAGGCCTCAATCTCTTACCGGTGCTGCTGTGCTTCACTGCGAATCAATGTCCTATGTGCAGATGTCGAACCGAGAGACAGACAGAGAGAGAGAAAGAGAGAGAGAGAGAGAGCGAGAGCGGGAGGGCGAGAGAGAGAGAGAGAGAGCGCGCGAGCGAGCGAGAGTGTGTGCCCGTGCATGCGTGCACGCGCGTGCCTGCGTGCACGTGCGTGTCGGTGTATGCCAGGGTATGCGTGAGAGTGCGAATGTGAGTGAGACTGACAAACACTGGGTGGAAGGGAGGAGGGAAGGGCGCAGGGCATGCGGATCTCTGCAGCTCCTTTTTGCACGGTCTCGCGACAGCAGGTGCATCAACTATACCTATGCCCAGCAACGATGCTGGAATCAGCTGCATCAACTTCGGCGACACTGCCTGAACAAACAGATTTCTCCAAATGAAAAGGCCTTGTTGTTGTGGCGTTCCTACACGCATCTTTCCTTTGTGCAACGCAGCTATTTCCGAGCACCGTGCGGATGAGGGAGTTCACTGGGTCCTGGTTGGCGAGCATGCCGCACAGCGCAGTGACGGCACCCAAGAGGAGACAGCGCCGGCCCAGCCTTGCAAGACATTGGGTCTAGGGTTTAGGGTTTAGGGTTTAGGGTTTAGGGTGTAGAGTCGATGGGCCCAGCCTTTCCATGCGCTTCTGCGGAGATTCCTGGAACCCCTCAGTGAGCTCATCCAGTGACTCCGGTAGCCGCCAGCGAAGGAGCTCCCCTTCGGTGCAACTGACCTTAAGTTGCACCATATATATATATACACATACATATGCATATACATATTATATATATAAATAGATATACGTACATTAAATACATATATATATACATATTATGATGTCGGCTCGGCCGCCCCCCCCCCTCCCCCCCTCCCTCCCCCCCTCCCAATGGTTCCCCGTGGTGTGGTTGCAGGACTGGGGTTTTTGCCACCCGCACTGCCAGGTACTTAGTCCAGGTCTCTCGCCATGATCTCTCAGTGGGGGAATGGTTAGGGTTTAAGGCTTTATTTGTTTTTTTACCGCCTATCTGAACTGCACTTCCACATTGCGGGAAATTGGCTGCAAATCTGCGAAAACTCCTCTGTTGCCTGTTCACTCCACATATGGGTTGCAGCTGAGTTAACATTGTTCTCGGCGCATGTTTACTATAGGTGGTTCTTCAGGAATAATTCTTGGAAATGCTGCAGTAGATACCTCAGTAGGTCTACGACATGATAATTACATATTATGTTGTAGCACGTTTTTATTTTGTTCTTTCTTTAGGAGCTAAAATTTCTACCTCTCTGGAATAATCTTTAATGGAGAAAAATTGTTGGTACCAAGAATTTAGCTAAATGCCTACCAGAGAATCCCCGCAAGTCATGTTTGAATTCCATTTACTTTCGGACTTCTCTAAGAAACGAATGAAATTACAGTAAATTTGCTCTTTTCCTTCCTGCAATCGCTGAGTGAATTCATGCATTCGCTCACTGGTTCGCTTCTTATCATTGTGTTCAGAGAGTCATCTGTGTGCTCTTTATATAGGATTTGCGGTCATTCCATGAGGGCTACATGACGATTTGACGATGCTTATTTGATTAGGTGACAGAGTTGCATCGGGGGATTCAGGCATGTGGAGGTTCAGAATTCCCTCTCCCCGGGGCAATTTATGGATATTTAACGTTCCGAAGACCCTCCAAATACCCACATGGCTTGATAGAATCCTTGGTCAGAGCGCGAGGATAGGTTTTTGGGTTTTGCAAGTCCTGCATTTTGGTGAAGAACCCGATAGCATAGTTTCACATTTATGAGGTGTGTGGCGTGCTTCACAGAAGCGACTGTTTGTGCAGAAAAAGGTCTGAGCTTGGTAGGGCTTCTCTCATATGAAAAAAGTAGATAGCACGTGTTTTATTTTACGAATGCCAGGGACTAGAAATCCGCCGAAGCCTTGGGCCGTAGGTGTATGGGTAGCACAAAGCAGGCACCCGACCTTGTTGGCCACTTTTTTGGCTGAAATGGGTACCCTAACACGTGTACAGAAGACGACCGTGAGGAATGACGCCGTTACAGGTGCCGTGTTGCGGACGCCACATGCTCACCAGGCCGAGGCGGGTCGCGTAGCGTTAAAATTAGTATGGATTTCTCTGTCCAATAAATTGTATTGGCAGGCTTCTTCTGTAGAGTCAATCGTCCTGTAGCCAGTATTCTCCCCCTTCAAGGCTGTCGGAGGCCTGACTGAGGCCAGATTCGAGAATTTGGGCAACCTGCCAGGCTGGACCCCCTTACCCTGCCTGCCGGCTTAAGGTCCCTGCCAAGAAGACCCGAGGCGCCTAAAGGCCACTTTAAAAAGCTCAACGGGGGGGGGGGGGGGAGTCAGGGTCTCCATGTCATATGTTAGTGCTCAAGGGTAGATATTGGACACCTATGTGACTATGTGACGATTGCTCAAGTTGCTTGGAGGATAACGCCTACAACTACGGTGGAAGTACGAACGGAGTTTGTACAGATCGCTCGTACAGTCAAAGACCGGTGTGACGTCTTTGAAAGAGTTCTGGGTGAGAATGTTTCGTGGTAGAAGGAAGCGGATTGCAGATGCGTTGCGGCTACATTTTGGTGTTGATGCGTGGTTCAGGTTTATATGCGACTGTCGAGGCAGTAAATAAAGAGGGTTTTCAGAAATGTAACTTCGAGGAAGGAGATCGCAAATTGCAAATACTGTGCTGCTGCAGCTTTTGCTTTTACGCGGTGCGAAGGTGGGTCTTGGAGGGGGGTGCAGCCCCATATTTTATGTATATATATCTATCTATCTATACGTATATTAGATGAAACACATTATCTATATATATATATATATATCTTTTTTTTTTACATCTATGACATCTGTGCTGCCCTGCTTTTGGCGACCTCACGCCGACCTCATGCAACAGCGTAACATCCTGCAACGTGCCGGGGATTGCGCCGTCTCGCGACTTTCCATGTGCTCAGCCGCAAGCACCTTGCAACCCAAGCCCCACACACTCGCCAACTACCACTCCTGCAGTCTGACACGTAGCTCCCTTTCTGCCTCTGATATAAACCCTTTGGAACCCTAAACCCTAAACCCCCATGCCCAGAAGAAACTGCAAGGCATCCGATTCCGAAGAGGCCTTCGGACTCCGAAGCAGCGCTGCAAGCAGCGCCGGATCTGTCGAGAGGCCCTGCACTTACAAAGGCTTCTCGGGCCAGGGCCAGCTTCCACTGTCGAATGAGGAACAGCATTCTGCTTCTTGTGAACTTGGAGTGTTCAGAACATGCAATGTACGGCATGTAACCATGTATGCCTGATTTTCGGAGGCCTCAGTCGGATTGATATGCAGCGGCCCACGTCGCCCCACCTTAGGGTCTGATTTCAGCCTGATTCAGTGGGTGGCCTTACTAGCAACACCCAAGCCCTAAGTACCAATACGTTCGTGCTACAGGAGCCCTGCGGGTCTAGAAAGAGCGTCATAGCGTGATGAGGTATCGGGAGGATGATGCACACTGGGCAGACGGCTCGAGACTGGCCACCTTTGCACCAACATCTGCACTCGAAGGACAAAATAAATGCAAGCAGCCAGAGTCATGGATGCCAGCTGAGGCTGAGAGCAAGGCCCTCTGAGATCGGAAGGCTGCATAAGTGGCGAAAGCTGGGCCGGCTATCTGCCACAAATCCGGCACGTCTCAGGAGTGGCTTGGCTTGCTGGGCCTCCTGGGCAGCAAAGCGGGCGCAGAACAAAGTGGCCAGACCTGTTGCCCAAACAACCCTCAACCCTAAACCCTAAACTTAAACCCCAAACGGACACGATCTTATGGCCACTTAAGTCACTAGGTTTGCTGGACTCAAGCACGGTGAGGCATGGCTCACGGATGCAACGGAGCGGAGTCTCGCCTCCAAGTGCAGGTGACGCAGCAAAAAGGGACTTCGTAACACGATGTCCACTTGGTGAAAGGCAGCAAGGAGCTCGCTGCTAGCTCGCACTGTCTCTTTGGAGACGGCGCAGGCCGGCCCTTCAACTGAATTGCAGGGACTTCTCTCACACAAAACTTTGTGTTTGCCACATACCCGCCTTCAGCTGGTCCGGTAGCCGTCCTTCTGTCCTCCTGACACCGTCTAAGTCGGGAATGCCGCCAAGAACAGAATTCGCGCAGCACTGCCCATGCTGCTCTCAACGCACACTGCACAGCCTTCCTCGTCCTTCGCGCTCGGCTTGTCGGGCCAAGGGATGAAAACCAGCATCTCCTCAACGTGCAGGCGCTATCAAGCCCGACACCAGGGACCACGGACAGCTTGGGACAGCTCCTCCACAAAGCAGGCTGCAATGTTCCTGAGATGAGATACAGGAAGGGCTCGCAGCTTATTGAGCACCTAGGGTGGTCTGGTCGGGCCTCATCTGGCGGGGCACCCACCACAACGCAGCACAGGGGGCCAGGGATCCTCCAATACAGCATTTGTATTTATGTCCCCTTCTGGACCCTGGACCGCGGAGCCAAAGCCTGTTGCCACAAAGCCCCCCAAGCAAGAAACCACGCATTCACACAGCCGTCACCAATCACCCGACACTTCCCGCCCGCAGCCCGCGCAAGCCACGGCCGCGGCCAGGGGCGGCGAGGTGGCCAGCGCCGATGCCTGCACCGTTGTTGGGGTACTATTAAACATTAATGTTTTTGTTCCTTACTGGGTTTAAGTATTCATATTCATGTAACATGTAAAATGATTTTCAACAATGACCCAGGATGCAGCTGCAGCCGCCCCACCCAGTCCGAGGAGGCCGCCGAGAAGGCCTCGAGTTCGGGCTTCGACAGTTGTGACATCTTGTGTCCATTTTTCTCACTGAACACGAGGCTTCTTGCCGACGTCACTCACCTCACTGACTCATCCGTACGCTAGACTTGTGTACTTAATAAGGTTTGGGGACGTTTGTGGTTCAGGGGTCTAGGGTGTTCGGCTAGCCAAGAAGCGTCTACAACAGCATGGCGAACCCAGACTGTGCCTCTTTTTGCTTCTGCATTCCTCACGCTGGCAGCTAGACCGCCGCCGATGGGTTTGAGCAGTGAGGCTTCACAGACTGATAGTCATGTCCGGTCATCCAGCTCCGCAGCCCACGTGTGAGGCCAGAGCAAACTGACAGGCAGCTCATCCCCCATCCTCCCGCCTTCGTCCTGACATGACAACGTGCCCTGCGAGCAGCCTCCATCACAAAATTCCGATGATTCCAGGACTGACCGAAGGGCAGAGGACAAGCTGTGCAAGAGGTGTGGTACCAGTACGTACTACCGGATGTCCCACAGCAGCTGGTATAAGCGGATCGCTCATCCAAAACTTCCAAATAGTCTGATGAATTGAGACTTGTTTTACTGTATAGCCAGTCCTGACGATGACATCTAGCTGATCTACCTTAGCTCGTGCACTCACACTCAGTTCCGCTGCTGCAATGCCATCATATTGTATTGCAGTACGTTGTCATCGTCATGGGGCCCTTTAAGAACAGTCAGTTGACATCTGTCTCATCGCAGGCCCTGCCGCCTAAGAACGCAGACATTGCTAACGTTCTTAGAAACAAAGCCGAGCACGTGTGCATCACAAGATAGATGCTTACTCTTCGCACTCCTCCTCGGTGAGGATCGACGAGCCACGCATGGACTTCGCCTCTGCGCCATCAGTCACTCCATCGTCCATGAGTTGGATCATCTGCTCCATGTTCGCCTCGGAATAGAGAGTCGGAACCGAGGCGTTAAATCCGAGAGTGGCCTCAAGCTGCTTTCGGAGGTCCTTGAGGTTGGCCATGGCATCCTTGACTGCCTGCAGCTGCTTCAGCTCCTCCAAGCGGCGGGGCGTGGGCACCGTGTAGAGGCTGCTGATCGCCTCCGCCTTCTTGGGGTTCTTAAGGATGCTGCCCTTGGCGCAGGCCGCGTGTACGGCGGCGCCATAAGGGGCCATGGCCGCAGCGGACGTGATGATACCTGAGATGCTCGCGCCACAGAGGGCGCTGACGTCCAGAAAGTCCTGGCAGTGAACCACCTGGGTATTTCATGTTGGAAATTGTTGGAATATAATAAGCTTTCATCTTTGTAGAAGTCTGCAGGCTTGAGCAAGTCTGTAGCGTTGAGGCCTCTTTGACCTCTTTGCAGGTTGGGAGATTGACTGTCGTGCCACGCAGGGAGTGACTTGATTTTTGTTCGCGTGTTTCGCTTTGAATCTGAACAGCAGATAACTTAAGATGCCCCCAAACACGCTTCACCAAACGTCCCTAGGCACGATCAAGTTGATAAAGGTCACGACCTGGCTCATGTAGGCGATTGCACCGCCAATGTCCACTGTGCAGAGGGCGCTGTAGAGACCAGAAACCTTGTTGATGGGCCCGTCGAGGTTGACGCGGCCACATTGGCCGCTGTTCACCGCCGAGTTGATGGAAAGGCCCATGTTGGCAAGGTTGGCAACAACCATACCGACGTCCACCCCACACTGCACGCCCACACCAATGGGACCCTGACCGATCAGCAATCGTCGTCCGTCTCGCACAGTCTGGTCGCCGAGGACGCTGATCTTGGTAGTCGTCAGCTGTGGCGGGACCCCTGTGCACGTGGCCGCAGCAAGGGAAGCGGTCGCCGCCAGCTCGCCCATGACAGAGACGAGGCCGGTCACGCCCACGGAACACACTGCATCCACATTGAGATTGAGGGCACAGTTTGAGGCGGCGTAAGACAGCTTCGCCGCAGCATTGGCCACCCAGGTCACCAAAATAGCACCGTTCACTTGGCATGCGAGCTCCGACTCACCGTCGCGAGGAGGAGGGCAGGTCCTGATGATGGCATTGATGTCATCACCCATGCCAACCACCGACACAAAGGCCTCCAGAACATTGAAAGCACAGTAGGCGTTGGTGGCCTTGCGCATACGGTCCGCATTCTTCTGCTTCTTGTAGGCGATGATCTCGTCCTTCGTCAGCATCTCTCTCGCAGCGTCCGCCGGATCTGCCGGCAGAGACCGCACTTCGTGCTGCTCGTAGTGCTGGGAATACTTGTGGCCGGTGCTCTTCATGGCCTTCATGACGATGTTCTCTGCCACCGTGCGCTTCTTCACGCTCTTGAGAGCATCGGCCTTCAGGGCCATCTGCGCGTCTAAGCCCAGGGAGGACTTGCCCTGGAAGGCACCGAAGTCCAAGGATTGACACTTCTTTGCCCCCGGCATGGCAAGGAAAGCCAGGACACCTAGGCCCAAGGTCGCCACCATGGCAGTCTTCTTCACCCAGCCACGGGAGCTTGGGGGAGAATTCTGGCTCTCTTCCTCGGACTCCACATGGACAGACTCGAACGAATTTGCCATCGTGGAAGGGAAGCGCTCTGGACAACTGCGAAGGCACTCAAGGGCTCGGCTTGCGAGAGGCGGCTTGAGCCGTTATGCACAGGTGTGCCAGAGGGTCTTGACAGCATGGACTGAGCAATGAGCTGCTACAGCCACCTCTGCAAATGCTATCCGAGTTTTGCATGGCCAGCATCTGTGAACTGAGTCCCGGACACTGCCGCCATGTTGTTGCGGCCAAGGCCGTCCAATCGTAGCCGTTGCGGAAGATGCGCAGCTGGCAAGCATGTCGGAGGCTGTCTTGAAACTCGCTCATGTGCCTTCCACCACGCCACCTGGCGCGTCCCCTCCACAACTCCACCTTGCCGTGCCGCAGGCACACTGGAGGAAGTGTACCTTCATGGCCGGTTAGGTTCAGAGTTTAGGGTGCATAGGGCTTGCTTGGCCCAGAGTCAACTGACAGGGGGTTGAGAGTGGCATGCTACACCTCCGCAAGCCGAAGGGCTGCTTCGAGCCTGCCGAACTCATGGGACTTCCGGCCCCTGCCTCCGACACTGCCGCCACAGCTGCTGCAAAGGGCGGTGATGCGCCATCAGTGTGTCTTTGGATGGCACTAATTTCGTCCAGGGAGGGACCTACCACATACTTCTGCGGGCTGGAGGTGTTGAGCACATCCTTGCGCACTGTCGTAAAGCGACAACGGTCGCCTAATGTAGTTATCATGTCGATGCTAAAAGCTGCATACGGCATGGGGCAACAAAACTCTGAAGACCCTGCCAGCATGGGTGCGTTACAGTATGTTGCGGTCCTATCGCAGCAGACAGGGCAGGACCTCAGGACGCGGCGTGCACTCGGAAGAAAGTGCGAACTACGGGCGTCACCTGGCGTCCAGCGGAAATGATAGGCACATTATCCCTTCCCCTATTAAAATCCCCCCATATACCATAATATAGCTACAATGGGGGGTTAAAACCCCCCATATTACCATGAGATAGCTATCATGGGGGGGATCTTCATAGTGGGGGAAGGGGGGGGGTGAATACGTTTAATATTCGGGGGGAGGGATTCTTAGGGCACTTCCAAGAAGTTCCGAGTCCTGGACGCCACGCCGGTGCGCACCCTCCGAGGCTGCACAGAACCCTGGCCTTAGGAACAGGTGCCCATGCCTCCACCGGCTGCGGAAAGCCGGAGAGCATGGCTCCGTTCAGAATTGCGAGCTGCAGGCGAATGACATAGGTGTAGAAGCTTGGGCGACGCAAACCACTTTAAAGGTGTCACTTTGAAGCTCTCAGGGCCGCTCGCCGAGTGCACAGCCTGCGCATCGTAGCGGACAACACTGCCGGCAGGGAATTGGCGCGGATTCCTGGCAAGGAGACGCTTCATCCCTTTGTTTCTGCGACTTTGCCAGAATCATGCCAGGGCTACTCGTCTGGGCCTGTTCAAAACTCGGCACGTTGTGTCAGATACTGTATACTGGCCGTCATGCGAGTCGCAAATCTGCCTTCTGGATAGAAGAGCGTCCTGAAAGGCGCATCGCTCACCACAAAGAGGTCGGAGCCAGGCCAGTAGTCATCATGATGCGGCCTCAGTTTAGAGGGGCTTGGATGGCTGTGGCCATTCTCACAGAGCTGGTTGCTGAGAGAGAGGCAGGTTCATGAAAACATCTTGCCTGAGGCAGACTGTCCCAAACAGAAACATTGTCCTTGCCCTAAGCCCTAAACCCTAAACCCCAACCCTAAACCCTAAACCCTAAACCCAGCATCCGAGCCAAGCAGCTCGTCTTCAGGCTCCTCCGGGCGGTTGACATCCTGCTCAGGCTGCCATACTTGCAACGGAGTTCCAAAACACTCCGACATGTGACACTGCCACGCTTGTTAGGAACTGTTCTTGCCCGGGGCCCTGCTGCCCAAGGTCCTGTGATCTGGCCTGCTCTCGCGCTCTTATCTGCCGTGCCTGACTTCACTCTCGGACGTTGCATCGGCTGCGCATCAGGCGCACAATCAATTACACAGAAGCGGCTCCACCATGATAGTCACCGTAGCGTCCCCATGCGAGCATCGCATCCAGTCCACCTGCAGGAAGTCTCTAGCCAGCCAGCATATCGACTGCTTGCCACAAATTGCCCAATAACATGCCTCAGGCAGGTTTTCGAGCACAATGTCGAACGCCTCCTGAAACCTGCCAGCGCGCAAAGTTGTGAGATTTCCCACTGTGACGGGAAACAGCGACTGCGAAAAGACACGGGACGGTATGACCGAGTATGAACAGGTATGCCCGGGTATGCCCGGGTGTGCCCGGGTATGACTGAGTATGACCGGGTATGACCGTGTATGACCAGGTATGACCGGGTATGACCGGGTATGGGAGGGTATGGGCGGGTATGACCGGGTACGACCGGGTATGCGTGCTCGGGCGTACTCGGGCATAGTCGGGCTGCAGTCGCATGGCCGCAATGAGAATTCCTGCTATTTCCTGCGACCAGTAGTTTGTTCCGTATCAGCCGCGTACACAAACAAGCTCTCAAAGTTGGCGCTTCATGCAGAAAGATCCCCTCTTGGAAACCATCACAGACTCAAGAGCAAACTGCGTGTGACTTTCTGAAGCTGGGCTTGCAGCTGCGAAAGATAGTCCGGAAGCTTTGGGGCAACGAGGCGGAAGTATTCTTGGCCTCGTGCCCGCCTCCAGTATTGGCGGTGGCTTACGGCTTCGGGCTGTAGACCTTCTACTACAAGAATATGTTCATACTATAAGTACGAATGCCAGCCTGTATTGATCCGATACTATAATGGTATCATAACATATCAGTATACATGTATACGAAAATAGGCGTACGAAAATGTACGAATATACAAATATAACTGAAAATAGTATAACAGGAAAATCATAACAAGAAAATCATATAGCAATAAAACAATGCATTCATATCATAACATAAGAGCCGAAATAGTCCACTGTGCTGACATAAGGGGGCCAAGCCTGCACACAACTGAGCTTCCGGCGGCTCCAGTGCTAAGGGTGCAGAGAAGAGCCTCTGGTTCAGTAGGAAGCCCACCACCTCGGTACCCTAAATACCGGTGTTGCTGGCGAGGGACGACGCACAAAACCCAAAGCGCTAAACCCTAAACGCTAAACCCTAAACCCTGTGCGGAGATGTAGTAAGACTGTTAGGAAAGACGTGAAACATGTCTTAACTGTACCTTGTTGGCTCAAGGATGGCCTCAGGAGCTTTCAGTTGTGAGAAAAGGGGTGTTGGTCTTGGTGGTAGGACCCTTGGTTGGGTGGGTGGCTCAGGCCTGGTTATCCCTCACCGGACGCCCGGTGGTAGCCCGGCTTGGTAGCCCTTCGGGGAGTAAAGGGCGAGGTTTGGAGACTATGAACTCCGCTACAGCCGTATGTGTTTGAGAAGGGTTTCATCCCTGAGTTTATCCCTGAATATCCCTGAGATAGTTCCTCCTTGCATGGTTCCCGTACCCTAAACCCTACTAGATCGCTACAATGGGCCTAAGCCCCAACCCAGTCGTTCAAAGAGGAGCTTCCGCCAAGGGCGAAAAACCAAGGCACGGGCCTTGACTGAAGACCTGAGACCATGAGATGCAGATCACATCACTTCGCCACGGGGATGGCGTTCGGTGCCGGCTTCGACTCTCACACTCGCGCAACGCAAGCAAGGCTACGGTCGGTAGGTCTCACGTACATCGCCACTGCAAGTTAAGGACGCAGGCAATTCTATTAGGTTCGTGGCATCAGGCAAGGCGTTCAACAGGATGAGATAAAAGGCAGAAGCGACTCATTGCCCACCAATGCTATAACGTCAAGGCTGCCAACATACTCCGTCCTGTGCCCATATTCGGTCTCACTTTCATCTAGGCCCTATAGGGTTTAGGGTCTAGGCGTGTCTAGGGCGCTCTTTCTCTTGCAGGTGCTGACATGTGGCCCTGGAGGGCGTGCACTTCGGCTTCGGCCTCGGCCTGTTCGGGCGACGTGTCCGATAGCAACGTGCAGTTTTTAGTTCATGTTGGAGGTCGTGGAAAAGCCTGGGAAGCTGGAGTGTGCTGGCAGGACTACACTTACAGAAGAGCAAGCCCTAAGAACATCGATGCATGCACTGGCCGCAGTTGCCAAGCCTATTGAGCTCATCTCGAGGGGTGCTCGGTGCAAGCCATGGAGCGGCGGCCATTTGAAAGTATTTTGTGTAAGCTCGTCTGAGATGCAATCTGTCGCTTGGAACCGAACAAAAGCTTTGGAACGAGTCTTAAGCGCTCTTACCTGCTGCGTTGATGTGCTAGCTGACTGTGGCGGCATGGTGCTCCACTATGTTAATTCCAAAGATGTGCTCATAACCCGCCTCAGGGCATGCATCGTGGGCGCACCCTGGATTCCAGCGTGCCCGTATGAAGTAGGGCCTATATGCCTTGTAAGGACACCCAGTATATACACTCACCAAGATTAAGAAGGAACCTTATATACACTCACCCATAACAGTCATATAAACCCTGTTTCATATAAGAATCATACCCTGTAAGCCTGGCCAGGTGGGGTAACAATGAGTTGCCATCCACCACGCGGGAAGGAGAGAGCTGGACAGGAGCAAGCAAAGAGCGCCATGAGCGGCATTTGTTGCACCCCACGCGTTACTTAGTTCCTGCAAGTCGGCTTCGATCTGGTGCTCAAGAGTCGATGCCTTCGGCATGCCTCTAGAGCCTCGACACAGCAATGTCGGGCTCCCCAAAGCGAACTGTCGCGGCTTCCTTCGACTTCGACCGCTTTGTTTGACCACCCTCAGGTTTGCCTTCTTGAGCCAGTCTTAGCGCTTTCACGCTCGACAGGAGTTGCCGGTTACTGTCAGCGAGGCACGCCAAGTCCATGCTCCTTGCCGCACCCTGCAGTTGAGACACCTCAGCCGAATATGTCTAAGGCCTCGAAGACATCAACGGCAGAGAAAAAGCCTAACGTGGAGAAAGAGATCGGGCAGCTACCCTAGAAGCAAGTGTCTGAATGTAACATTCCGAGGCACCCCGCGGAGGAGCTCATCCATCGTGACACACTCACTGCGGTCTTGATCAAGGAGGTCGAAAACAAGATCAGGGTCATGCATTGGGAGGCCCTGCGCCGCAAACCAGTGTCGGGCACCAGGATTTGCCATGACAGCATTCCATTCTGCCCTGGTGATCTCGGAGCCCGAGCGGTTCGTGTACTGGAAAAAGCTGTGCATCTTCTTGCTGTGAATCTTCTCCTTCCTGGCCACGTCCCGCATCATAATGACGTCGTCTGACTGGGCCACTTTCATCGTTTCTTGCATGAATACGCCGTTTATCACTCCTGCCACCGTGCCCAAGAAACTAGGTCCAGGTTTGTCAGGCTTCGGGCTTGTGCTTTATAACAGTTTAACCCTCCCTTCGTTACGGCACTTCCTTTCAGGAGCAATGCGCGGCATGGCGGATGCACGCAGGTCAGATTTTGGGGGCAAGAGTGCCAATGTCACAGGTCTTTTTCGTGCCGGGTGCGGGGCGATGGTGCAGCATCATTTTGCAGTGGGTGCGGAGCACTGTGGTTCGTTGATTACAGGTGCGGGAGCGCGCTTGTCTTCTTCTTTCGTGCTGCGGGTGCAGGGGCATCTTGCGGCGTTTGCTGCGGAAAAGTCGCAGAATGAACAGTGCCCCATGTGCAGTATCATAGTTGATTGTGAGCCTGTCGCAGGGACGTTTGCAAGACGCATCAGCAGAAAAACCGGCAGAATATTCGTGATTTTGGCAATGAGCGGAATTTTTGCATGGGTAAGTACGACGATCATGTCCCTCAGGGATTGCAGACGGGTGATGTCGATCATGAGCCATGGGTCGTGTTGACGATCGTCTTCCATGCTGAGAGGCCACGTGCCCTACATCTTGCAGACAGCAAACATACCTTAAGCTTGCAAGGGGGTGGGTGAACAGCATCGTTCATGGGCGTTTACATGAACAAAAGCAATGCCTCGCGGACGGCAGAAGTTCTGACATGTTCAGGAAGGCAGCGATAGAGGTTCGATTTTGGAGGCCCAGGCTGCGTAAGAAGCTGAGAAACAAAAAAAGATTGAGACGCAGTCCTATGCAGGCGAACCCGACGGTCACCTTGTGTAGGATGGTGAAGATGTTGAATGCTGGGCTGACGACTTCTTGCAAGATCCGGGCAACGGGAACCCAAGTGCCCAAAGTCATTTGGAACATGGTCAGCATGGATCTTGGAAATGTGCCGAAGTACTCAAACAGCTTGACCTGGTCCTCCGCGGAGAAGTTGAAGAAGGAACTTGTAACAAAGGTCATCAGAACTTGGTTGAGCAGAAGTGCGAACAGCAGCTGAACCATCATCATGATCACCGCGACCCACAGGAGTGCATTGACAGAGTGCTGCAAGGATGTTGTCATCACAATGAGGGAGTCAAAGCCCTGCACGAAGCGTACGAGCTTCACGAGTCGAATAAGTCTCATCAAGCGAATCAACCTCAAGAATGGTGTCTCAATCGGGAGGTTCGTCAGAAGTGTGTCAACAAGCCATAGAACCACCAGTGATGAGTCAAACCAGTTCCACGGATCACATAGGAACTCCCTTCCAAGGCCGCAGGCCTTGAGCACCGCCTCCACTAGAAAGAAACACCCAAAGAACATCTCAACAGTCTGCAAGAAGGCCGGTATTCCCGGCCATGCCTGTGGGCAACAACTTTGAGACCAGGCTCGCTGCTCAGGTTTAGGGCTTAGGAAGTTTAGGAAGTCTGGGCTCGGGTTTAGGGCTAGGGTCTAGGGTCTAGGGTTTAGGGTTATCTTAGGCCAAGGGGGCACACAACCATAAAAGATAAGCAAAGAAACGAGCGCCTGCCTCCAAAGCGGGAAGAGCATATCCCTCATAGTTGAGCTCGTAACCCCACTGCAGGCCCGTGTACTGCACTTCTATCGCCATGCTCAAAGCCTGGAGAAAGATCAGGAAGGAGAAAAAGACCTCGAAACCGCACGACTTGACAAAACGGTCTGGATGCCAGAAGGGCTTCTCGGGCCCGTCATCCAGAGTTAAAGAGTCTTTCAACGAAGATGGGCTTCTTGTGAAGCGCCTGTTGTCCTTTGTAACTGTAGCTGTGCTCTGTTTATCGCTTTCAATGCTCATATGAGATTGGAAAATCTCCGAAGGCTCGTGGTCAACCAGCCCGATTGGACCCTTCTCCGGCTCAGAGACTTCAGGGGGCTTCTCTCCGAGCGATCCCAATTGCATCGTCTGAAGGTGCTGAAGGTGCTCGATGACAGCTTGGTGGCCTCGCTCTAACGCCTGGAGCTCTCGCGCCAAGGCTGTCTGCACCCAGCTCAGCAGTTCAGGAGTTATCCGAGCGCCAGGGTCCATGGCAAGTCTGGATTCTGATATGGGCTGATACCCTATAACGATCCTATAACGATCCTAAAGATCCGAGCTGCGTGCTCCTTAGGAGCATCTTTGGGCCTCGGAGAGCACACGGAGAGCACATGACATGCAAAGATGCAGGGGGCAACGCGAGCCAAAGAGGAGCCGAAGGAACTGCGTGGGGCTAGCGCTGCCAGAGATTCTTTATGCTGTTTTCTGCTCTCAACCGGGGGTTCTCCGGGACATCCCTCAGCAGCTTCTGGGGTTCAAAGTTGAAGTAGTCACGCAGAGCCTGTTTCGTGCCCCAGAACGGACACTTTCTGCTACAAGCCTCCATGAACATGAACGTAGCTACCTTTCTCGGTGGGTCTCGGGGCGCTCATGCTGTGGATCCAGCTTCCAGTCGCTCAACCGATAAGAGGCCGGAACGAAGCTCGACAGATGCCATCTCGGCTACGCAATCGCTTGAGCGGAGATGCAGGGAGGTACTTGGGTCTGACCCAAGGAGCCCTCAGGTGAAGGAGTCAATCCGTCTGCTGGGGTGTCTGCCATAATGGCATGCAAGCGTTTGTTTTTTCTGCGACTGGGTGAAACAAGTGCACGTCGTAACCTTTTTTGGTATGACGGCCAGTATGGCTTCCTGGACTTAGAATATTAGGACAAGGGGTGACACGGCGTCTCACGTGTTGAAACCTGTGTCGAACTTCCGCGCCCGGCCCTGGCAACCCATAGTCAGGCTCTATTCTCCGCTCGACTCACACCGAAAGGCCGATTTCATTCGGATTCCTCTCTTCTTCCTGCAAGTCCCGGCCTCCAGGGCTGGGACTGCTCTGATACTTGCCTTGAAAGTCCCGGCTCCCTCGAGGGCTCGAGGAGCTCTGAAATTTCTCCTGAAAGTTTTGGGTTCCTCCCGGACTTGAGGATGGTGTGGCAAAAAAGTTGGAGGCTTTCGGGCTGCCGCCGCCCCACCTCTCCAGCAAGTCTGTCATCTGATCCATGAGCTGATTGTGCCGCTCTGTCATCATGACCAGGTCAAGGCTCCTTGCAGGCCCTTTCAGCTGGTTCACGCCCTTGATGAGCTCGTGCATCGTAATGGTCTGGCTGTTGTCCCTGTCAATGAGGCTGAAGACTGTGTTGGCATCTTCGACATTGAGGCCTTGAGCCTCAAACCAATGCTGAGCATGAGTACCTTCCATGACACGTTGCCATTCCTCGCGGGTTATGACATAGTCCTTTGAATGGTCCGCATAGCGAAAGAAATCCTTCATCTTTGATGCATGGATCTTCTCTCGTCTTGCCACGTCTCGCATCATGATGACGTCGTCGGACTGCGCGACTTTGAGAGTTTCCTGCATGAACACACCGTTGATCACGCCGATGCATGCAAAGCCAACGGTAACCTTGTGCAAGATTGAAAAGATGTTGAAATATGGGCTCACGACCTCCTGCAGAATGCGGGCCACGGGGACCCAAGTCCCCAGCGTGAACTGGAACATGGTCAGCATGGCTCTGGGGAAGGTTCCAAAATACTCAAACAAAGTTCTTTCTTCTGCAGCTGTCAGACCTAAGCCTGCTCCTCGGACAAGGCTCATGAGCACTTGGTTCAAGAGCAGGGCAAACATCATCTCGACAACAAGCATGATCATCGCGACCCAGAAGAGAGCATTGACACTGTCTCTCAAGGCAGTCGTCATGATGATAAGGGAGTCGAAGCCTTGAACTGCTCTGACCAGCTTCACGAGCCGTATGAGCCGGACCAGCCGCAGCAATCGAAGCGTGTGGCTATCAAGCGGCAGCAACGACAAGCCTGTATCCATGCACCAAAGAGCAACCAAGACCATGTCAAACCAAGACCATGGGTCCAGAACGTAAGCGCGACGGAGAACAGCAGATTTCAGCACGACCTCGATGGTGAACAACACGCCGAAGAACACGTCGATCCCTTGAACAACTGCTGGCACACTGGTCCATACCTCCGCTGCTGGACGATCGTAGCCTTCGTAACCCAGCTGGTACCCCCAGTCTAGGCCTGTGAACTGCACCTCCACTGCCATTGTCACTGCCTGCAGTAGGATAAGGAAGGAGAAGAACAGCTCAAAGGCGTATGAGCGTACCATCCTGGTCGGATGCCAGAAAGGAAGGCCAGCCACTGCCTTGACGCTCAGGGAGTCCTTGAGGGAGAGGGGACTCTGATGAGCCCTCTGGCTGCTCGCCAAGCTAGCGAAGCTGCCGAGTGTGCCATGCGTCCCGGCATGCTTCAGGTTCCACTTTGCAAGCGACCTCTTCATTTTGAGCCTTGTTCTCACATAGGGTGGAGGCACGCTTTCATCTTCGGCCACAGTCCCTAGCTGTGACAGCTGTGAGCTCCTCCCACTCCCATTGAAGCTCCCGTTAGGTGGGGCCCCTCCCAGGATACTCTGCAAGTCGGCAAGCACAGCCTCATGTCTCCTTTCAGCTGCAGAGCGTTCTTCTTTGAAGCGCTCTGCTAACCACTCGGTGAGCTGCGATGCGAAGGTCTCCGAAGTCACCGACTCGTCCTCCATGGCGGGGAACAAGCACGCCCCCTTTTTTGAATCAGCTGGGGCCAAAGGCAGGCGCCGGCGGCATTCGGCAACTCGGTATGTGAGTGCTCTCTGCAACCCGAGGCTAGAGGCCGGCGTTGGAATTTGGGATGTTGCTCCCTGATACTAAGAGTCCTTAATTGGGATTATAATAGGGGGTGCTGTAAGCCCTACTAGGGACTGTTGGTATAAGGGGGAACATCCCAACTGGAAATGGCTCAAGGGACTTAAGGGCTTGGAATGGCTTGGAGGTTCCAAGCCCAGGAACCGCGCACCCTGTGGGTTGCTTCCCCCCCTCCCAATCAGCCCTACTGCCAGGGCAGCACTGTTTTCGTGATCCTCCCACAACCGTCAGAATCTGGACACGTTTGCTTGCCAGGTTCTCGTAGTTTTGCTTAACCAAGCTCTCGCTGGAATAAATGTTCGTGCTAAACGTTTCTAAATCTTCTAATTGCTACAAAACGAAAGCAATTTCAGACGTATTGACGATTAAAAAAGTACTACTCCCCGTCTCCGGCCGAGGCACTCGCGCCAGTGGTAAAGAGGGAGACATGAAAAGAAGGAGAGAAAAGAGAGAGAGAGAGAGATAGCGAGAGAGAGAGAGTGAGAAAAATATGGAGAAAGAGAGAGAGACAGAGCAAAACAAAAAACACATAAAACAAAAAAAGACAAACAAAAACGAGAGAGAGAGAGAGCGAACAAGACAGAGAGCGAGAGAGGTGTATACCCCAGCTTGGCTCTGCAATCCTCCACAGTTCCGCATGCCATTTTTTGCATTGAGCACGACCAGCCGGGCACGCTCCCAACTGTAAAGGCACAGGGGACCCAAACGCGTTCTGCCAGCTACTTCTGAAATCTCTTGATGGTCAGCTGAACTCCGTCCCGGAAGTGCTGTCCGAAAATATCCTCGACCTGAGGGCAAGCGACTTGGGAGTCGGTATGGTCAGGGCAGTGCACTTAGTCGACACTGGGTTCCGAACCTTCTCGGGTGTACCGCGGAGGGACATCCCGTCAATGCTGATAATCAGATCCCGCGCTTCCAATCCAGGCTGCCCTGGTTTGGGAAAAACCTGGGCTTGGCTTCCTCAAGAAGTAGTTTCGGTACGCTGGCCATGTAGCCACTTTCAGTACTGTAATAGGGATTCAACGCGGGGGTACGATAATCCCCAGTAAGGGGGAACATGCCAACTGTAGACCTTTAATCGAAAATGCTGCGACTCTACTCCCGCCAGCTTGTGGCAACAAATGCGACCAGCATCGCTGGCTTGCTGGAATGTTGAAGAACCCGTAACACATCCTAAGCTTTCGTTCCTCCCTCCTGAGCCGTAGACTCTCAGCCCACAGTCCCCTAAACCCTAACCCTGACCCCTAAACCCTAACCCCTAACCCCTAAACCCTAAACCCTAAACCCTAAACCCTAAACCCAAACCCTAAACCCTAAACCCTAAACCCTAAACCCTAAACCCAAACCCCCGCCCCACCCCCTGAAAGCAATCTCTTGAAGCTAACGCCAAGGAGAACCGGCCTTCATCACTTTCATGCCACCGGCTTCGGGTTCCAGCTCGACGCCTGCGCCGTCTTTCGGCGAAACCTCCAGCAGAAGTTGAGGAATCTCATTGGGTTTAGGGTTTAGGGTTTAGGGTTTAGGGTTTAGGGTTTAGGGTTTAGGGTTTAGGGTTTAGGGTTTAGGGTTTAGGGTTTAGGGTTTAGGGTTTAGGGTTTAGGGTTTAGGGTTCAGGGCGTTGTGTTGCCACCCGCCTAGCTGATGGTAACATCGCACTGCCGGGTTTCGGGTTTGGCGTTTAGGGTCTTAGGGTTTCCCGACTCTCCTCTCATTGGGTTTAGGCTTTAGGGTTTCGGGCTCTTTCCATTCTTTGGGGGGGGGGGGGGGGGGGTCAAAAAGCAAGGGGTCGCCCTCCGGTTGAATTTCTTTCTCCAGCCTTCAAGGTGTGCGTCAGAAGACGATGCGACTTCTTCTTTCTCTCCTCTGGAAGCGATGGCAAGGTCGAGGGCGCGCCGGCGGATCCTTCGACAGGGATGGCGCCCAACTGTGGAGAAAGACATAAAGGGGGCTAAGCGGTTTCTTTTAAGGTTCATAGGGCTCATTTCGGCACCCGCATAGCTGGACGGGTTTAGGGTTTAGGGTTTGGCGCTTTTGCAGGTTAGAACGGGCGGTGCACGGTGGTGCACGGTGGTATGATCCGGCCTCCACTGATGAGCCCGTGGCCTGGCACAGCCATAGTTCGCGTGCTGCACTCTTCTTTTAACCATAGCCTGCTAATGCAGAATAGAAGAATTCATCATAACTGTAATAATAATCGTATAGTCAGAATAGTCACTATGCGGCTTCCCTCATCTCCTCTTGGGGTCCCCTTGAGGACCCAGGCTTCCCTGCCTGGAAAGTTGAAGTTTATCAGGTCCTGCAACTCTCGGCGAGCCTTCCTGCGTTCCTCCTCCAAGCAAGGCTGGGCCCATGAGACTGGTGAGGCATCCCGCAATCAAAGGAGCACATCTCCTCCGTTACGCCCAGCTGCATGTTGGCGACAACAAAGGTTGCTTCACCGGTGTCTTGCTTCCTCCTCCTGGGCAATAGAGGGATTGTTCAACTGCATCTGCCCGTCTTCCGGGCGATCTCTGCTTGAGCGGTTTGCTTGCTGAGAGGCTGAATCGTAGCACCACAGCGCCATTTATAGGTCCAATGCTGGAGATCACGACGGAGGCCGTCGATTTGCTCCTGCCGCAATGCAGATAAGAATAAGCAGGTGGCGCTGCAGTGGCCTGCTGCACGATGACATGAGTTACTCTGTGTTGCAGTTTCGCGCCTGGCTCCACACAAACTTTCTTTCGTGCAAGTCAGGAGGTCACGCATCCAAAGACATCGGTTTGAATGCGCGAAGAGAAGTGTGCGCTGCGCAAGGCTCTTTAACGTCTTGTCGCGCCCCTCCGCAGGTGGCTACCACCAGGTTCTTCTGAAAAAAGCCAGGATGGCAAGGCCATGCAAGGCCCGCGTAGCACGTTCTGTGGAGTGCTCAAACTTTCGTTATTTCATTCCACAGGATTTAGCCAAGCCCACAAAACCTACAACCTAGGACCTAGGACCTAGGAGTAGGAGCAGGGATGCAGTGGCCTTGGAAGGTTCGCCCGGCAGCTGGAATGGCTCCTCTCTCTCTTCCGGTGGAGCTTGCCTGGTTTTCATGCGACACCTTCTCGAGCTCTCTCTGGGCATGAAAGAGGCTGTTGGAAGCACATCGTTCACGTCAAAGCCAAGCCCAACATGTCCCAACATACCCCGTTTTCAAGCCAACGTGCCTGACTTCATTCAGCACTTTCGAGAGGCTGCCAGCACTGGTGGAAACCCACGGGTGCGCAAGGCATCGGTCCAGATCCAATCGTTGCAGCGGATCGAATTGAATCAACGCCTTGATCAGATCCTGGGCGTTCTGGCTTGGCCTCCGTGCAGTGCGAGAGTCGTGCGCATTTCTGGAGGCGTGCTTCTCATGGAGCAGCTACGTTCTCAGGGACACTTAGGATCTACATTAATGCCCCACGGGCTGCACCTTCGTCCCGCAGGAAACTGAACGGAGGCACGTCGGATCTGCGAGTCAATGGGCTCGCCCAAGCCATCAAAGGGGTAGGCACCCACCAGCATCACGTACAAAACCTTGCTCTGCCAAGGTGCTAGGCCACTAGGCATTGCTAGGCACGAGCCGCACTAGTGTCACTAGTGGAGAATGGCTGAGTTGTCAGGATTTGTGACAGTTTGTAGGCTCTGTCAAGAGGCCACGCCCAGAGACCACAGATCCACTTGCTTGTCGTAACCCTTGGCAGCCTGAATGATTGATCACGCATTTCTAGTCTTTTAGGGTTGGAACGTGCCTGCCTGAAAGGGATCAGACACCTCTGGAGCCCAGTACTGTGGCGTTCCAACCTCGGATTGTGCAGATCAAGTCAATCCTCCGTGGTTTGGAATGGTTTGGGCCAGTGGGGCGGGGGAGCTGGGCCGTGGGCGCACGGGAAGGTGCTGGTCCTTATCCTGATCTTGAGACATGCTAACTGAGCCAAGAAGCACGGGTTAACGCGGTGCTGTACCCGTCATGGATGAGCTTGGAGTGCCCAAAGTCAGACAGCTTGATCTCGAGCAAGCCTTGTCTGGAATTCTTCTGGTCCTTAGGGGGTCACCCCAGAAGCAGCTACAAGGCTCTTCTTGAGTCCCAGAAGACATCCCCAAAGTGTATCAGCGTACTCGAAGAAACTTCAGTGCTGCGTAGGGGCGACAAGAATATTCTCGGGCTTGAGGTCGCGGTAGACAATATGCTGGGAATGAATGTACTTCAAGCCTTCGGCTATCTGGATGAATACCTGTGGTGAGCCGTGCATTCACATGGGGGGTGCCGGACGCAGCACCATCCTGCCAACTGTGTGCAAACTGTGCTCCTTGCTGCTTTGCTGCGTACCGCGCCACGGGCTCAGTAAACGAGCCAATCTGCACTATATGGTCGAACAGCTCGCCTCCCTCCACCAGCTCCATGACCTGAGCTTCACTCTCGAGGCAAAGCACCAGCGGCAAACTGCCTAGTAGGATCCTCCTGTTAACAAAGTATGCAGGCACGAGCTAGCGCTCTAAACGTTTGTCGCAAGAGGTGCCAGGTGGAGAAAATCCTGGCTCTCGATGTAGTCAAAGAGTGACACAATCCGAGGATGCCTCAAAGAGGAGAGGATGGATACCTGGAAGGCGATCTTGAGACGCAGCGCAACAAGTCCAGCAGCACGAATGCGGAGCCGCCAAGGCCTCTCTGTGCAGCTTTTCTGAGACTTTTTGAAAGTTTGGCTGGAGCCGGAGCTTTCCAATGTTGATGCTCTTGACCTGCACAAGGACATGAAAACAAGGCCAAAGGCATAGAGACAGAGTCAAACAGGGCAAGCCTTATTTGTGCGGAGCGGAGTGGGTCTGCAATTCTCAGGAATCTTGGGGTCTGGCGGCAAACTGCTTGCTGTCCTTCTTGCGCACACACCTCCAAACAGCAGACTTTGCCATCACGACGAAAATTTCAGAAGCTCAGGTGACACGGGCTGCCTGCACACGGTCGCAGTTGCCCCTGAGCCAAGCTCCTCCAGCATCGCGTACTTCTCCGGATCCTCCTTTAGAAGGCGACCCACAAAACGCCAAGCTTTCTGAATGGGCAAAGACAACTCGGCACAAGCGTCCTTGGGACCGAAGTGGTTTGCAGAACTGGCTACTGATGGAACCTTAGCTTATTTTGCTTTGTATGTCACATGTCTCCACGCCCTGGCCATGATTCGCTTGCGCCACGCGACGGCCGATCCGGAAGGCGTGGACGGTCGCGACTTTGCGGCCTCGGCTGGCGCTGGCGCCGCCTCGCTTCCCACCACAGCGGCTGCATCCTTCTCCACGCCTCAGGACTCGAAGTTTCAATGCGAATAGGGTTCCCTTATAATGAGGACACAAGAAGGTACCCCCTATTTCGGAAACCACCATTTCCTCAAAAAAAAACATCGGATGCTAGGCACAGCGGCACAGTGCTGCTATTAGCTGCCGAGTGGCGCCTGCGCTCCAATGGCTTCAGGCTGCATGCTTCGGCGAAGTCCCCCCAGTTCTCCAAGATCTCGTGAACCTTCAAAAGGGTTTTTTGGGCGGTTTTAGAGAAATTTTGGGGATTCGATGGGTTTAGGGCTCACGGCTCTCTCCCAGCAAGGTGCCCTGAGACCGCGAGGTCGTGCACTCAGCATCAGAGCTGAGGAACACCGAAATCTTCAGAGGACGTGTCCCTCTCCCTTGCAGGTCCTTCCATTCCTACAGGAACAGAAGCCAAGGGCAGGTAGCGCAGGGACGTGTGCGTGACGTGTACCCTGAAAAAACCCCCAAAAAAGGCCTACCTTTCTGCATGACTTCAAAAGGGTAACTGATGGTTCCCTTGCGAACCTGCCAAGGGGGTGCAAGAACCACATATGCATCTAAGGGGCGCTCACCGCTCCCATGGTCTGGCACCTCAACAGTGTGAGGACTCGAGGCGTCAGCTGAGCTTCTTAAGAACAACTGGAGCAATGGGAAGCCAGATCTACCTTGTACGGAAACTTAGGGTGAAGTTCCTGGGAGGCACCTCTAGCCAAGCAAGCATGATGTCACACATATGTCAGTCACAGTAGGCTCAGCACCAGGTCTTGGCCTTCGCAGCGTAGCCTGAGCTCAACGCGCAACTTTCTGCTTGCTTTCTGTTTGTGTTTTATTGTAAGCCTTCCCAAGATACTCCAGCCTGTCTCAGCACATCTCTCCTCTGACTGCATGAGTGAGCGGAGAGTGGGGAAATCGAGTCGAAAACAGCGTGGGCCGAGTCAGAAATCAAAGAAGACCACATGAGACGGACGGGATGGAAAGAGCAATAACAACTATCGGAAAGAAGGAAATGCGAAGGGGCACCATGCGCATTTGAAAAAATTGCTCGAATGGCAGGATTGCGGCTTTCAAGGATCACGCCACAGGCGCCTAATGCTTTGTCAAGTAAGCGTCACATTGAGCTTCTGTTTTCCTACAAGGCGCCCGCCCTAGGGCGACCCACGCCGGCAAAAGGCGACTCACCCCAAGTAGGCGCCCTTGAATGCAAAAGGCAACCCATGCATGCACAAGGCGACCCACGCAAAGCTAATCCCCAGCTCCCTGGTGCTAGCAACGCTGAGAACACCGAACCAAGGTTCGGAAGGAGTACGCCCTCAGCCTCCTGAACTTCCTGGCTTTTTTGTTACTTGAGGGTCACTACGGGTCACTGCTCTGAATGCCGTTGAGCTGCTGGTCAGCTTCAGTTTCTCTAGCCATGCTGCCAGCTGCTCTTCAGGGATCACGGAGCACTCCCCAGGCTCAGGCGCATACTCAGGTGCGTAACCTGCGAAAGCCGAAACGGGGCGAATGCTCCAACCCGTCACTACCACGACATATCTTGAGAGCGGATCGTGCCGATCCGCTGACATCAATGCAGATATTAGTGGGCTTTGCTGGCGTGCCTGCGCCATGAGCGGCCATGGGATGCTGCTTCCCTCAAGGCGTGCGGTGCATGCCTGCCGTTGTGCACGGTACACACAGTAACTTAACACATGCTGGTGCGTTGTGTGTGTGTGTGTATGTGAGCCGTGCATCGCACGTGTTCCGCACAAGCTGTGTACGTCGGACTTTGAGCGCCCTGTGTGTTCGTGCCCCTTCACTTCTCTGCGGCTATGCGGAAGCAGCTCAAGATGTTCACCACATCCCTGTCGATGACCGAGGGGTGTTTCGTGAAGCCTCGACCTAGCCTTCCGTGCTGTGAACAGAGTGAGGTCCAAACATGTTTGACAGCTCAGACTTCCAGGACTGGAGCCAAGAGTTCTCAGTGCCGCACGTCAACCTTCAACCAGAACAGGAGGTGTCAGGGGGGGATGGCAATTGTGGTTACGAGGTTTCGAGTCATTACACCTCACCCAACCGAAGGAATGACCAAGCAGGTATGCCAAAAAGCAACGTAAAAAAACTCGCGAAATTGGGCGCTACCGGCCTGCCGTCCGCGACACTCGTTTGGTTCCTGCTTGCTACGCCCATTTTGGCTGCGAAGCACTCCGAATTCAGGCTTGTGCTGCTACAGACTGGTAACTATTCGCACCAGTGCGGGGCTTGTCAAAGTAAGGCTTCCATTTTGGAAGTGAGACAGTGATCGCCACGGCTACAGACATGAAGCCAGCAAGGCTTAGTAGAATTGCAATCCACCCGCGACCGTCTTCATCGCGCAGGAATGCTAAGAACAACAAGCTGAACAATGCGAAGAACACTGCAAGCAAGACAAATGCGTGTAGGAGGTAAGAGTTCCAGCCTCTTTCAACAGAAACCATTCCAGCATCCAACTTTGCTAGGAACAGCTGGTTACGCAGCTGCCGGCGTCTGTCAGTGCTCCACTCCCCAATGATGGGTAAATCTTCGTCTTGGAACGCAAAGATGCGCCGTCCCGAGCCGTTCCCTGCTCGCGTCTCCACCGCCTGAATCTCCTGCACGAGGTTGTTGATCTCATGGAAATCCACATGATGGTGCTGCAGGCGGTTCTTGATCTTGTTCAGCAGCTCATTGTAGTCCTTCACGCGCTGCTCCTCCGAGTTGCTGCACTTCTTTGGCACACCTCGAGCCGGCCAGGCATCCGTGTTAGAGTCCTGCGGCTGTAGAAAAAAGCCCAGGCTGTCAGCTGAGTTTGGACCAAACTGCTTCAGGAACCTGGGCAGTTCCAGCTCCATTTCTGCAACAAGCTGCAAGGCTTCATCCTTCTCGGGCGGAAGAAGTAAGGGGTCCTGTGAGGCGCCACTCCCGTACCCCGGAGTCCACGTGACTTCGAACTCGATGGAAGGGCCACGATCCCCTGCACCAGGGCCCTGCAATACCAAACTGCCAGTGCTGCAAGTCACCTGGTTCGCAAAAGCAGAGGCCACAGAGGTGTATCCGCCATGTTTCTGCAACAGGTCCGCTAGAGACAGGGTCTGACTGCCGAGGCTGTCATTGTGAGTGAAGGTATCCTTGTCCCAAACAGAGATTTGAAGTTGCGGAAAGCGGGCCAGGGATGCCTGCGTCACTTGGAGGACGACTTCTTCCCAGAGGCCAGTTTTGGGATCCTTCCACTCAGGGTTCTTCTCGTTGTTCCATACGACGCTGGTATGTGCTTGTGCAAGGCTTCCTAGCTCGAACCTCACGAAAGGATCGGACTCGTCCAGGATGTCGGCACTGCGCAGGTTGTATGCCCTGATTCGGGTGAAGGTAAACTGGCCCGAAGCTTCACCCTGTACCTGCCCATGCCGCCCAAGTCTACCATCCTTTCCTTCCCAAGGAAAACAGAGATCACAGAGCCCACCAGAGTCGTCAGCGAGGCTCTTCAACTTCTGGCGCTCGGCTCTGCTCCTGAGCAGCTGCTCTGCGCGCATCTTCCAGTCCTCCGCCCCATTGCATCCCAGGGTGCGCTCCAGGACATCGGGCCACTGAAGAGCCAGGGCTTCAGCCTGCGGCCAGCGCCTCCGGTCTGCCAAGAGCTGCAGGAACTGCTTGGCAATGGGAAAGCGGCTGCGACTGGGATCAAGGGCTTCGTTCAGTAGGAAATCCAAGCGCCGGAAGAGCAGCTCTTGGACCTTGACCTGGTCTGCCCAGGGGCTGTAACCGGCCAAGGCCCGGAGGACCTCCTGCCCCCGCAGGGCGCCTTGCTCCAAATCTCGACTGCCGAGCATCTTCTTCATCATGCCCTCTTGCGCGAGACTTGCTCGAACATCCTCCAAGGCGGCGGAAGCGATCTCCACGGCCTGCTCCTCCCGTCTGCAAGCTTTGCTGTCACCTCGAAAGTCTCCGGTGAAGCTTGTCCTGGACTTCACAGCACCTTCCCATGCCGTTAGGGCTGCATTGAGTTGATCTAGGGCACGATGTACAGCCATCTCCGGTCCGTCTGTTGGTAGAAGGAGGGGTGCTTGCCTTGCTGTTGCTGGTGCTTGGCCTTGGCCTGCTTGGCCTGCTTGGCCTGCTTGGCCTGCTTGACTTCGGCTGAAAGGAAACCAATTCCCCTTCCCACTTCCAGGAGAGAGGGCGGCATCCTCTGCTAGCACGGTGACGGGTGAGTCTGAACCGTTGGGGGACTGCGCTCTGCGAGCATCATTTGGACTGGCTGAGGATGTCCGCGGAGTCCGCGGTGCCACCGCCTGTGGCGTCTCGCTTGCTGGGACGTCGCGCGAAGGACCCCCCAGCAGGTGCCCCACATCACCCCAAACTCCCCACGTCGAAGCATGCGGCTCGTCCTCGAACGAAACGCCTCGACGGTGGCGGGCTGAGTCCGGCTCCGCTGTGCCGAACAGAGCCTCCAGCATGGCAAAGGACAGGCCGAAGGTGCCCGGAAGTCTTCTTCTTTACCGCTGGTCAAGCTGTTGCAACAAAATTGCAAAATCGACACCTCTTGCGCACCGGACAATGACGTGTCAGACCTTACGATTGGTGTTCTCTTTCACAATGTCACAATGACAACGAGCCCAAGTTCTAACCGGATTGCTGCCGGGCACATTGCAGCAGGCTGCCTGTCTTCCAGTTCCCAAAAGTTCCTACAAGGCGCAATCATCCACCAACATCGGAAGCCCTTCTTGACAGCTGCCTGCTGTCTGGCTGTAGAGTCCAGTTTCCGTGGCACACACACACACAACCTCAAGGCCCTTCCGGGATAGCAGCATTTTCTCCCTGCTCGTCTCTCCTTGCTCCCGCTGCCTGCACCTATTCTATGTAGCAGCCGAATCATTGGAGTGCTCTGGGGTGCATGTGGTGGTATGTGGTTGCAGGTCGTTGTTCCCGGCTCAATGACTTCGGCCGCAGAAATCCACTTGGCAGGCCGCACTGTACGCGGGACCTGCCTGTCTGCTTCTTTGTCGACACCTGCCTACGCAACATGACGACCATGAAGACATGGATACTTCCTGCGATGAGGCACCATGTTACACCATGTTGTCTCTAAGGCCCTAAGGATGCAAACTGTCTTCCTACCTTGTGCTCTGCGCCACCTGGAAAAACCGACACGGTAGCCTTTGGCTGTAGCTGGATCGGTGCAGCTCTGGCAAAAGAATCTGGCAGTCATGCTTGGCACATCTGGCAGACCCCGATTCCTGCATCTGCAATGCTCAGCTATGTAAAATGTGGCGCAGACAGAACTGCGGGGCCATTGCAAATGCAGCAAGTATTGCGCTTGGTCAGCCAGTTTGAGATGCACTTGTAGTGGAACCTGGGCATGGTCATCGTGGCTCTCCCCTGCCCCCTTTTTTATGGGGTTTTTTAGGGAAGCCCATTCGATGCCCATCCGCAGCTATGGAGCTCGTGCTTGCAAGGTAGCCTTAGCAGCGCAGCAGACAGCAGAATTGACATCCTGATTCCGCATCAGCAATCCTCAGCATCTAGGGCATCTAGGGCATCTAGGGCATCTGCACTCGAATGTCCTCCTCAGCATCCATAACCTCCTGGCAAACCACGCACACGACGGCCTGATCAGAAGGCATGGTGAATCAACGCGCATCACGAGTACTGAGTACTGCTCTCCCAACTGCACATCTCAGCTCGTGCCTTCTGCGCCGTTTCCTCCTGACCCTCGCCAGGCTCCAAAGGAAGTGCTCGGGGAAGCTTCGTCACCACGTTCGGATCTACGGGTGGTGCGCCACCCCCCACCAGCACCTGAGCTTTCATATGATCCCGAGTTGGAACAAATCTGAAGCTACAGATCAGCACAGCCGGTCAAGCCTTGCTCTAGACTCTACAGTCATGCTCGTTGGGTTCGCATCTAACCTGCAACTGTGGCAAGGGCCCGGTCCCCTCGCCATCTGGGAAGGTGGAGATAGCACAGAAACCTGTGCTGCAAAAGCACAGCGTGGCGTGAGCCTACCGTTCCAGGTTCGGCTAAAGACGATGAATGACGATGATAAACTCAACGCCTGCAAGCGGCTGATAAAGGGCCTCACACTGTTCCACGCATGGGATCGTGGTGGTGAGTTGCCGCAAATATTGCTGAATCCTGGTAGCATGAAGTCGCACACAGACAACACCCATGCCGGAATTCAACAGCACAGGTCGCAAGTGTCCTTCTAGAACGCTCCGCAAGAAAAGCACGGTCATTCCTGCCGGACTGCATGTCAGCATGATGGGCTCAGCAGCCAAACAAGAACGGATGTGATGATATCACTTCGGTAAGATGGAAGCGGCATGCAGCGACCATGCTGCCCAGACGCTGCCCAAACACCACAGATCGCACGGTAGCCCGTGGTGGTGGTGGCGGCAGTCCGCGGGCGAGGTATGTCTGGCCTCTTGGGTAAGAACGGCACTCACAAGCAATGAGCAGGGATGACTGGGGCGGCATTCGCAAGTTGGCAAGCACCAGTGCGCTCGGAACCAGATACCAAATTCAACCAAGAGTCTCAAGGACTGATGGAGCGATCTGACCTGTCGGAACCTGCGCCTGACTTGCCACACTGCATCGCCGTTGCCTTTGCTGCGCGCACATGGCTGGGGTGTAGGAGAGGGTTTTGTAGTTCGGCGAGTACTCCAAGCTCACGGCGAATTGTCAGGTTAAACATGACAGGGGCACTTCCTGCTGTGTACAGCTCAGAACGAGGACGCTCTTTTGAGCAGGACACAGTAGGAACATGCTCCCAGGTCCTGAGAAGCCATCTACCTGGATCCGAAAGGGGCACAGATCTGCCTGACAACTGGAACCTGCAGAGCACATCTGAAAAACGGTGCCGCAGCTTGCGTCCACATCTCTTCCTTTCAAAGAGCTCTCAAGCTTTGCAACGTGATACAGTAGCGACAGGGCCGCCTCTGCCAGATGCATCACTAAGCTCTGTCGAAGGTGAAGTGTCGGGTCTGAGGTTATCAATGCACTGTCGGCAGCGGGAGCAGACCATGGCGATACGGCAGGTTGCAATGGAGTGGCACAATTCACGCGAGTGCACCTCGTACGTTCCACAGTCTTGGACAGGATGCGTGGTGCGATGTGTGATGTGTGTGTGTGGTGTAGAGGGATTGCATCACGCCATTTTGGCTGTGGTCATCTCTGATCCCAAACACATGCGGACTACAGCATGATCAGCAACATCGCCTCCGACAGCATGGTGAATTCTCAAAAGCAGGTACTCAAACTTAACTACAGAGCATGAGGGCATGAAGACGCAAGATGCGCCTGCAGAAATGAGCCTCGCGGCGTGATCCACGGTCTGACTAGGTTACTCGGCGATGCCATCGATGCCGCTCAGGTTTCGTTGGTGGCAGCTGCTTGAGCGGTGTCGCAAAGGTGGCTGATGTTCCTCCGCCAACCCCAAGCGGCTGGGCATGCATGATGATCTGCTGCCCAGGAAAACAGGCAGCCAACAGGCAGCCACCTGCGCGCTGCCAGTGTCAGGATGCACCCACGGCCAAGCCCGTCTTTCGACCCAGAAAGGCTCCATCTGTTCCCTGCATCGGAAGGAATTCGACCAGGTGCCCCCTTTCACTTCCGAAGGGGGGAATGAACGGCCGCAATGCTGAGCCGGACGAGGACGTTGCTGAGGGAGCCGCCTCGACTGCACTTTCTGAATGCAGGCGGAGAGCTTCGCTAAATGTCTTTGCTGGTTCTCTTTTATCTTCATCCTTGTTCTCAGCATTTTCTGTTGGTTGCTGATGTAGCTGTTCCTCTTTCAACTCGCCATTGGGAAAAAAACAAGAATAACATGAAGAAACGATCGCATAGACTGCGACAACAGGCCCCAGGAGTTGCTTCTAGCATGCTGCTTGTTTCACAGTGAAGAAGAATGTGTGCGTCACTACGGATTCTAGATAATTCTAGCATAAGAACAAATGCTGAAGCTTGTCTAGTTTCCCGCGCTTGATTTCCAAACGTCTGATCCAGAGGTGCGAGCGCCTCAGCGGCTGAGAGTCATCTGCAGCATCTGGCCACAGGAACCAGGATTCGTGCAAGCCAGAGGAAATCCCATCCAGTAATGCTCCAGATTCGAGCTCGAAGGACATCCTGCTCAGAGGCCGTGAGGCGCGCTAAACAGGCCCTAATTTGCATGGTGTCGGAGGTCCCGGAGGTGAGTAGTGCTGTGCTGCCAAGGGGCTCGGTATGTCTTCCATGTGGGCTCACGCTTCCCTGCCCGGCTCGAAGCACACTCCACAGGCCAAGCCTCAAAGGTAATCTTGCAGGACCTCAACATGATCTCAGCAATTGCCGCGGCCCTGGGCATGTGGTAGGCGGAAGTCACCAAAAGCACATGTGTCACACCAGCATTCTGAAGATCCGGTATCATCGTTGAGAAGTTTGTGACGGTGTCGACCGCCCGATGGGAGAGCACCAGCTGCCCAGCTGCCTGCACTTTGGCCAGGCGCTCCTCTGCCCCAGCACCCGGTGAGCTCGCAAACACAGTGAGGGGGCACTCTGCACACTGCTGGTAAGCCAGATTTGCTGCAAAGCTGTCGCGTTCTTGATCTCCCCCAAGAAGCAAAATCGCAGACATGGCACCCACGACGAGCTTCTGTTTCCAAACCACCGACCCCAGCATGAGCTTCGGCACTGCGCAGGGACCCGGGAGCTCGACAACAAGCTTTCATAAACCAACTGTAGTAGCTAGCGGCTACCTCAACACCCCTGCTTCCGTCGCCTATGCCCCTATGCCCTACGCCCTTACAAAAGTGTGGCTCGTCGTGCACAACAAAACGCTGAGCCTCCTGGCACATGCAGGGCAGGAAGACTGAGGGCAACCCGTGGTTTGAGGGGGTTCAGAATTTAGCACTTCGAACCATGGGACCTAGATGTATCGAGAATTCGCTTTGTGTCATTCCCATGCTGGCTCACTGGCCATGGTTGCTATGGTCAAGCTCTGGCACAGCACATGCAACAAGAGAATAGCTTGCGCCACCGTCCGTGAATGAGGTGAGCTGGTGTCTTTGCTTCCCTTTGCATTGCCAAACCAAGTCCCAGGCTTTGCCTGACATGACGTTGGGGAAGTCGCAAATCATTCTCGCACATTCTAAGATTCTAAACCTTTCGGCCGTTGCCCTTTTCATCGACAACTAGTGAACTACCCGCGACTCCCATGCACGCAGTCCGCGCAAATTCATGTCTAGCGCAACTGTCCGAACTACCGAGCTCGGGCAGCTCCAGTTCTCAACTGCACCGGCTGCATTTCTTTCAGCCAGTGATTCTTTCAATTAGTTTGAAAACCCTGGGCTTTGGTGGAGGCGAGTGCTCACACTGTTCGAGCAGGAGATGCGATCTGCGATCTGCAGCCTGCAACGCAACTCCAAACACGGGCTGGTTGCCGCGAATCGCTCACCACCCGAGAGAAAGGTTCGTGGCACTATCCAGCACTTGCCTCGCGCAAGGTCTGCAAGCGCGCCTCACAGTCGAGGCCTCTTCAGCTGGGAAAAATCTATAACATAGGGCCACGATAGTTCACAAGTGCTGCAGGCATGCCTCCCGCAAGGCTGTCCTGAGCTGGCCTCACACAACTCAGATACACGGGCACCACACACTAGCAGCACAAGCATAGCACAGCACAGCATGGCATGGCATAGCACAGCACAAGGCTTACCAAAGAAATGCTATACTTATACTACAACTCTACTATAACGGGACCATCGTCACCCGATAATTATAGCATCGCCATACTGAAATCAAAGTACACCATGGCATCCACATTCCCTGAACTCCTCTCAAAGTCGCCTCTGGGAGTCCGACGTTTCGAGCTGCTCCCGGCCTCCAAGCGGCCGCTGGAATCGACCCAAACAAGCAGCCCATGAGTATGTACTAGCAGTGCTACAGTGAAAATGTACTACTTAATGCAACATACGAGATATAACACATAAGATAATATATGTGCAAATATATATATATATATATACATATATCTATCTATCTATATACATGTAATCAGAGTGTTATCAGTATTACTAGTATACTTCATGTATATATATGTATGTATGTAAATGCGATACGCTTTTTCTCCGTGCGATCGCTAGGCCTCCGATGCTTACCAGACAAGTGGTCCCGAGGCGGTTCGAACCATGCAAACGTTTCGTTTGCTTCCACTTGTCTGATCTCGAGGACCATCGCAGGCGGCAGGTCGAAAACATTAGGGCTTGGACGTTTGCATCTTGGGCCCTGGGACATACTTCGTAGTGCACAACAGGAGGAATTTCCTCACAGAAACAACCAACGTATTTACTGCAAATTGGCTTGGAAAGCCTGCAATCTCCTGCTTTAAAAAAAGACTGCAAGGTCCGACCAAAGCGCTTGCGTTAAAGACATCAACGTGGCAAACATTTGTTTAAAGTTTAGAGCTCCACGACGTCATCATCGTCGCAGGCGTTCTCCAAGTCCGCGGATTCCGCGGACACGGACTCAGGCTTCAGAGGCAAGTCTTTCATGACCATCGACTCCTCCACGTGCTCGGACTTTGCTGAACGAGGTCGCGGTCGCCGGAAGCGTGGGCAGCCCCAGGGGAGAAAAATGCGGAGGAGGATACGACCACAAGGCAAGGCGGCCACACCACGGATGCCGAGCAGCGACAGGACCAGCATCCAGAAGTAGGAAGTGTGATTCACACCGTGCCATAAAGTCAATGGCAACAGGCCGACTTCTGGCAGCAAGAACATAAGTATAAATATGACCAAAGCCAACATCAGGTTCAGAAACCCCCATTTGGAGACGACTTTCAGCAGGAAGCACCTAGCGTCCAGGTCCTTTGTCCTGAACAGGACTACTGCCAAAGCAAACCGGGAGAGAATGGACACCGTCATGATCGCGAGGTAGACATTTTGCCCTTCGGCATAGAGAGCAGCAAGCAGAAAGTCACCAATGGCCAGGAGCACGAAAGGTCCGAGGTTGACAGAAGGAAGTCCAAACTCCACGTGGCCCGCGCCCGTAATGTCTACGCCCAGGAGCGAAGCATGCCTCAATGAAGGGGTCGATGCGCCTGCTACCATAAGCACTTCAATAGCATGGTCCACATCTTCCACCTTGTTTCCAATGTCTTCCCAAATCATGTCTCCATCAGGTTTGTGAGAGACTTCAGAGTGGGTGATGGAGGACTGGAAACCCCGGCTGAGCTGTTCTGCCTCATTCTTCTTCTGTATGCTTCTGACGCGATCCACTTCCGTCACGTAAAAGAAGACCACGTTAAAGACAAAGAGCAGGCGCTGGACGATGCTCAGGAACACTATTGGTATGTCCTCCTGCCAGTAGTAAACCCTGTTTTCCCAGGCCACAGTCATGCAGGAAAGCGCCAGGACAGCAACAAAATTTGTTGCCAATCGGCCGCGACTTGCTGGCCATGGCCACAGCAAGGTGCAGGCACCAGCAACTATCGCCACCGCCGGTCCGAAGTTGTTCAGAGCTCCAGGAATGGACATCCTTGCGACGATGCCCAGAATCACACCAGGAGGTATCGCCAGGCTGATGATCATGAGGCTGCGCCTGGTCTGTGGCCACTGGGATGCTCGAGCAATGACAATGACCTTCCCGCACTCATGCGCAAGGTAGGCTTCATAAGAGCACCACAGCCTGGTGTAGATGCTTTTGTAGTGGTTGGGCACGACGAGAACATGCGAAGCGACATTCAAGGCCAGGGCGAAAGGTGATTCTCTTGGAACCTTGATCAGATCCCCGATGTCAAGGTTCTGGGGTATGGCTAAAGTGCACATCCACGCACTCTTTGCACCCTGTGGCCACGAAAACAGAACCTTCACAATGAACTCGAAAACACCTTCGATCCACGCGTGGCTGATGAAGATGTGGCACTCCAGACCCTTTCCATTCCTCATGAGCGACCAGCTCATCTTTCCAGCCGCATAGGTCACAGGCTTGATGTACTGGTCATTCACGACATATATGCTTGGGCCAAGCTCACCCGCCCTCCCCTCGTGCTCCGTGATGGTTCCGCGTTGGATGGCTTGCTTCACCTGGTCTCGAAGGTAGCACAGGTCCTCATAGGTCACACACCAGCGATCTGGTGAGATCGACCTGTGCAGCTTCATAGCCGCCAGTGTCCGCGGACTGTCCATGGGAATCTACGCAAAAGCCGATGGCGGCTGTGGAAGCGAGGGTGCCCCTTTGAAGCACGTGCCTATCTGAGCCCAGACTGTAGCCATTGGAGATATTAGACTCTTGGCTCTTGCCCTACTCTCAGCTAGCTGTCTCAAAGCTTTGCGAGCTTTACTCTTCGTGGCAAGTGACACGTCAGCATTGATGTGCTGAGATGTGCTGAGCATACGACTGCATGTCGATCCATAGCTTCCTGACACAGTCGTTCAATCAGCAGCCCCCACAGAGCAGAGTCGACTGGTTCTGCTGGAGCTAACCCTTCAAACTCAAGTGACACACTATCAGCCTGCACCGCAGCGCCGCTGCTAGCTCCGACCGCGTGCGCTCCTGCAGCGTAGGCGTAGGCGGCTTATTTTGGATTGCAGTCGTTCCGCATGCAGCGATCACGAAGCAGAGGGCACGGAATTAAATAAGGAAGTGCTTTTGTTTTTTTCTGGGTTTTTTTGTTTTTGGTTGGGGCTTTTGGCTTAGAAACACAATGCTCACATGATGGGCTTCCACAAGTTCTTAGGCTTTGAAGCATGCTCTGCACGGCTTAAAACACAGCGGGGGGTTGGGGGCGGGGGGGGGCCCCCCAATTTGACACCACAATGCTCAGACAATGGGTTTCAGCAAGATTCAGAAGAGTTGAAGCACGCTTTGCACAGCTTTAAAAAAAAATCGGGGGAGCGCAGCCGCCCCCCCCCTATTTGCAAACACAATGCTCACATCATGAGTTTCAACAAGATTCATATGCTTTGCAGCACGCTTTGCACCGTTACAAAAAAGCGGGGGATTGGAGGGGGCGCAGTCCCCCCCCCCTTTGCAAACACAATTCAGGAAACCGAAAGAAACCTGATGCGCCGTTCCCTAACCGAAGCTCCTCCGCCGTCAGCTGCGCGGTGGCTTTTTAAGGCCCGGTAGGCAAGCTCCAGCCTGCGAAGCCATGAGAACCCCCCTTAGAGTTCATGTAGGGTTTAGGGTTTAGGGCTTAGGGTATGACTTGAGAGCCTACCTATAGTCCCCTTTGTGGTTCCTGTTTGGGGTTACTTTCTAGGGTCCTTAATATAACATTGGTTAAACCACAAAAAAAGGAGCTGGAATGGAGACTATAGGTAGGGTTCATACGGGCATCATGTACTATAATATACTATAATATACTATGATATACTATAATATACTATGATATACTATAATATACTATATAGTATATTATACTATGAGAAACTATAATATACGATGATATACTATAATATACGATGATATACTATAATATACTATACTATACTATAATATACTATAGTATTCTGAAGTACAGTATATTGTAGTATATAAATATGACTTGAGGGCTTCAGGGCTCTTTTTGGCTTTGGGGCTTCAGGGCTTTCAAGGGCCTTGGAGACCTTCAGGTCTGAAGAGTTTTGGGGCTTAAGTGTAGAAACATGTGTGCGCCACTATGGCTTCTGGCAGAATAACAAATGCTGAAGCTTGTCTAGTTTCCCGCGCTTGATTTCCAAACGTCTGATCCAGAGGTGCGAGCGCCTCAGCGGCTGAGAGTCATCTGCAGCATCTGGCCGCAGGAACCAGGATTCGTGCAAGCCAGAGGAAATCCCATCCAGTAATGCTCCAGATTCGAGCTCGAAGGACATCCTGCTCAGAGGCCGTGAGGCGCGCTAAACAGGCCCTAATTTGCATGGTGTCGGAGGTCCCGGAGGTGAGTAGTGCTGTGCTGCCAAGGGGCTCGGTATGTCTTCCATGTGGGCTCACGCTTCCCTGCCCGGCTCGAAGCACACTCCACAGGCCAAGCCTCAAAGGTAATCTTGCAGGACCTCAACATGATCTCAGCAATTGCCGCGGCCCTGGGCATGTGGTAGGCGGAAGTCACCAAAAGCACATGTGTCACACCAGCATTCTGAAGATCCGGTATCATCGTTGAGAAGTTTGTGACGGTGTCGACCGCCCGATGGGAGAGCACCAGCTGCCCAGCTGCCTGCACTTTGGCCAGGCGCTCCTCTGCCCCAGCACCCGGTGAGCTCGCAAACACAGTGAGGGGGCACTCTGCACACTGCTGGTAAGCCAGATTTGCTGCAAAGCTGTCGCGTTCTTGATCTCCCCCAAGAAGCAAAATCGCAGACATGGCACCCACGACGAGCTTCTGTTTCCAAACCACCGACCCCAGCATGAGCTTCGGCACTGCGCAGGGACCCGGGAGCTCGACAACAAGCTTTCATAAACCAACTGTAGTAGCTAGCGGCTACCTCAACACCCCTGCTTCCGTCGCCTATGCCCCTATGCCCTACGCCCTTACAAAAGTGTGGCTCGTCGTGCACAACAAAACGCTGAGCCTCCTGGCACATGCAGGGCAGGAAGACTGAGGGCAACCCGTGGTTTGAGGGGGTTCAGAATTTAGCACTTCGAACCATGGGACCTAGATGTATCGAGAATTCGCTTTGTGTCATTCCCATGCTGGCTCACTGGCCATGGTTGCTATGGTCAAGCTCTGGCACAGCACATGCAACAAGAGAATAGCTTGCGCCACCGTCCGTGAATGAGGTGAGCTGGTGTCTTTGCTTCCCTTTGCATTGCCAAACCAAGTCCCAGGCTTTGCCTGACATGACGTTGGGGAAGTCGCAAATCATTCTCGCACATTCTAAGATTCTAAACCTTTTCGTTTTCATCGACAACTAGTGAACTACCCGCGACTCCCGTGCACGCAGTCCGCGCAAATTCATTTCTAGCGCAACTGTCAGAACTACCGAGCTCGGGGCAGCTCCAGTTCTCAACTGCACCGGCTGCAATTCTTTCAGCCAGTGATTCTTGAGTCTGGACGGGCGGAGGGCCACGTCTTCAGCACACCCTGCTCAGCTCTGCAGCATACACGAATGCGTACCCTCCGCCGCCCTGCGCACGACTCTCAATCTCCTCCTGGTGAAACACTTGTCCTTGTAAGAGGGGAAGGGTTGCTCGGTTGCTCGTGGCATTATGCATGCTTTCTGGGGGTGGGATGCATGTGAAACCATGAGCTCTGCCGCACCTCACTGCAGCAAGGAGCCGATGTCAAGAAACGGTGCCTCAGCTGCTGCACAGGTTAACACAAGAGGGTGAGGCCTCGAATGCATCAACCGGAACATTTAACTCTGCTGGAGGCGCCAGATCCGAGAAGAGCTCCAAGAAGACTCGCTCCGTGACCGCGGTATTTGCCACAGCCTCCTATGATACAGTCTGACCCAAACATCTCATCACATCGCAACTCAAAGGACTGGCATGACGCGGCATGACGCTCCTCCTCCTCGGCACCGAAGGCTAAAATAACGGTCTGCTTCACTTCGCTGTCATCCAGCCTGGCATGAGAAGTGGCAAACGCAGCAGCTTTTCAAGGTCCTCGGGCCTGCCTCTGCAGCCAATCACCCAGGCGAATTACGCCGTTGCTGTTGGGGCCCTCGAATGCGCAGGCGTTCGCAGTGTTCGGGTGAAGCAGAGGCCTATATTTGACGTCGCAGCTGAACCTGCACGTACATCCTTCGTAGATTAACGGCGCGAAACGCCAGTTTTGTTGCCAGACCTGCAGCAGCTTGAACGCTGTTGCCACGCGCCGCTTGTCCTGTCAGTGACATGCCAGGTCTTGTGTCCCTACCTGACCCTGTTTATATCCTCAAGTGATCTATTCTAGACCAGGACCACACAGGATCAGCACCTGATCAGGATTGCTTTGCCCTCCGTTTACATGGCTTCTTGAGCCTCCATTATACCTGCTGTGCAAGGGCGAAGGAAGAACAGGAACAAACCAGACGAAAGCGTCTGTAGCGAACAATGCTTGTCCTTCTGTGGAAGTGCGGGACGCAACGATGACATGAAGGAGGAAGCTTTGAGCTCGTCCTGCAAGTCAGTACTTTGTCTGAAGTCGAAGCAGACGAGCCTTCAATCGAAAGTATCCACTACCCTATGCAACACCACGTGGAACAGGGCATTTGTAGCTCTGGCCACTGGCAAAGGGCTAAGGCTCTACATGCAACCGTCGCCTCTGAACGATTCTGATCGGTTCTGCAGTAACCCTGCTCCTTCTTCATGGTAACGAGCTGCGTCAGCCAGATCTTGGTACCAGGACAGAAGTGCCGTGCGACGGCTAGAAGCCACAGATAGTCCAGCTGAGCCACATCCAACGGCTTGCTTTGAACCTCTTCTGCGACGCCAAGCTGCTCCCTCAACACCTCGGCGGCCAGGCACATGTCCAAATTCCACAATGCTCTCATGACCCTCTGAGAAGAGGCTCGCAGTGTTGTGGCGACCTTGACCTGTGAGGCGAGGGGCAGCCACCACATCGCTTTTGGTGACGAAACCTGTTCGGAAGTGAGACAGGTCTGGAAGACACGAGATATCAGCTGTCGGATAGGCCCATGATTCCGGAACTCAGCGTTGCCAGGCCGGTCCTTCGTGGTCGCAGAAGTCAAAAAGCCTCTGCCGCAATGACACGTAGCCCATGGAGCCCCAAACCTGCTGGCTGTGGCTTCAAAAGGAAGACAAAGTCGGCTCGGATTCGGAGCTCAACTTAAGGGATCAAGCTTCCCAACCTCGTGGACCTTCTGATGGATTGCGGCTTTGAGAGCCGCGAGAGACGGGATCTCGGCAAAGTGATTTGGAGCATACTCGCCCCCTAGATGCCTCGGGGCGAGATGCCAGCCAAACGCAAGCACGTCGCCAAGCGCTGTTCGGGCCTCAAGGGCTGGGTGTCCTTCAGCCCAGCATACATGGCGTTGAGGGCCTCATCCTGCCAACATCTGTTGATTACGTACGCTGCCATGTTGTTGAGAGGGTCGACTTCTCTCGAAGGAAGCTCAGACACGTTGCACCATGAAAGACAGTCGCCTTGTGCACGCCCAAGATGAACTTGTCGCAACCCTGACCACAGGCTTGAATAACGCACAAACATGTCTCACGATGCAGAAAGCTGGTTCAGCAGACACCCGGGCCTTGGTGAACTCCGCGTTGCGATGGAAAGCTCCCACACCTGAGTGGAGCCACGTCCGAATTACGGCGTACCGGAACCCTAAACCCTAAGCCCTAGGCCCTAAACCCTAAACTCTGAGCAATTCTGAGCATGTTGCCGGTTGCAGCCGATGCTGTCACGTTGTTCCTGAACTCGGGATCTGCCAGAAACATCCTGGACCACGGACGGTAGCTGGCACGTGAATGCCTCTGGCACCCTAAACCCTAAGCCCTAAACCCTATAAACCCTAAACCCTAAACCCTAAACCCTAAACTAAACCCTAAACCCTAAACCCTTCGAAAGCTCAGGTCCTCTGGTTAGTGACCTGCTCGACGCCCGAGTAGTGCGCGTGGAAAGGCACCTCCAGGCCTCTGTCGTTCCATTCTTTCTAACCATGCTTCTCACACATGTGTCTAGGTTTAGGGTTTAGGGTTTGTCTTATGTTTCCAATTTCTTAGATTCTCAGTTGTCAATAATCATTGGGATGTTCCCCCTTATGCTAGCAGCCCGTCATCCGCGTAGGGGGTACGATAATCCCTACTAAGGACTGTTAGTGTGAGGGGAGCATCCCAAAGCACTAACTCAACCCTTTAAGAAAATCGACATGACTCGATGTCGGTCTAAAAGCAAGGAAATGGCTGGGCCTTCGTTGCCCAAGGCCGGCATGAGATCGGGCTCCGGTCCGCACCGAATTTCTTGTGCGTAGCTCTTCCTCGGCTGCCCGGCGGACATGCGCACCCGGGTTTCTGAAAGCTGAAGTTAGGGGGGATAAGGAAGGCCTAGAAGGGACCCTTCATGTGATTCCCCAAAATAACCCCTATATAACCCTGATTTAGGTCCCTGATAAGGCCAGGTGAGTGATATCTGGAGGCCGGCCATTGTGACTTGGTGCGGCCAGGCTTCGACGTATGAGTCGCCTCTCCGAATGTGAGTTGACAGCAGGGTGCTCACGCTAAGTGTGGGCCAGGGATTGAGGGAATAGGGAGAGGGAGAGAGCGGATCATCAAGCAAATACAACGAAATTGAATGCCATATCACACACACACACACACACACTCTCTCTCACACATATATATATATATATATGAGTTATACATGAATTTATTTGTCTATTTGTCTAATTCATTGCCTATTTGTTTCTTTATGCTGTATCTTCAGTCTTCCAAGCACCAGTGGCTTCTCTGTGGGTTGTGGGTTGAGGGACGCACCTTTTGCAACCATGCATGCGAAATGGCAGGAGAACACTGGCACTTGCATTTCAATAGGGTTGAGCTGTGTTCATGAGCTAGAGACCATCACGTCAGTACTCCTACTGAAGCTCCACCCTTACCCCCACCCCCCGACCCTGCCCCATCAGCCTTTTCGGCGACTGTATAGTCTGGCTTCTGGTGCCCCACGCCGGTAGTGGTTTCGAAATACCTGGCCTCAGGCAATCATCACACGTTCTCTTGACTTGGCTGCAATCCCGAACCGACATGAAATCCCTCAACCTCGAATTCCCTGCTTAGCTAGCGAGGACATGCGTGTTTGGTTCCACGAAAGTGAAAGCTGCTTGCCCTGAGGCAGATCCCTTGCACTTGAACATCTGAACTGCGACCAGAGGCGTGATTGACTTCCTCGATGATTCCTTCCTGTCGAAACCGAGTCGTGTAGCATCACGCAGCGTCACAAACACTGCATGTTCCCCATTCTCTGGGCCGACCAGCGAGCCTATCAAACGCATCTTCTGCAGCAACCCTCAAGCCATAATTTACGACAAAAAATAGGGTGTTGCTGGCTGAGATGCGCTGAGTGCAAGTGGGGATAAAGGAAAGCGGGGCGATGGTAAGAAATCCCGAGGACAGAAAGTGCTCGGCCGAGGCCAGAAGTTTCCCTTGGCAGTAAAGGCCAAGCTCCAGGCAGCAAAGGTACCGGGAAGGAGACAACGGGGAGAAAGCCGAAAGAAAAGGGCATCAATGCTTCTTGTTCCTGGGTGGAATGTGTAACCGTGGCACCAGCTGTCCTTTTGCACATGGCCCCACCGGTCACTAGGCAGCTGTAGCAGCCAGTGTTGCAGCCATACTGCCACACTTAATTCTCAGAAAGCACAGGCCTACGCATAGCGCGATGATTTGCGCGCAGAGCGAGCGAGCGAGCGAGCGAGCGAGCGAGCGAGCGAGCGAGAGAGAGAGAGAGAGAGAGAGAAAGAACACATGTGGGGTCAAGTATCTTCGCATCGCGTTCTACTTCTTTCTGCGTGACATGGCAGTCGGGCATAAGCATTTGCATCGTTCCGAACTGTCCTCTTGTTGGACGTCTGTCTCAGCGCCCTCGTGATGAGCACTTTTCAATGCCGTGGCCAAAGGCCCCTCGCGCATGATGCTCGGCGTGGAGTCGTCAACCTTTCAGGTGGCACAGCAGGGCGAATCTGAGTGATCTTAGCAGAAACAGCTACGGATCAGCTCTGGCAGGTTCCAGGCATATAATGGGGCCGCCTTGCCAATCGTGTGCGAAGCAGGCTCCCATTGCAAGCCGCTCTTGGGGCCATAAACACGGTCGAAGGTATCATCACCTTTCCTGGTGACACGAAAATGGCTCACACTGCAAAGCTGGGGGTTGGCGAGTGCAGACGCACCCCCTGGCAAGACACGTGCGACACATCGCCTGGGCACTGTTGGCACTTTGGTCCAATCTTTCAGCAGTCCAGAACGAGGCACGTGGCCTGAAGCGGCAAGGCACGCTCCAGGGCTCGCAGCTAGCCTACAAATATGCTTCTCATGCAATTCGGCCACAGCCCGTGGCGTTGAGGTACACTTCGTCCTTCTCCCGAGGAGTCGCGGAGAACACGCTCCTGTGTCAGTAGAACATGAAACCATTTCGGCAGCGCAAAGGTGTCCACATCTGAATCTGATGAGTGCTGATGCTGATGCAGATGCGTCAGCCTCAAACCAGTTGCCAATGAGCGTTCCAGCCTTGTGCAAAAGGCGGCTCTTGGCTGGAAACTACTGGAAGCTTTCTCTACAAGAGAGGTGCGCTTGCAGCGCTGGCTACAAAGGACTGGGTGCGCTGCACCCGTTCCTGGCTGCAGCCTGCAGATACTGGGCAGCAAGGTGAATAAAGATTGCGTTTTCTGTATTTAGGGATGCTCACTTTGAGGCTCACTGGACTTGCTGTCAAGGCAGGCGCTTCGTGTTGTAGGCATCATCGCTGAACTGAGCCATTGCTGCAGTGGGTGATCCAGCCTTAGCGCCCAGCAGCACGCCCTACGAAACACCGGACGTGTTTTACGCACAGCAGAGGGTTCTGTGCACTTTCACGAAAATATCCTCTCACCCTCAACCTCTTCCCTCGCGTACTTGCCTTGGCTCCGTGTTCCTCCGTGCCCCCCCCCCCCAAAAAAAGAAACGACACCCCCCCCCCCCCCTCCCCGCCCTTTCGTGCTGCCAAGGTTCAGTGGCGAAAGCCGATCTGCTGTTCTGCTCCGGTTTCGAAGCTTGAAGGCCGCGATTCAAGCGCAAGCATGATGAGCATGAATAATAAGAATAATTGTAATAATAATATGGTGCTTAGTAATAACTAGTACTAATAACAATAATAATAATAATATTAATATGGTGCCTTCGTGTTCTGGGAAGAAATCCAGGCACAGCAAGCACAGCAACGGAAAACCAGCTTGGGCGTCTTCGCGCTTGTTGCTTTAAATTTCCGTTTGGAGCTTCAGCTTCGTGCCCTGCCAACCCGAATTGGCAACCCAAGGGCTCTGTCGGCAAAGGTTCGACCACAACCTCCAAAGGCCATCATCGCGGTCTCCGCGACGAAAATGGTCATGAAGCTTTTTCAATGTTCCAAGGAAAGTGACACTAGACCATGGCAGAATTTGGGAGAAGTCGCCTGTTTGTGCAGATCCACCATGTGTTGTTACACTCAACCCAAGGCCTGACGGTCCTTCCTTTGCTTTGGATCTTGCTTAGGTGCAGCTGGCTTCCGGAAGCCTGGGGTTTTCCTTCTTGCTGCGTTTTCATTCTCGGCTAGAGAGAGACTCGACGTGAGAAGTTGCACTAGCACGGGCTCTGCGCGCTTGTTTCTGCAGCGAAGTGCTCGACAATGGTTGCGAACCGTCCATCGGGCAAGCTACCCTCAGGCAAGTTGTGGCACAGTACCAGTCTACGACTGTCTCCTCGGACCCACCATATAAGAGATACAATGTAAGCATATGCAAGCATGATCTTGTCAAGCCTATTCGCTCCGTGCACGATTGCCACTCTCAGGCTTCAATGCAATGCAGATTGCCTGCAAGCTTCAGGTTCAGGCCGCATGCAACATGCGAGGTAACGGCTGTCCAGAACATCTCTTCTGCTTCTGTATTCTCTTTTTCTTCCGCCTCCGAACCGCTCTGCGCTGGGGAGTCTAAGCAAAAGACGGCGTCTGGTGCAGGGACGCGACATCTTTGATCACCCCTTGCTTCTGTGCATTGCTGTACAAGCCGGTACCAGACTTGGTTTTCAACTTGAGGTCTGGAGCCGAACAGTTGGCAAGCAAGTGTGATAAGTATGGCTACAGAGTCCTCAATCCTTCTTGGGTCTGCCTGTGGCATCAAAAGTCCCGTCAGCAAAGCCCATGTCTTGCACCTTCTGCCCCAGCAGCGCCACGGCATCCTCTCTAAACGGAAAGTTTAGGGTTTAGGGTAAGCTCAAAGGTACCTTCAGCACAAGCCTCACGCTGGCTCATGCTTGAATTGGCCCGGCATCCTTGTACAGATTGTTTTTAATTCCACGCATCGTCTCCTCAGACATGCTTAACAAAGCTTTGCAAGGCCATGCAGCATCCTCCATCATGTCTGTGGCAGCTAAGCTTTCGCTAAGCTTCACGAGTCTTTGGATCTTTGCCTTTGCTTCGCAGAGACTTGGCCAGCTGTATGGACGCGGAGTACAGCTCTGAGGCAGGCGGAGTGTCCTCCACAACTCCTCAGCGCTTGCGTGCTTGTGGATTTCTCAACCCATTGGAGTGTCAATCCGAGGCAGCTACCGTTCTCTTTGAGCTCTTTGGATTGGTAGCGTTTGCCCATACAGAGGGTGTCCTTACAGTCAGAGGTGCACGTGCACACACGCCATGCACGGGCATGATCGCGGGCAAGCATCATTCCACATGGTCGTGGGCAGCTTTGCTTTCCTCAGCGAAAACAAAACCAAAGAACCAAGTACGAACACAGCCAGCAAGTGCCCACCAAGTGCTTCTGCTGTTGCTGCGAGGCACATCAACTCTGTCATCCCAGCAGAATACACCAGGCCGATGTCAATACCAGGCACAAAGAACAGGCCTGAAGGCTTGATCATGCTGTCCAACAATTGCTCCACAGCCGCTGAGTGGAGAAAGTCCAGCGACATATTTATAGCCATTACTGATGATATATTGGGATGTTCCCCCTGATCCTAACCGTCCTTGATAGGGATTAAAGGAGGGGGTGCTGTACTATAATCCTTATTAAGGACTGTCAGAAAAATTATGAACATCCCAAATGACATAGATTCACGGCCTGGGGAGTCAGCAGGCATCAGACGCTTGTCGAAGGCCAGGCCGAGCATGGCCCCACCCGCAGTGATGTGCCCATTGACCGCGGCAATCGTCGGTATGCCGAGGGTAAGGATTCCTCTGAGCTTGGGTTTAGGGTTTAGGGTTTAGGGTTTAGCTTAGCGTTTAGGGTTTAGGGTTTAGGGTTTAGGGTTTAGGGTTTAGGGTTTAGGGTTTAGGGTTTAGGGTTTAGGGTTTAGGGTTTAGGGTTTAGGGTTTAGGGTTTAGGGTTTAGGGTTGTACTTAGCAGCTTGGTGCTTGGGAGAATTGCTGAGTACACACAGGATGAGATCAAACATGCACACAAGGCCTATCCCCTGTGGTCAATAAACTTCTCCACAACAGCTTGTGTGAATGCTTGGCAGGGTCAGGCATCTCCATTGAACATAGGAGCCATGGAACAGATTATCAAACTGGATTCGTAAGCACTATAAAGGGAATATGATCCAGGCTCTAAAGCCCTTTTCATGGACCTGGAAGATGTGTTTATCAAGCTATTGACGAAGAAACAAACTGGATTATAATTATACTCCTTGTTCTGTGGGGAGCTCACATTTTAAGCACAATCCCACAAAGGGCCAAGGAGAATACATGTCAAACAGGGTTGGGATACATGTCCTTGTGTTTTGCTTTGCCCACGCTTTGGGCACTCGCACCCGACATGGAGCATACACGCACATCAAACAGGTGCGGCGTATATCTCTTTGTTCCCTGTGAACATCTGATACTTGCAGCGGGGTTGGCCAGGACGGTCCGCACATTGCTTAATTTCAGCATCGACTTAAGGAGACCTCTCTACTTTGAGATGCAAAGGTTTGCATTGAACTGCATCTTGAGATGCATCGACGTAGGGCGGAGGTCACAAGTCACTGACATCTGGGATTTGGATTTGGCATCCAGCCTCCCCACGGTCTTACCCCGGTTCCAGGAAACATCAAGCAGCAAGCAGCGATAAAAACAAAATTCTAGGCTTGACCCCGGGGTTTCATCCAGGCATGAGCATGGGGCACCGCAAAATCCGCTTGCCGAACGCTCGTTCTTGAAGCTTGAATTGGAACAAACTTGTACTTAGAGATGCACCCACTTACACCGTCATGGACTTGTGTGCTCGACATGCCTTCCGGGCGAATAACACAGGAGAGCAATCGCATGCGGATCACGCAATGTACCCTTGATAACCTGATAACCTGTCGAGTGCCGGTCCGAAAGGGGGGAAGGGGGGGGGGGTGGTCGAAGTGAATCCTGATGCCGGTTCAAGCTTGGTTGAGCCCTCGGCGGGACATGAGCATCTCAGCGTCGGCTTGGATCTTGGTGGACTCTGCCACATTTGCGGATATGTACCTTGTCTTGCGGATGGCAAACCCTAAACCCTAAACTCTAAACCCTAAACCCTAAACCCTAAACCCTAGGCCCTAAACCCTTCCCTCCTAAACCCTTCCCTAAACCCTGAACCCTGAACCCCAAACCTTGTGACCAGCTGCTGGAGGTCCATGCCGTTGCAAAAGAAGCGCCCATCGCCTCTCAGGGTACACGCTGGCACAGGGCTCCACTGCCAATTGGCCTCACAGATACTAACCCAGTTTGCTACAAGGGGGTTTACGATGACAAGGCACCCCTAAAAAGGACCCCAAATAGTCGGATCCCTTATAATAAAGACACATAAGGACCGCAAGAAGGTACCCCTAACATCGTAAACCCCCAGATTTTGCCGCCAGCGACTGGTACTTTGTCACCACGCCTATCACCGTGAGTGCATTGACACCCTGTGTCTCGGCGAGATCCAGCGCCATGTTGACCTGGCCAGCGCTGTTCAGACCAGCAGCTGACAGATGATGCGACTATGTGGTTTGCACCGGCGTGGAACCGACAAGAACCGAACAAAAAATGATCCATGAAAGCCGGCACCGCTCAGAAGCACCTGCCGGATGAGAAGGGGGTTGATGCGGTGCTCGAAGACGCGAGTGCCCCAAGGAAACTGCCCATCTGGAGAAAGAAGGCGAACCTTCGAGCGCAGCGGGCGCTTCATTAGTGTTTCAGGTCGAAGGCAGATCTGCTGACCGAACCAGGCGCCGCACAACAGCAACATCATCGACAACTTCTGTCTTGATGAGTTCCATATCCTTTCCTGAGACCGGGTGCTTGCACTGATGGCTTGGCACCAGAGGTAAGCCGATTGACACTACAGTTTGCTACTAGTGCTGCTGCTTGAAGGCCAGCATTGCCTGACGAGATTCCGGTGGAGCTGCACCTGATCAGGAGGCTGCCTGGGCCTTGCGAGGGCTTTTGACGATGTTCCTTTTGCATCAGTGTACAGCGAAACCACCTCTTCCATCTGAAAGGCGCCATGACCCGCGCCGTGTGGCAAGTGCCTCGCATGAGCAATAGCTGCAGACCTGCGTTGGTTTTACTCACGAACTTGTCTTGCGATGTGTCGGTCTCAGCCAACTTCAGCCAAAGCGCGGACCGTGCAGCTCTCCACAGGACCATGATGGGCCTCAGTGACTTGTCTAGACAACCCGAATTTTTTTACAACCCATTATTCCCACATGGTTTCATCATGATTCGGGTGGGCATTTCCTACCTGCCATGGTTCGGGTTGCCTCCTGCCGGCTGCGGTGCTTCCATCAACTGCTGGAAAACGGGCTTCTGACTCGAACCAAGGGGCAAAAGCAAGTACAAGCGTGGACAGATAGTAGCTTTCTGTCATGCAGTGCCCCACATGAACCGCGACAAGTCAGGCAGCTAGCCTGGTTTCCCCGTTCATGCTCAGGCTACCCAGATTGGGAACATGCGCTGCTATGCGCTTCTCCGGCCTTCGCGCCAGCCCTCCTGCCAGCATCGAGCCAGCTTTTCTACTGATTTATTCTGCACATGGCAAAGAAGTGACCTCAAGACAGCTGGCATCTCCTGCTCCACGCCTACGCTAGCGGCGCCGTCGGCTGCGGCTGCGTGATCGGCGCCGGCGGCTGCGACTTCGCCGGCGGCTGCGGCTGCGGGTCCTCGACCGCCTGGACTCTCTGGGCGGCTGAGGAGTGTCAGCCACACTCTCCTCCTCTTCCTGCTTGCTGGCTGCATGCTTGTTTTTCAGCCTCTCCAATGCTGCCTTGTGCTTGTCGGCTCGGCTGGGCGCCTCCCGCTGCGTTGTTGGACCCCCTTTCTTGGCAGGAGCTCGCATCTTTTTCTTGCGACGCCCGAACTCGTCCACCTCCTCATCTCCACTGTCCCACGCGTTTCTATCGTTGGGGTCTTGGCGATCAAACAAGCCGCCACCCCTCCCTTCATCCATTGCTCTTTGCGCTTTCTCCTCCTCCATAGCTCTCTTCATATCGGGAGACGGCTGCTTGCACTGCATGCAGTACATAGCTCCGCCCTCGTTCTTCACGCCACATTCGCAGGTCCAAGGGCCTGTGCTGGTTTTCTCTCCATCTCGCCAGTCGTCCAAGGGCCTATTCGTCCCTTCTGGCTTCCGTGCCCCGCAGGAGATACACGTAAGCCTCTTCTTGAAGTTCACAGTCCTACAGCTTGGCTTCGGACACTGCCAATCTTTCGGATCATATGTGTTTGGCTTGAAAAGGCACATCATGTTGACCGCCCGTTGCCCGTCGGCCCGAGTACCTCGCCGGACGCTAAGCCATGCAGAAAGTGTGTATGTGTATGGTGCCGAGTTGCTAAAGCAGCCGGATGCTTGCTCAGGTCTGTTCTTCGCTAGTCCGCCGGGTTTCTGGCACACGCATACGTGGAAGCCGAAGCGGCATTTCTGTGTTTTGCGTCCTCGTCTAGTCTAGGCTTGCTCCGCTCCAGACAGCTTTGCAATGGGAAACGAATTTAGAGCAGCTTACGGTCCTCAGTCCAATTTGTGGCCAGTTAGCTTGGCCCTTGCGGATACCATGCGTATGCCGTTGTGCTATAAGCCTCGACCGCGGCGAAGGGGCAGGACTGAACCGACTGAACCAACTGAACCAGTTCTATATACGGCTCTGCACCAATGCAAGGAGCCCGCTAGCGCGAGGATGCTCAAGGGATTTCGGCTCAGGCTTGTACACTCCTTGTGCGAAGTTCGTCTCAAGCGTTCGTCTCAAGCGTTGCTTGTGAAAGTATAGGGCTAACGACTCTGGTTCTTTCAAAGGGTTCAGTAGCTGCTGCACTTCCATGGCATCTCCTATCAGGGAGTATTGCCCACCCCCTTTGACTTACGGTCCGAATTTGCACTCATCTTTGCCGGCACAAGCGCGCTTCAATTTGAGATGAGCTTGCCGCACATCGGATGGCAAGGCGTTCCTTCATTTGATGGCTTGCCATCCAGTCCTTACATCCGAAATGCACTTGCATGTGGCGGGTGGGTGAAACGGACATGGCTTATCGGCACACGCAGATCTCCGTCACGGAGGCTGCTTGCATGTGACTCATCGACAGGTGAGACAGGAGTGGCTGCACTACGGCTGCGGCTCCAACCGCAACAGCCTTCACAGCCACGACAGGTGCAGCCATGACGAATCAAAAGACTGTCGAGGCCTGTATTTTGCATCTGCGACCAACGGAGATCCAGTTTGGCGGAACCATGTTGGATCCAAGCAGACTGGCACCTGTTGCCGGAGTTGCGAGTTGAGTCTATGGTGGGAGGGTGCATGTGAGGGCCGTTCTAGCAGCGGCCTCGTTGTATCCAAGATGGTCGGCAATGTACCCAGTCACCTGCACGGCAAAAAACGGGAAACAATATGTAACAATCGATGCATATCGATACCGGATGGGCCGGATCGATGAGGCCTGATTCTCTTGCCGGCCGCTACGCACTTGGCCCGCAAAGACAATAGCAGGGCCTTGGCATGGGCAATTGGAATACCCCAACAAGAAGTCCAGACACGTGACCCTTATCTAAAGCATCCCCTGAAAGCAGTTCAGCTCGGGACCTGGTCGCTTGCGACAGCAAACTTCCTGACTGCAGCAGCGCGCAGTGCAGACACTGGGTGCCATGCTATCTTCTGCCTGCAGGGTTTGCAGGAACTCCTGCTGCAGCTTGCCACTCCACACCTTCATCAGCATCGGTCGATGTAGCTCGTCTTAAGCATGAGACAACTCCTGCTGCGGTTGTCGGGAAGCATGCGGTGCCCCGAGGAGGCTGCGTGATATAAGAGATCACCGCACAGTACCACATCGAAGGGCTGCTGCAGCTCCTGCCCCAAGCTGGCACAGTGGTTGTCAGGGACTCAAGGGACGAGTGGATGTCAGTAGTCTTTATGCCTTTGGCAGCGGTCTGCCCCAGGTGTAGCCGACGGCACAGGCTCGTTCAACCTCATGACTTGATGGCAGCTCGTTGCAACTTCATCGGCCAAGGCTGGCCAAGAAGACCAAGAGCCCGGCAAAAGGACATTGAGCACAACGGTTTCTGGCCAAGTTGTCCTTGACTGTCTGAACCTGGAAGAGAGCTGCGGTCCGAGCAACACTGCTGTCTTCACAAAACTGCTTGGAATTAGCAAGATAAGCCCTGGCAACTGGAGCGCACGTTCATGGGCAAGTCGCAAAGGACGACCTGCTGTTACAATGCATGCGATCTACGGGCTTTCCTGCCGGGGCAGTGCTGGCAGGTGCCTCATGTCCAGCTTTGGCCAGCGCTATGCCTGCAAGGCCTCGGCTCATGTGTAGTCCTTATAACAATTGGGGGGAGCCCTCACAACCGGTGCGCCTGTGCCGCAAGAAAGGTCCTTCCCAAGGAAGTGGCATGTCAAGCAGCTTGTCTAGATTCCCTAGATTCTGGATTCTAGATGGCATCACGATGTCCCAGGTCCAGAACACGTCTGGGCTGCTCCAAGTGCGTGTCCTGAATGGAAAGAAAACGACTAGCGACTGTAGCTAAAGCTAGACACGCGCCCGTGTTTTTGCGCAAGCACGGGCGCGGAAACTTCGGCGGCGCCGCGGGGTCAGAGGCGTCCGGGCAAGTGCCACGTAGCGATCTGGTGTGCCAGCGCATGCATGCGCCTGCTTAACTCTATATGCTGCTTGCGGGTTCCAAGGGGCAAGCTGTTCGGGTGCATTCCATAGGGGGGTGGCCACACAGGTGGGTGGCCACACAGGTGGGGGCGCCCCTCCCAAAATCAAGCACAGTAAGCCTAGCCTTAAGATTCGGGGTGTCGGCGGGGGGGGGGGGGGGCTGCAGCCCCTTCACTGCTTGATTTTTGATTTTCATACCACCAAATGCCCGCGGTCGCATTTCTAACACTTGAGAGAAACAGACAGAAAGAGAGCGCGAGAGTGAGAGAGAGAGAGGAGAGGGGGAGAGAGAGAGAGAGCGAGCGAGACAGAGAGGAGAATTGGTAAACGACACTTCTCGCGCGCTCCAGGCAGCTCGCTTTCGTGACGTGCAAGTCTGTACTGCATGGTCGGCAATGCCTCGAGATGCTTGGCGAGGAGCCATCCGCCTGCCCAGGTGCGCCAACCTCGAGACATGGTTTCCTTGATGGCTTGATGAAAGTGCTACTGTGGCATCTTTCTCGAAGTTGCCAGAAGGGAAGAAATAATATCCCTGATACTCAGCAGACTACTAAGTGCATGGGCTCCTCATTAAGCGATGCACCTGTGTTTGTGAGCGCAGCGTCGCCCTCTGAAAGAACAACGCGCGACCTGCCCAGAACCAAAGTGTGGACTTCATCTCGCTTCACGCGTCGGCAAGAGCACTTGCAAAGGCTGCAATTGCTGAGGCCACCCAAGTAGATCGTACGATCGTGTGGGCCGACAAGGTGGCTCACCTAGGAAGTCTCAGGAAGGCTTCTAACGTCCCAGGGCTGCAGACCTTGGCAAAGCTCTCAGAGCATAAACGGCATGTGCCTGCATCTGCATCGGCCCCTTCTGGCCGTTCTTCTGCCTTCGTTGGGAAGCGCTGTGTAACCAAAAGCGTGTATAGGACATGCTCTGCCGTCACAGAACCTGTCGGCTTTCCTTGTCGTGCGCGGGCCGGGCACCGTCATGGGAAGCGACCTGTTTGCACTGTTGCACGTGCGTGGTCCATGCGATGGCTTCAACACAAAACTCAACTCGGCACCAGCGCAAGCTGAAGACATGACCAGCAATAGCGCATTTAGCCGGACACAAGAACATCGGTGCTCCTACCCGCGAGTACCGTCCCAAGCATTCACCATGAAAAGACTGACGGTGTGCGAGCCTGCATGAGAGAGGCGTGCAAGCATTTGGAGTCGTTAGAGAGGATAAAAGCGGTAGAGACTGGTTCCTGTTGCCGGTTGAAAACTCCTGCTGTATCCAAAACAGGGGCACCTTGCTCCGAGCTGGGCCTGGAATTGCTCTAGACTGTCTGTGTCCTGGCGCAGAAAGGCCACGGGATCGGATCCCAGGGACATGCAGGATACTTCGGTAACATGAAACCACCACAACATAAGCACAACCCCCACGATCAGCTGAAACTTGCTGGATTGCAAGCTTTCAACAATTTATCACAGGCCTCCGTAAGCCCTACAAAAGTTTGAGGTCTGGAATGGAGAGGGGACCCATGATGACCCGTAAAGAGCGGGAAGATCGGGAAGCACGAAAGGACGCAAGCCCACTTCGTACCCGTGAAATGCCCTCCCCATTGATGTTCTCCCGCACTACGCCCGGAGACGCCCGGACATCATCATGGCGGTTCGAGCACGTCTGGCCTGAAATTGCTTCTAGGGCACTCCGAAGATTTTTGATGCGAGCTTGTGGCTCCCAATACAGTGTGGCGGACCAAAGTGTCCGAGAATCCGAGCTGCTCTTGCTTCCTATTATGGTTTGCAAAGGTCTTGTCCGCGAGGCAGAAGGGGAGGTTGCTCTCTTTTTTTTGACATTTCGCCTGCAGGAAACGTGATCTGCCGCAGTCCAACACATGTCTCAAGACCAGTTTTTTCCGAGGGACTTTGCTTGACGCACTACGCATGCCCAACACAGGCAGATCACTTGGATGCACCGATGAATTGGCACTCGAATTAAGAGGTTGCACTCATTATGCCGTCGGATGTTGCCCGTCCGTCCACACAACTTGCGTGACTTGCGTGAATGATGCACAGCTTGGAGGCAGGACAAACATGGACAAAGCCCTCCACAACTCACCCGAGCTCTGCGACCGCGTGATCTGCTGGCTCCGGACAGCCATAGCCTGGGAGACCATGGTCTGAAACCATCGTCTGAACTCAACACCCTGCCAGAGCTAGAATCAGCCCACCACTTTGGTTTGTCAACTCGAAGGGGTTGCGGGAGTGTTGCGCGCGCTCGCGTGCGTTCGCCTCAGCCCGGGGCACACCGTATCTCCTTCCGCCAACTCTTCATCGTCATCATCACAAGTGATCTGCGCACCAGCTAGTCGCAACTGGTAACAAAGCACCGCACTTGCAACAGGAACAGACTGTGCGAATGCCCGTGCGTGCAGCATGGAGTACAGCAAAGGCAAAGGTGCAGCATGGAGTGCCCATGGAACGTATCCAGCAGCGACATGCGCAGGCGCACAGACGTGGCGGCCACAGGCAGCTTTCCGAGGTCGTCGGCACTTCCTGCAGCTGGACTCAGATGCCCGTGCCGCGGGCCTTCTTTCTTCCCTTTGCTAACGTTGAAGGATTTATTGACTGGGGGCAGGTGCTTAGCCTCACTTTGAAGACCCGGCACTCCTGCAGACGATGGATTCCGATGGTTGGCTGCTATGATTTCACGCCTTGGATGACAAGGCCACGCTGAGCTGGCGCCGAGGCCAGAGTCGTCTCGGACCGTGGCAGGCGATGGAGAAGAGCTGCAAAGTTGCCGCCTTCGACGCCTCAAAACTCGAATTTTTTTAGGCAGCCCAGGCCTCTAAGCACCCCAAGCCTTACGCCTAGCTCGCCACTGGCCCACCAGCTCACCACAAAGCTCACCAGAAGCGCACACTTAGACACTTGAATCTTGAGACGCCTTCGGCAAACTCCCGGCCATCAACTCATTCTGTCCTGTTGTTTTCCTCTTTTGGGTCTCTGCTCTGTCCTATGGGTGCGGCCGTGGCGGCGCTCCGCATCTGCGAGCTGGACTGCCTGAAGCACCCGACTATGATGACACAAGTACCGATTGTGGGAAGGCTTTACTGGTACCAATGCACCATACTTCAGACTTCAGACACATCAGCCCTCACCACTCGGTCACCAGCTCGTTCAATCAGAGCCTGGACGGCACAAATCAGAGGTCTTCAAGGCACTTTGGACGAAGAGGGCCTTCAGATGCTGAAAGTCCATGCCTTGGCCACTTCATGCAGCGAGCGTGAGAGAGGTGATATTGCAGCGAAAATCAGGACAAACCAGTGCCAAAATTCCTAGCTCTTCTTCTGCCAAAAGTAGGCCCTGAAGGTGTTCTGCTCTCTGTCGACAGTTGCAGGGGTTCGATGACGTGTTGGCAGCTCTCATGTGAGCCAGCTGCCGCAGTCTGCAGGGCTGAGGCAAACGCTAATCCGGTCCAGCGCGCTCTGCTGTAGCATGCAGAGCTGCTCGGCTTCAGCCAATCCTCCAGAAGTCTAAGCATGCTGAAGCAAGACATGAGAGCTGAGCGCCCTCTCACTGACATCTCTTTGGGCTCGGAGATGACACGTGAAACTCACATGCTTTTCTGTCCAGGCCCTCTCCACATTGGCCGTCCCATGATTGTCCCTTGGCACCAGGGGCGCTGCGCATCTGCTGGTCAACGTCGTCGCGGCTGCTTGCGGTCTCGCCTCAAGATCGGGACGCAGGGGCCAGTATTCTTATCAAGGTACAAGGCCCCTGAACAGGATGCCTCGTCTCGGTGGTCTCGCCACAGACCCTGGAAGCGAGTGCGCAAAGCCGGGTTCTGTTGGGGAATCCTTCATCGCTCTTAGGCTCTTAGCTCCGAACGTCGTTGGTTGGTCATCAGCCCTGATGTTCTGAATTTCCAGGTGCCACACATCTCCACAAGCTCTGAGTGCAAGGCGCGATCCTCTTCGAGCTCTGTTGGTGTAGGACCTCTTTCCAGTCTGCATGGAGCTAAACCCGGGAAGGGGTCACCTATGCACATGTCCTCTGATGCCCACCACGACGATCTGATGCAAAGGATGTCTGAGCCAGCTGCTCGCCACCTACCACAGACCTTCGGCTCAATCGGGTGGCTTTCTGCAACATGATCTGGATTGACATTACGCACCAAAAAGCACTTTTCTTTGTGGCTCTACGCTGTGGACTCACGAGATGACGCTTAGCGTGACCTCAGGTCTCAACTGCCGGCTGTCTTTCGCACTGAGGAAATGAGCCGGAAAACTCATCAGGTTCTTCGGGGATGGACCCACGAATACCATCGAAAACTAGTAGCCAGTGTTTCGGTTACGGTTTCTCTGCTCATATGGACTTTCTTTGCTGCAATCCGGCGATCCGAACCCGAAGCCTGGTAGGCGAAAGCACACACCAGTTCAAATTTCTCAAACCTGCTTCACGGCGGTCTGCTGCTTGGCAGTGGACCCAGATGTTCCTCAGCCACACGCAGGCCCGACAACCTCTACACGAATTTTACCAGTCCTGCCAGTCCCCATCGGCTCATTTTTGCTTACAAAGCTGACATGGCGTGACTCGGCGCTGAGAGTCCTGCCGCATGCTGCGAACACCTCACCTTCTGACCTGCACAGGTCTTCCGCGCAAAAAGCTACCCTAAACCCTAAACCCTTGACCCTAAACCCTATAGCAAGATCCGCATTCTCTGAGAGCCAGTCCCAAACTTCGCCATCGCTCCAAAGCAGCCGGTCGGTCTTTGCATCAAACCGAGCCTTAGAAACAGAAACACTCTCAGCTGGTGCAATGACATGTCGCCCTTCACAGCATTCAGCTGTTTCAGCTGCAAAAGCATCTCCCGTTTCTCATTTCCAATTCCTGCCTTGTGCGTGGTCCCGCTCAGATTCATCTCGAACTCTCCGGCTGCATTAACCCTGCAAACAGGTTGGTGTGAACGGGCTGCATGAGACTTTCATGGCAGGAAGGGCAATCCTCAGTGATGACTGGTCGAGGTTGAAGACCTTGTCCCAAACGACGGCTGTACCGACAATGGCACCTTGGGGCTTTAGCTTCGTCACACGTTCATTAGGAGCACAAGTCGACTAGTCCTTGGTCCTTCGCCCATTCTTTGTAGGTCTCCTTGTGTGCTCCATGACCCCTGCAGAATCTGGAAGGGCTCCGGGACCTTCACGCACTTGCGAGGCTACTGCTTGCACTTGCGCGTCCCTTGGCGCGCGCGCGCGCCTTGGCAGGGTAGATGCTGACAGGGTCAGCGCTCCGAGGAGTAAGCTTCACGGGCTCCTACAGGTGTCCAAGGCTCATCAGACGTCAAGCAGACTCAGGCCATGGCAGGCCATGGCAGGCCATGGTGGGGGCCTCTGTGTTCCCACTGGAAGCCCCACACTGGCAGTTCGCCCCCATGGCCGCTGGCCCCTACTGCATGGATGAGGTTTAAGGTCTGTGCCTGTACCTATAACTTATAGGCGGCCTCCAAACTCTGACAGATCTGGGGGTGGCGGAGTGCTCAGATTTTGGATTGGTGCGTGCTTGAGCTGCTGTTGAGTCATGCCCCGGCTCCCAGTGGCCACAGCCGAGAAGGACATACACTTGGCACGGTCAGCACTGTGCCGTCTTCACAAGTCCGGCGCCGCCCCCCTCCCCCCCGGGTCCCACAAGTAAACAGGTTAAAGCCTTTTCGAAACACCATCACACTTGCTTCAACTTGCGTGGCGCAATGCTTGTCCTCAGGTTCTTCATCCACACTCATGGGGCCCCCGGCGCCAGGGCCTCGAAGAGGCTGTCACTCTCCTTGTTGACCTCCAGCTGAACAATCCGCTGTCGCGCCTGCCAGGCTACGAAGAGTGCCTTTAAAAAAAATGGCACATGTCTATCGAAGAAGGCCCTCCGGGAATTCAAGCTCCTTCTTCAGATCGCCATGTAGGCGGTTGATTTCCTCTTTGAGCTTCATCGTGTAGCCTGAAGGTAGCCAACATGGCAGAGCTGGACTGTCACAGCTTGTCCACACTGAGACCACCACGGATCTTCTGCCGGTGGTTCACATGGCCAACAAGCTGCGCGTGCTGATCCGACACCTGCTGCACTCATGCGACTGCACGCGTAGCTCATCAGCATACAACTTCACCCGTCATGTCAGTGCATCCGAGGATTGGAGCTGAGAGCAGCCGCGAATTACACCCCTCCTAAGTCAGAACATTGTGGTCACCCTGCGGTACTTGAACGGCTTTCGGACAGCGTGGCAGGAATCGGCGGCAAGTGCCGTCTGGCGCCAGCTGATTCAGATGATCGACTTTAGAGAGGTTTTTTGCCACCTCAAGAGGCCGGCTGGTAGTATTTTGTGTCACGTGTTGTGTGTGTGCGCGTCTGCATGTGCAGATACTCTTGCAGATCATACCTGCACATGTTGCGCAGAACTGCTGATTGCCACTGTTGTTGATTTTTACGACTATGGGTATGACCTTTCTCATCTTCCCTCTTCTTTTCCCCATCTTCTACTTCTTCAAACAATCCTTTGGAGGAGGCCCGTTGGCCCTCCCAGCCCAGAAGCGGGCGCCTGATGGTTTGGCCCTGCTTTGGTTGAAGCAACGCGTTGGCGACTGTGGGGCCCTCTCTCGTGTCTGCCTCCCTCTTCCCTGCGTCGTATGCTCTCGGCATGTGCAGCTCTGGGCAGAAAGGAGGCGGCACCCTGTGCAGATCCTCCTCCATGCAAGCCAATGCCTGGCACGTCCACAGAAGTCATAGTCTTTCCCACATCGCGCACACTTGCTCACAGAAACCTTTCTCTTATTTTCTTTGCTTCACTCTAGAGACGAAACTGCAAAATGAAGAACCGGCTCGCCTCCTTCAGGCTCAGGTTTTCTGCCTCCAGCATCTCGCAGTCCTGAAACCGATGGTTCTTTGGTACTTGTGGCATCTTGTGGCTGTTCTCCTCTTGCTCACAAGCAGTCACTGCGAGTGAGCGGCCCTGCCTGCTTGAATTGGCGCAGCGACAAGCAAAGCTCGCGGTTCTGCAAGCGCAGTTCAGTGCCTTCGGGCCTTGCAGATGTAAAGAACTCCGAGTCTTCCGGCTCATACCAAATCATGCTGTGGGAGATTGCTCCGAGGCTGAAGCAGATCTTGTAGGTCCTGCGGCCTGGTGAGAATTTCGGCTTCGTACTCCGAGAGCCAGTTCTCAATGAAACGAAACTTCACACTTCACAATCCCCTATGGCTGACCCTTGCCCCTGCTCCATCAGCCAGTCCCAGGCCTCTCAGCTCGTGCGAGGTATGTTACTCAGAGGTTGCTCCAGGAAGAACATAAGAAGACGCAAGAAGACCAAAAAGAACTCTGTGTATAAGAACTCAACGAATTCAATGCTCGGGTGGCACAGCTGAGGGCTCGGCGGCATCGGCCCCATGCCAACGAGATGCAACTGCCATGGCCGCTTTGCGTCTGCCTCATTTTCCGTCGATCCACCAACAAGACGGGCCCCCACCTGCCTTCACATGTACAGACATGCACAGATCCGAATAGTAAGGCTTGCGCCCAGAAGGATCTCTGCCCGCTGCTTCCACAGCCTTGACCCCGGCTACGTGCAAGCTGCTTCTTCACTCCATGACAGCAAACAGTGCTGGCGGCGCGGTCGTAGTCTAAGCGGCAGGCAGGGCATCTTGCTGCGCAGCCTGTGCACGACGCAGCGCATTGCAAGAATCGACAAACACAGACCTATGTTTGTTTGCTGACATGCACGCTGCTAGCAGACACGGCCGGGTTGCTTCGAAATGCAATCGGTTTCCAGTTTACATCAGCTGGTTTCAACGTGCGACTGGCGCTGCCGTCCGCTCCTCATAGGGTGCCTTTGTCCCAGACTTCGATTCTTGGAAGCCGCACCGTGGCCTCCAGCGTCGAAGATGCTTCCGCGATCTCCAGCTTGAGGGCAGCAAGGGCCGCCTCTTGGGCCTTAGGGCAAGGAGCAGGGAATCGCATGTCGTGTCCCCCAAAGACATCCCAAAGCTGCGATGGCACCACGTTTTTTTCCTTTCTTCCGGCCACAGGATGCTCAGCAATTGCAGGAGAGCGCCGCGTTCTGCATGACTCGAGCGGTCGTGCACCTTGGGACACCACAACATTCCCGTGCTCACACCTGATGGCAGAAGAGCGTTCTTTTCTGTGCGTTCACACATGCCCCACATCTTGGCACAATGTGTTGGTATGATCGTGCTGCTTTTGCTCTCGCCCCGTTACTGTTTCTGTATACGGCTTCCGGGTGCAGGGTCTTCAAACTCTCTAGCGTTCAGACGAAGGCCATGACCAGAAAAGCAGCTGAAATCATCCTTAGATCCTCCCGTTTCTGGTGCTACCACCGAATACACTGTACTTTGGGGGGTGTCTAGGCCTTGCAGACCCCAAGGCGCCATGAAAATAGGCCGTAGAGCCCCCACAGTTGCAACCGAAACCTCAGAAAGAGGCAGAGAGCGACAAGACCGGCAAGGAAACACAACGGAGCATAACGAGTCTCTGACCACGGCCTCCGCACCCACGATGCGCCCTGCACTGCTCTGCGCTGCCTGCGGCAATGGGCACTTGAAGCCAAGTATGGGAGCCAACACGCTAAGGAAAACATGCAATTTTCCACAAGGCTTGGCCAGGCCTTCCGGTTTGGAAGCTTCGGCCGTAGCGTGTCGGCGCACCACGCATCGATGGCAGATGACACCAGCTCGCCAGAGGCTGCCTTCGTCACGTCGAGGTCCTGCAGCTTGAGCCAATCAGGAGCCAATCAGAGGGCCCGAGAAAGCCTCCACTGCCAGCCCCAGTTTTGTTGGCCCTGCCCCCATGACTTTTCGAACCTCCAAAGAAACCTGTGACCCCATCCGATCTTAGCCCCATCCGATCTTGGAGGGGTCCTCCTGAGATGCAGGCTTCAAGAAACGAAAACGAGACATCGCACATGAACCTGTGGAGAATCGGGACACCTGCTACGAGAAGGATGCAGCGCTCACAGCATCTGACAGCATCCTTGCCCACGGCTGAGGCAATGCAAAAGAAGCTGCTCCTGACAAAGGCTTGCAGTTCTCACCCTTTCCGACTGTCACAGCATGCGTTGCAATGCAGAGCGCCTCCTGGCCAGCGGCACCCAACTGCGGCCGCTCTGAAAGGAGAGCCGCCGCAGCGCTTTACCAGTCAGCGCGTCCCCCAGACTGCTCTGTCGCCTACATGCATCTGCTGAGGCACCGCAGCAGTGCACAGCGCGAAACGAGTCACGCAGCTGTGCGGCACTGTAGGCGCGCTGTAAGCCCTGTAGTTGCATCCGAGCCGCTCCAACACAGGCTCGCGAAGTAAAGGATCTTGTCCAGTCGGCCGAGCGCACAGCTGCCGAAGCCTCCGCAAACCCAGCTGCCGAATCAGTTTCCACTTCTAAGTAGAATTTCGCACGGGCATACTAACCGTTCATATCTTGACCACATATCGTCCGTATTTGACCTTTGGCGACCTGTTGAGCTGGGCCCAGCTGACTTTGTCGCGCAGGGAGAAATCAAGGCGATCGCGGGGACAACGTCAAATAATCGAATGCTCCGAACACTTGGCTTGCTCGACCGTTTCCGTTGTTGTCCCACCCGCCAAGCAGACTAAGCCTCCGTCAGGGAATCCGTTTGGGTTTCGACTCACGCTCGCACAATCCGAGCCACTTCTCACCCGATCCAGAGCTGGGCACAGTACAAGACAAGAACACTCCCAGCTCAGTCCCCTTCCCGCCAGGAGTGATGCACCTTATGCTGTAACCAGGGGTACAGCGATCCAGGCTATTCGAGCTCGAAGATCCTAAAGCCAGCACAGCAAGGCAAACCCGAATTCCTACTTCAGGAGCTCTTACAGGGGAATTCCATGCAGCCACAGGTCTACACAACCCAAAAAAGAAAGCGTAACACGATAGCTAGGCAGCAGACACGTCAGCGGGGAGTGGGGGGATGGGGGGTAGGGGGGGGTTACTAACTGTCATGGCGCCAGTTGCCAGTTACTACCAGGACTCCGTTTTCGAGCGGCGTCTCATGTTGGTTCCCCACACGCAGACGGGGTCCAGGTTCCATGATTTTGGGTCCTCGGAGTTGCCGGGGCCATCACCCCCTGGTCCACTTGGCCCTGTCGCATGGTGAACTTTGAAGTCCTAGGTCCTAGGTATCAGCGCCTTCACCCAAATGCGAGCTCTCGAAGTCCAATACCGTCTCCTCCCCCAGACGTTTGCTCTCCTCTCCCCTCCCTCTCCCTCGTTGTCGACCGCCGGGGTTTTGCCCAACACCCATCATGACTTGATCACAGACTCGCACGAGGCAGCGTTGTGCGCCTGTCTTTTTGCTTGTCTGCATAACGCCCCCCTTACAGGAGATCCACGTTGGAGGAGCATGGCGGTCGCATCAGTTCTTGCAACCGACGTCACGTGAACTGGTAGTCGATTCTAGCCGAGACCTGCTGAGCTCAGCTCAACTCTTCAGACACGTCTGGGAGAAGGTTCTTCAACGCGAAGGCCGGCATGATCGGCAGTTTCCTCCAAGATCACACTCTTGCTGAAGCATCAACGCCATGAGCTGCTGGCACACAGGCCACTCATCTCGTTGTGCTGGCAGGCATGTGCAGCTGGCCGCTCGTGGAAGCTGTCGGGCTGCTTGCCGGCGAGTATCCTTGATTGCAATTTAACTGACATGTCCTCGGTTTCCTTCTTGTATTAACACGAGACTAAGTGGTTTTACCTTCCACTGCATGGAGACTCCTGCCTTCAGCTACCGTTGAAGCAGTCACGTTTGTTCCACGCCCAAGTGTCCGGCTAGACTTGCCTGCTTTGCCTGCTGGGCAGGCAAGATGCGCGTCAGGTCATGCAGCTCTCGTCGCAAGGTGTCACATTCCTCAGCAAAGGCACACTCCAATCATACTCCTCAGTTCAGGCAGCCAATCCGAAAGAAAAAACAAAAAAAACATCCGCCAGGCGTCGTGCATTGCAACGCTGTAGCACTTCGATTCAGAGGTGCACAGGCTCCGCAGTTCATGAACAATTGCCGTCTCCTGAGGTGCGAGAGAAAACTACGAAGATCTACCAGGCCTCCCCACGCACAACATCAACAAGCGCAGTTCTCTGGCACGGTGGTGCCAGTCTGCATATGACCCAGCGTCAGCTGTAAGCGCAGCCTCCATCTCCGAGTTTTCTTCAACGAGCTCACTCTGCCGCTCTTCGTCCGCATCGTGCTCTTCTAATGCTGCCTGCGAAGGGAAGAGGCACTTAAAGTCGAGCTGTCACAAGTTCTGTGCGCTAGCTGCATTAGCTGTCCGATTAAAATCGCCATGAACGGGGAGATATCTCTTCCTCTGCAAGTGAAGAGGTGCCCAATATGAATAAGACTAACCAGGACGGCAGTTCTGACTAGGGCAAGATTGCGCAAGAGGGTGGCCGGGTATGTGCGCTGAAAGAAGGTGTCGCAGAAGTCATGTCGGGGCTTGGCGAACTGAGGACCTCCAGTTAGACAACATTCAGGCCGTATTCGCCCATGTGCTCCCCACCTTGCACTCGCTCAGCACGAAGGCTGCTTCAGAAGATTCGGACCTGAGAGCCGAAGGTTATTGGGATACGTTTAGGATGCTTTGGCTCTTTATTTGCTACCGGCATCTTGTCGTTGAGCCGGCTCGGAGAAGTTGGAGGTGAGGAATCTTCGGGCAGGTCCTACACCGCCAGAAGCCCCACTGCGCCTGCCAAGCTGCCAGCCCCATCCCCCTTCCCCCATCCCCTTTCCCCATTCCCTTCCACTTCCCCTTTTTACCCGTTCCCCCGTCCCCTCCCTTTGCCCCCTTTCCCCCCTTCCCCCATCCCCTCCCATTCCTGCACCTCAGCCACAAACTAAGGCAGAATCCCAACCAGCACCAAGAATCTGCGTTTGGAAACCAGAGTCCAGTGTCCTGGCATAAATGCGGCGTGAGCAGCTTCAAATGCTGCGCTTCTTGTGCAGCTTTGAACGCTTCGATGCGGAGTTGTCGAGCAGATTCGAGCTGCATTCCTGCACCCCGTCAGCAGTGGGCTTTGGCGACGAGAGTGCCCTGCCCAGTGTAGACAAGGTTCGGGTCTCCGCTTCTGCCCGCTGCACAGCAAGCTGCTGAGCGGTAGCCTGCACGCATCTCCCCTCGAAGAACCCCAATGTGCGGCGCCTTGGGGGCATGTAATGCATGGTCAGTATGAACACAAGGTAACGTACCATCGCCTCGCTCTCCACTCGGCTTTCCCGCCGACGCTCGGCGACGAGCTGCGCCTTTTAAGGTGCAGGGGAAGGGAAAACCAGAAAGTTGCAGACGAAAACCAGAATGCTGCAGACGATGCGAACTTTGCAAACCTGTCTGAACCAATTCCGAATGTCTCACCCTCACAGTGTTAGGAAAAGCTCAGGGACGTATTCGAAAACATCTTTGGCACAGCACCTCCAGCGAAGCCACGGCGATGGATTCCCGCTGGCTTAGCTCACGCTCTGCATGGAGTTCGTCTTGACCTCATTCCACCAGGCAGAAGGTCAGTTTGAGACTCCCAAGACTTCCATTGGCGGCCGGCAGTGTGGCCGACTCAGGTTCCAGCATGACTTCAGCTCATCCTCGACCTCGGCGCTGGCGCCGCTTGGACTCATCAGTGCTTCATACCAGTACTGCTTCATGCTTGAACAGCGAAGTATCGCGGATTGCCTTTGCAAGAATTTGATGGTTTTGGTTCTGTACGGTTGATGCATCCGGAACACATCAGCAAGCTGCCGGCGAAGATCTTCGGCGAAGGCCTTGTTCATGCAGCTTGCTAAGCTTGCTGCACTGACAATGCTTGATTGGAGCGTCGCTTGGCCGGTTAGGTCGGAACAACCACTGAGACGTGCACACCGCTTGTCCTGCTCAAGTACCATCCCCAAATCGCAGTGTCTGAAAAATGCTGAGCCAAGCCACGCGACCTGACGATACTGCAGCTGCGCCATCCATCATCAACAGTGACAGGAAAACGCTGAAGCAAAAAGCATTTGGCAGTGCCTGACTATCCTAATTTGGAATTATAGCACATGCTACTTGCAAAATGCTGCAGGCACCAGGGCTGTACAAGGCGTTTAAAGGCAACCAACAGTTGGGGTATGTAGGGATCAGGGTGAGTTTCTGCATGTGATACAGTACGTTGCACGCTTCATGTCTGCGATGTGTGTACATGCGTTCAGTACCCGTACCTCTGCACAGCGTGCAACTGCATCTGGCATCAGCATGCTTCGGCACATTTTTAGGCACCTGCAGCTGCTCTGGGCTGCAGTCTACGCAGAGTCGAGGCAAATGCTCAGCGATTGTCTGCGATTCGTGGCACTTGGCATTCCAATGGCCGCAAACCACACTTGTGGCTGTAACTGGCAAGTTGGCAACCTGGCAATCGCCAGATGTTCTCAGAAATTCGAGGAGAAGGCAAGAGCACGCACAAGAGCATAGACTGCTGGCCAGAGGGAAGTGTGTGGATCTCTCGTCTGACCCGCTCGTGCAGCAGCTTCAACGGCTCCAGCAGCTTCAACGGTGGCGAAGCTCTCCAGGGGGTCTTTCGATTCCACCTTCGTCGCCAGATGTTCGACACCACCTTCCTTGTTTTGGTCCTCCTCCCAAATCTGTGCCACTATTAAATGGCCATTAGCCTGGGCTCCAAACCTGCGAAGGGCTCCGACATGAGGTTGAGCTGGAGGGTGCAGGTCCCTCAGCCTGTAGCTCGACTCGGTCGGCTCGGGCACGAACGAGGCCGGTGGATTTGACGTGCAAATTGGAGGGCGGATGCTTCGTGATGAGCCGTGGAGTGGGGCTTGACGGTCTGAAGGGCTTCCGTCCGTTTCGCGGCGTGGGAGGCTTCGCCTTTGCTTCCTTGACTTCCTTGACTTCCTTGACTTCAAATTTGCACTCCGTTTTTTGCAGATCATGTCTGGTCAGGAAGTTCAGGAACTGTCTCTCAACGGACCCTCCACATCACCCTTTAGCACCCTCTAGCACCCTCCTTTCTTTCTTTCCTACAGTAGCTTTCGAAGGCCGAGTCTCCTGCGCAGTGGCCCGGGCAAGCTTGGGAGATGCCTTGCGCCGCTGCGGTGGGATTTGCGCATCTCTGCCTTTGCCAGATGAGGGCTCCGTGCGAGCTGGACCAGGCTCCTTCAATCGGATGTTGACAGTGGCGTTAGCATGCTTGCTCGCCTCAGGAGCCCCTAAACCCTAAACCCTAAACCATCAACCCTAAACCCTAAACCCTAAACCCTAAACCCAAGTAAATGCTTCTCGGTCGCAGCCAGCATCGAGCTCCGCGCGGGAATCGTGGGAGATGTCGCCCTTCTCGCAGGGATCTCCCGTTCGTCGGCCAAGCGACCAGGTCTGTCTACGCTGCGCCCCAGCCCCAGTTGTGGCCCATGTGGTTCAACTTCTGCTTCGTTCCTCACAGCAGCATCTCCTTCCGCCGCAACCTCTCGGGACACACCCCTGAAACGACCCGCCCCGAAACGCATGGTTGCAGTTGGCATATGTCGGCGGCACATGCTTCAAGAGAAACCTAAACGGTTAGCTGTTTAACTCTGGCAGACAGATGACCCCTCGGCAATTGGTAGGTTGGCGCGGGCCGGCCTTGGGACTGCCTGGTTCGGTCTGCGCTTCTGCATCTCTGGTACTCGCAACGGCCTCAGATGCTTTCGGATGTCATGAGCGGATGGACTTGAGAGGCTCATGGCTTGCCGGAACCTCAAAAGAGCGGTCGTAACAGCGCGCGGTTTGCTTGGGAACTTATTGATCCAGGTGATTCTTGCAGCGAAGCCGGTTTCTTTGTCGTTTCGACTCTGACAACTAGTGCACGCAGAGGCAAGTTCTTGTGGTTTAGACTGCGTCTGAAGGCATCCGCTTCACAAGCTTTTTCTTCGGAGAAAGCTGATGGGTTCTGACGTGTTCTTCTCAACACGCCCACAAAGTCATGTTTTTCAATCATGCTTTTCAGTTCCAGCCATTCTGCAGACTGCGGTTCGTTGGGAAACGGCGATTTTGTTCTGGCTTATGTTTGGGTGTCGTAACGAAGGGTTCATTGGGGCGTCGCTTGCCAAGCTGCTCTTGTTGTGACTTCGGTGCTCTACTTGGCCACTACATACCACTATCGGCCACTGCTCCCAAGGCTTCCGGGCCTTCTGCACTCCACCCACTGCGCGAGGCCGCTCTCCATCCACTGCATCACTCCTTGGGGAAGCATCCTTGGTGGAAGCCTGGGCGTGCTGCAACTGCGGGCAACTCCAAGAAGCACGGTCGATTTCTCAACACGCTCAGTTAGACAGTTAGGCTCAGTTTGGCCAAGGAGGCGTCCACGTCCAGCGTGGTCTCAAAGGTGGTCGATCTGCTGAGGTGACCATCCTCTTGCCGGACAGATGGGGAAGGGGCTTCAAACTCGAAGCCCAGCACCAGTTCCTCCTGCAAAGCGTTGACGACTCCAAAGACTGACACCGTCGCCAAGAACACAACTCTTCTCTGAGCGTGCCTTCTGACAGAGGCTGGGCCGGGCCACGTCGTTTTCGCCTTCGACTGCGTGTGCCATGTTTGCCGCTTCTGGCGAATCTGCGATCGCAGGATGAACTTCATGGCTGGGGGCCTGGGCAGCACACGGCATCACACGGCGTCACGGCGTGGCATGGCCAAACTGCAAGTCATTCCATGTCATTCCAAATTCCAAGTCAACGCCTCGAACGGACTCTCCACGTCCATCGGACTTGATCCGGAACCGCTTCCTCTTTGAGGGGACATCTCATCGAGCAGAGGAGCCTGCCAACATGCTGCACAGCAACACCAAACGGTGACCTGCCAATGCACAGGAACGACACATGCCCGTCATTCAAGCCGGGTCCTCATCGGCATCATCTGACAAATGTCCATGGGAGAGTGTTGCTTGAGAGGTGTCGAGCAACACTGACTCCTGGGAGACACGGGCCTGCATTTGCACCACCTCGAGTGAATCATGGGAACGTTTGAGAACAGAACAGGGAAAGTACGACGACATGACTGACCGACTTGCTGCCACAAGCTTCTGCAGCGACTGCCACCGCTTCAAACTCGTGATACGTATCCCTGCCGGGAGGTGCATGGACAAGCCAAGCCACATCTCCAGAGGCGAGGGTCCAGTCGGCAGTCAGGGCTGGGCTGCGCAGGTCGGCCTCTGGGTTCTCAGACTGGAGCTTACTTCCATAGAAGGATGCCTCCGTCAGGGATCTCGTGTGTTTCAGAACATCGCCCGTCACATCATGTCATATCCTCACGCATCAAAAAAATTGGCCCCCTGCCTCTCTCATGGGCAGTGCATCCAGGAAGTGGAGTGAGTTGTGCAACATCTCCAGGTCCACGCGTGGACCAGAGTGAGAATCTTCCTGCCAGACCCAAAGAATTGCTCAAGCTTATGCCGAGGGAGACAGCAGAGGTGAGGCGAACACGAAACGCAACGCCGTCTAAATGCCCTCGCAGGCCCTCAAACCCTCCAACGCCTGTGACATTGGTGAGTTTCCCAGCCCGCGCAAGCCAAGAGAAGAGCCATGGAGAACGTCATCGCGGCGGCCCCGGAGGCGTGCATACTCCGCCAAGGCGGCCTCGAAGGAGCGAGTAATGGTGGAGCAGAGGTGGCCTTAAAGGCCTTAAAGTATCCTTAAAGTGGCTGAAAAAGCAGCTGCCAGGGGGTCTCGCCTCTTGCCGCCAAGACGCCTTGACCGATTTGGCTTCCTCTCGCAGCTGCTGTCGAAACTCCCTCGCCAGGGCGTTCTCGAAATGCAGCGAGTTCCGCAGAGCCTCTGACTCTTCCATAAGTTCCGTCGTCTTCTTGGCCTGAGATACATCTGCGGCTAATAAAGAAGAATGGGTGGGTGAGAAGGAATGAAACCGCCCCCATCACAGTCTGCCTAAGTTTTGACTTTGAACACCAATACGCAAGCCAAGCATCAGTTTCCAGTGAGGAGCCATATTCAGCCAGAATTGCATGTGACTCCAGCACAACTTGCGCCAATGAGACTGACTGCTGTTGCATTCGCCGGGCATCCTCTGCTGAACATCTCGCCTCTGAACAGAGCAGGCACGCGGCTTCCAAATCCTGGAGAGGGAGATCAGGCACTACCCAGACAAGTCTGACCAATTCTCTACCGATCAGGAGATCGCATACAGCTCTCCTGCATCACAGACGCTGGGATGCTCGAACCTCCCGGCCGCCGTTTGAAGCGAAAGCACCGCAAGTGGCTGTCAGTGTAAACGCAATCTTTAAACTTAATCTACGAGTCTTGACCACTCCTGGAGAAGGGCATCCCTTGTTGCTGCCTGCCTTCTACTTCCAGCCAGTCGCTATGCTCTTGAGCTTGCTCCACTTCAAGCTCAGCTCTGTGCAAAGCCAGGGCGTGCTTCTGCGCAGACTGCCGCTCCTCAGAAAGATTTACAAATCCCTGCTTGATCGCAACGAGCCCTGCACAGCACGCCGCATGACGTCCCGTCCCGTGCTGCTGGGGTACATAATGGATCTCAGATCGGCAAGTTCTGAGCGCGAGCTCTGAAGCAAGAAGCTCCTTGCAAGTCGAGGCGGCCTGTATCTGCTGCTGTCACCTCCGTCACGCCTCCGACACTATTAGTACACAACGCCTTTGCACGACATTTTCCTCTTTCAACGCCGAGTCATTCTGTGGCACGCTGCCACCAGCCATTGGGCAAGGACCTGTGCAGTCGATCTGTTTGGGCCTGCGAGCCGAGAGCAGCGGTATCCTTTGGCCACAGCGAACAGATTCGCAGTGGTCTCCGGTCAATATGGGTGTTTCCCGAAAAATATGGGGTACCCTTTTGGGGATCCCCTTAAGGGAGTCGGTTCTCTTTGCGGTCTAAAACCGGGGTACCCCTGTGCTTTGACCCCATGTTTCAAAGCTGTAGAGACTCCTTCTGTTCGAGGCCTCCGCGCCGCGGCCTTGCATAGGCGGCGGTGCAGGGATGCCTCGAGCCGCGCATCCAGCAGCCCGTGCCAAACTAAGGAGTCCGCGGCCACCTTAAAGCAAAAGCACATGGGGGCAGGATGTTCCCTTATACCTAGCAGTCCTTAATGGGGATTATAGCAACCCCCCCTAAATAATCCCCATTAAGGACTGCTAACAGAAGGGTGAACATCCCAAGCAGAATGACTAGAATGACTAGACATGATGGAGATCGGACCCCCGCTTAGAACAAGGCGATGGCCAAGCCGGCGTGGTCTCCGTGCCTGTCTTCCTCCTGTGACAAAATCCACAGGTCCAAGGCACCAAAGCAAAACGACTGATACTACTAAGAACATTTAGAAATCTAAGAATACTAAGAAAGCTAGTAATACTGATTTAGTACGAACAATAGCAAGAGTGCAGCAAGAGTACGAATGTTACAAACAATACGAAAGTTGAGCTTAACAGGACAACGAGTCCACTGAGTTTTCGAGGCTTCTCATAATTAACACAGCACCAACTTTTTCAAAACCAAAACCAAAACCAACTAGAACTACTTACTTCGATCAGCCCCACCCTACACCTCTAATTAGGGCTACAGCTACCTGATGCATCCTGCCACTTTACGGATACTTCGCCACAGGCTTCCGTCGCGGGACTCTCCGCTGAATTCGCTGAAGGTGGGTGCACTCCAGGTTTAGGGTTTAGGGTTTAGGGTTTAGGGTTTAGGGTTTAGGGTTTAGGGTTTAGGGTTTAGGGTTTAGGGTTTAGGGTTTAGGGTTTGGGCTTAGGGCTTAGGGTTTAGGGGGGACTTTTGCGGACTAGGATACTCTGGGCTCTGGGGGCGGGCACTCCCGGCATGCTCGGGGAGGCCCGCTGCAGGGATAGGGCCTCAATATAGGATACTCTACAAACAAAGGCCATTGAATGACAAATCCTGCAAAGGTTTTAATGCAAAGGAATTCCGCGCGAGAAATCAGGTTTTGTTGTCCCAGTAGCTGTCCCTTCATTTTCCGCCCATTTTCTGAGCAATGAAGGACAGCTACTGGGACACCCAGCACAACCCCGGGTAAACAAGACTTGGATTCCGCACAAACGCTAAACCCAAACACGCAGCGGACCACTTTTACCGCTAAACCGGATGCTAGCTATGCGACCTGAGTTCCTAAAATAGTGGTACCAAAGTCCTCGAAGGTGTCTTCAGCAGTCTCGCACGCTGCAGCGCCGGCACGGTGCGTCTGGGCCATCAAAGCTGGCGCTAAGGAGTGGAAGCCCGCCGCCTGCAATCGTAGGGACAGGGTGACAAGGTGTGTCAATCGCCTCCAGACGGAGAAGTTGCGGAGTGGAGGGGTCAAGTCTTGAATTCTTTCAAGCTGTCAGAAGTCATCATAAGTAGCTGAACTAGCCGTCCCATTCTCCCATCCTCAAAGTCACTCACAGACACAGTCTCACAGTTACACAGTACGAGAAGTTAGATAATTATTCCGGATTGCCAGATAGGCACAGATCTGTGCTGCAAGCATCAAGAAGTCAAGACAAATCAGGCCTCAGCTGCATCCGTGGAGATACCCAGGCCAAGCGCGTTGGGCTGGATCTTCTGCTCCACCATCTCCATCAGCAGCTGAGGGCACGGGTGAGAGAGCAGAGCTGTGTTCGAGGCTTAGGGTTTAGGGTTTAGGGTTTAGGTTTAGGGTTTAGGGTTTAGGGTTCAGGGTTTCGGGTTTAGGGTTTAGGGTTTAGGGTTTAGGGCTTTTTTTTCCCTCCTGCACAGCTGGGGCGAATCCGCGTCGCAGGTTTAGGGTTTAGGGTTTAGGGTTTAGGGTTCAGGGTTTCGTCGCTCAGGAGGGGTTTGGGGTTTTAGGGTCGAGCTTCCCCGCACCTCCAGGACCAGATGTCCCAAGTCAGTGCTTGAGCTGATGCCACCCAAGGCGCCCAAGGCAGTGGTGTAAGAGACCCGGGTGGGCACCTCAAGAATGCTTGCTCTCTTGCTTGTGGCGAGAGGCAAGTCTGCCCGGCCCCCGCCCCTAGCCGACGATGAAGTCAACGAGGCCCCAACGGCGACGATTCCCCTCCTCCTCCTCCTCCTCTCTTTCTCTCCTCTTCCGAGGGCGCGGCGAGCCTTGCGGCCGGCATTTCGCGGAGGAGTCCCAGACAAGTCTGCCACCTTTTGTTCTTCCTGAGTCATGGGCTGGGCATACATCTGCACGCTGAACGCAAAGCTGTGGCGACGGTTCGGATTCTTGCACTTGACCAGGGAGAGAAGGCTCCGGCAAGGCCCGAAAACCAAATGATGCTTCCCAGCAAGCCAGGGACCAATGCTGACATGGCACGCGCATGCGCTCATTGCGGAGTTCATGCTGGGTATGTCCAGGCGGAGTCCGGCAATGGTGGCTTCATCAAGCAGGTTCAAGCTCCACTGCCACTGCCAGCCATGATCCTTGCAAGCTCTCTTAGCCCTTCCACCGCGAAGATGGAGGAATTTTGATCTTTGACTCTGCAAGCGCCTCTCGCTTTTCTTGTTGTCCTCTGCTTTTTCTTATTCTTCTTATTCTTCTTCTTATTATTCTTCTTATTCTTCTTCTTATTCTTCCGCTTCTTTTTCCTATGCTTCTTCTGATTATCATTCTTCTTCGTCTTCTTCTCATTGTTATTCTTCTTATTCTTCTTATGCATCTTCTTCTTATGTTGTTTATTCTTCTTATTATTATTCTTCTTTTGCACTTCTTAGCCTCCGAAGAGGGCGTTCTCTGTTTTTCTTTGTCAATCTCTCTCCCTCTCTCTCTCCTCCATCTTCTTCTTCTTCGGGGCATGGAGGGATGGGGATCTTTCCACCCCACGTCTCTCTCTCTCTCTCTCTCATCCGTTCTTTCGCTGTCTTTATTTCGATGGTTCATCATGTCGCGCCGTAGTAGAACTAACGTCTACTTATTTCTTGTTCCATTCTTCTCGCTTTCTCTGGCTTTCTCTTTCTTTCTATCTCTTTGTTTCTTTCTCTTTGTTTCTTTCTCTTTGTTTCTTTCTCTTTGTTTCTTTCTCTCTTTGTTTCTTTCTCTTTCTTTCTTTCTCTTTCTCTTTCTCTTTCTCTTTCTCTTTCTCGTTCTCTTTCTCTTTCTCTTTCTCTTTCTCTCTCTCTCTCTCTCTCTTTCTTCTTCTTCTTCTTCTTCTTCTTCTTCTTCTTCTTCTTCTTTCCTTCCCTCCTGCGCTCCTGGCCCCAAGCTAAACAACCCTTTATACCACACCCATTCCAAAAAAGACTTCCGGCTCCCTTCCAGCGATCTGTCGCAGGGAGTCAGGGCCAATCCACTTCTTTCTTTATTGCTTTCTTAATCTCTTTACTTGTTTATACTGTTTCTATCGGTACTTCTCTCTTCCTGTTTGTATTTCTTTCGCTCTTTCGTTTGCTCTTAATTTGGTTTATTGCATCTTTTTTGCTGCTCGAGTTCTTTCTTGCGTGCTTTCTTTCTATCCTTATTGTTTTGTTTGTTTCTTTCTGTTTCTTCGGTTCGTTCGTTCTTTCCTTCAGAGTTTAGGTCTTTCGGTCTTTCTTCATTTATTCCTTCCTTCCATCCTGGCTTCCTTCCCTCCTTCCTTCTTTCCTTCCTTCCTTCTTTCTATCTTTCCTTCTTTCCTTCTTTCCTTCTTTCCTTCTTTCCTTCTTTCCTTCTTTCCTTCTTTCCTTCTTTCCTTCTTTCCTTCTTTCCTTCTTTCCTTCTTTCCTTCTTTCCTTCTTTCTATCTTCCTATCTGTCTATCGTTGTTTCGTGTTTTCGATCTTTCTTTTTCCCTTTCTTCCTGTCTTTCTTTCTTTCGTTCGTTCTTTATTTTCTTTCTTTCTGTCTTCCTTCTTTCCTACCTTCTCTTTTTTCTCTTCTTCTCCCTCTCTCCCTCTTTCCCTCTGCCTCTCCTGCTTCCTGTCTCCCTGTCTCCCGCTACATCCTGAGCCAAGATGCACAGGCGCTGACAGCGCATCCGTATGTCCTTTGTTGGGTAGCTTGCCCTCTGTTCCAATGAACACTGGCCCTGCCGACTCGACACTCTAAGCCGCCAACACATCATCCGCAGCCGTTTCCTGTTACACGCATGTGCCGTGTGGGCCAAGCTCGCAAGAAGGAAGACTTGGCCCGGCCTTCGCAGGGAGTTGCCCAGCATCAATTTCCAAATGCCTTCGCACACCTTTCCACAGGTGCAAGCCCCATTGCCACTGCGACACCTGGCCGGAAGCTTCAGCTCCAGTACTAGACTGGCCACCCCACTGCTTCTGAGGCCGGCGTAACACAATAGCCAACCGCATTAAGGTCCCTTCGGCAGGCAGAAAGCTGCTTGCTACTGTTACTGTGGTTGGTACACAGCCAGGGCAGAAGAGGGATCAACCGGCACAAGGCAAGCGGGAATGGCGGATGCGCAAAAGGCGAGGAGAAACAACCCGGCAGGCACGTGTTTGTGGCAGACTATTGTCCTGATGGTGCAGAATGGTCCAGGTGTCAGTGCTCCCGTCCACCCGGGGCAACTCAACATCAATAGCTCCATTCCAAGGCCCACGGAGGTGCCCCAAGGCTTCCATCATTCACCGAAACACCACACCACCCCACAAGTCGCCAACAAATACGCAGCCTACCTGGTTCTCCCCACTGCCCCGGACCTGGTCCACCACGTCCACCTCTTCACATTCGAGCCACATGAATCCCGGCATACGATACAGCATGATTTCTGAACCGAACTAAACACGAGCAACCTGAATTTCCGTGCACCCCGTCCCTTCACCACCCTCGCATGCTGCTGGGCCCCGATGCTGCCAGGCACAGGGATTAATGATTAGGCTTGCCCGTCTGCCCCCCAAGTATCTCATCCAAGAGCCAGATCCCCATCGTCCAACCAACAGGAGACCACGTGAGTCACGTGAGTCGCGTTAGACCATATGAGACCATGGCAAGTGCCCCCACTACCAGAAAACAAAAGCAAGTAACTGAAGACCATGCTAAACCTTGCGACACCTGCTGCAAAACACTAGCCTGGATGCCTTGCGGCAGCAGGCGAGAGCGGCGTTGAAGCTGACCACGTTTGGGAAAACACGTTTGCCAGGGCGGCACACGAAGAGCTCCTGTCTTCACGCGAACATTCATGAAGCGAAAGCAAGCTCAGTTTCTAGAAGGCTGACAGACAGCAATGGTCCTGCAGAAACTCAAGGCCTCTTTGCCAGTGCTGCCGATACCTTGGTGTTTTGCCACGGCAAGGGAAGCCTGACGTTGAGAATCCAAAGTCCCGCAGCTGAAGGGCTCGAAGGCGCTGATTGCAGAGTTGTAGGTCATGCAGATGGGCGACAGGCCCTGAACCTGCTCACTGAAGTGAAACCACGTCGGTCTTAGTCTTCGGTCATTCGGCGCGAGGCTAAGCCGACAAGGCACTCGCAGGACATCGTAGACATGAACCGCCTGTGCCCAGCTGCCACTACGTCCACCGCAAGCAGTGATCGCCTCGGGTGCATTTGCTTCCTGCTTGTAGGCCCAGTCAGATCACACACATCACATTCTTCATCTGCTACATGCAGGGTTTGATATGTAGTGGGGTTTTTATTTCTTGTACCCCCAAAAGGACACCCACCAATATTAAAAAGGAACCTTATATACACTCACCAATAAAAATAGAAACCCTGCTTCATAATATACTGCTATGAAGACAGGAAGCCGAATCGAAGGCAATGGTGTTGGCCTGTATACTGCGATCCTTTCTCATGTGGGCCAGGACGGCACACGCTCGGAACCACTTGAGACCCTTCGCGCATGCTGCCACCTGCACCAGGGATGTGCATCGAGAGTAGACTGACTAGACACCTTCCTGGAGAATTGCAAAAAGCGTGTTTTGGCAATGCCCCCCCCCCCCCCCCCCCCCCCCGATATCCCATCTGTGCTTCAGGGGTGCGGCCGGACCATGGTGACCGCAGGATTAAAAAACAAAAAGAGTCCTACAACCTCCAGCCAGGGTAGAAGCCCAAGCACCTATCACCACGCTGTCCAGAAACTTGAGTTGTGCTTAAGCTTTCTGATGGGGTCGTAGTAAAGCTGAACCGAGGATTCTTGTCAACCTCAATTCCAGTTCAGTGAAATATCTCGTGAAAGCATTTTGGCAAGAACCATTCGTCCGGACAGATTTCAATGAATTTCCAGCCGACAGGATTGTAAAAGGTGGTGGAGCCGACTGAGCGAGGCAGCGGCGCATGGAAACACATCATGTTCACCAAGCTGGATCAACGGTCAAGTTTGGGAGCTATGCACAGCCGATGCGGGCATGAAGACGGATGGTGGAGCCAGACATCGGCTTCATGACTCACAGAATTTCCCGCTACCTATAACTATCTTCACAGTTTTTTTCATCTTTCAAGACTCGGAATCAATCTGGGTCCGTCTGTCTAGTACATGTCTTGGCTTGGGCACGCTGGCAAATCGGGCTGCAGCGAAACGAAGCAGGTGACCATCGACTTCAGTAGCCACCCCAGGTCTTTCTCGACTTCTGCTTTGGCAAATTTCTCTTCCGAGAACGAAAGCAAAACGGCAATCCTGGTTGGTCATAAAGAGTCGTTCTCCGGCAACACCAGCACAGAAGAGAGTCGGCGCGGCAGACAAAAAAGCCAACAGGCCGGATGCCACATCAACGATACATCAACCATCATCAACCTACACTAGCGCCCTGGGGCTTGGACTGTTGCACTGCAGGTGATGAGATTGGGCTGCAGGCTCTCGCACACGGTCATGGACTCCAGGATGGTCAATGCGAATTGCCACTGCCTCTCCTGCAACTGCACATTCCCACATTCCCTTAAAAAAAAAAAAAAAAAAAACTTGCTATCCGCCCATGCCTCGGGCAGTAGGAGTCTTGGGAGAATTCTCAGGCACCCACCACGTCCAAAACTCGCTTTTTGGGGGACGTTGCCACCCGGAGACCCCGGGGAACCTCCCTTGCTTTCGCGCGACACCCAAGTGCAAACGCTTGCATGATCAGTTTACAGTAGTGCACAAACTTCCCACGTAGATGCATGCACACGTTTTTCCTCCCTTGTATTGAACACCCTGGACCCAGGTGCTAGGATTCTCCCGCCTCATGTTTGGCCACAGGGCCGTCCAGCTATGGGGATCTCCTGTGAACCTCTATGAACGCTTTCCTCCCTATGCACCCCACCCTATGGACCTCCCGTGACCAAAGGCGGAGGGCGGAGGATCCAAAGGCGACCTCCGGGCGAGGTGCCAAACTCTAAAAAAAGTTCGTCCCCAACCAAAACGAGGTCGCTCATAACTCATAACCCACGACAACACACACACACACACACACACACTCCCGACAGATGTTTCGGCCATCGTCCTTGCCAAGCCTCAGACTTCTGTCTCGCAAACTGTGAATATAGGGTTTAGGGTTTAGGGTTTCGGGTATAGGGTTTAGGGCTTAGGGTTTAGGGATTAGGGTTTAGGGTTTAGGGTTTCGGGTTTAGGGTTTAGGGTGTAGGGCAGCTTTGAGCATCGCGAGCGTCAGGTAGGCTGAGCTGTCTGGGTGCCATCAAGCCGCCGACCAAGAGCCGCTCCGAAGAAAACCTTCGTGACTTTTTTTGTCTATTTGTTACGTTTTTTACGAGTCCTACTACTCTTACTATTTTTACTATCTGTTGATATTTGTTGCGTTGATTGCTATCGTTTTGCTAGTTGTCGATATTTGTTGCTTTAATTGCTAATTGTTGCTATTATTTGTACGATTTTCGAGGGCCTCGACTTTCCACAGCACGGGTCGAGCCTCGTCTGGTCGAAGGCGGACGGATGGGAGCAGAGCCAGCAGAGCTAGCACGTCTTCCCAATTTCGTACGGAGCCGTTGGCAGAAATGTCCTTGAGTGCAGGTGTACCAGGAGTGAGCACGGGCGCGCACGCGAAGCTAGTCACAGCTAGTCTGGTCAGCCAAGAAGCCTTCGTGTACTGCACCAAGCTGTTTCGCTGGCACAAGGGCTTTCGCCAAGACGGTTCACGCCGATAGTGGTAATCCTAGGCCGGGACAGCATCAAGCGTAGAGAAGTAGAGCGAGGCTGCAAATGCTATGAACCTTGAAGGCGGGAACTGCAAGCACTTGAGGCGAGCTCGAAGCTGGCTTGATGAGGACGTGGGGACCATGCCAGCGACATGTGACGCCTGTGATCTCTGCTTTACCTTGGCAAATCTTTCAGAGGATTGTACAGTGCGGGGCTGCACTGTGTGCCTATTTCATCCTCGCAGTCAAAGGTTCATTCTTTCTCATTTTGGACAGCGGTGGCCGTTCGGATTGAGGATTTGATGTATCGGAAGGGATGCCCCCTTTGTGAACGAAAGTCATCGTGCTGGCTATCCTCACCTTATAGGCCAAGTGACCGAATCTTAAAGGCTTGGCACGCATGACAAAAACAAACCTGCGGAACCTCATCGTTGCTTTAATTGCATATCGTTGACGAGCTAACGGGTCATCCCTTACTAGACTGCAATCATGACACGGTCCTTTTGCAACCGTTGCAACCTCACTTGGTAAAATCTCTGCCTGGACTGCGACAAAGGGCGATGTAGCACCGGCACTCCATGGGCACTGCCAAACACACGGGCTTGTGGCTCAGCCCTCCCGGTGGCCAGGCGCTTCATGGCGCTTCTCTACTCGCCCTGCGGCACCCTGCGACGTGCGATGTTCCTGTATAAGTTTGTCATGGAATTGGGCGCAGTTACTTCAAAAGCTTGCAGATCTTACAGAGAGGCACGCAACGTCCCGACTGCCCAAGACATGGTCTGATGGTGCTGGCGAATGTTGCGAGGATCTTGGGCATGCATGCAACGTTCGCAACACTTGACTCGTCAGCTCAGCGACATCGGAATAAGCCGTCTGTAAGCCCATTACCTCGTGAGATTCCACATCCGTTTGACGCTCGCCTTCCATCTGGCGCTGCCTTGCCAGGCCTTGACAAACAGCTGTTCGTACAAGCCTTTCGGTTGTGGATCTGAAAGGCTTTCGGCGATAATATGTTACATTCCTTCGTCGCATCTGCTGTGGGGAATGCTTGCAACATTATAGAGACGAATCCATACTTAATCTTGCAGCTCGACGCACATCTTCTACCCAGCTCCGATGAGCTAAGATCCCCCCCAAGACAAAGCACACACCATGAATCAATGAAGCGAACGATCTACGCACTCAAAAATACCGTAGACACTCGCAACTGTTGAAGCTCGGAAACACCTCACACCTTTCGACCTTCGGACCCTGCTCGGCAACGTCGGGTTGGGGGGCAACTCCAGACGAAGTGCGGCCTTTTTTGGCATCAGTTTAAGGTACCATGCTGTGAATCACTGCAACACCTTTGAGGATTCTAAGCTTTCCTTCAGTGCACCCGGCATGTCAAAGGGCCTTCAGGACTTTAGAATCCACGCTCTACAACTCCGACTCATACAACTTCCCTGACTCCAATCAGTCTGAGGCCGGCTCTTTGAGAGTGTGCCTCAATGGCATGCTGCTTGTCGATAGAAGGGCCCCCATGCTGATTTCAAGATCTCAAACATCGAGACGTGCGCCAAGGGAGCCATGTACTGTCCTTGCCTGCTGCAGCTTCCGCAGCTGCTGCTCCGTGTCCTCCTGCTCCTGTGCTCTGAGAGCTAGCTGCTCCTGGTGGCCTCAGATACTCCCATCATGACCGGCTTGCGAGGTGCCCCTCTGGTGCTCAACGCAAGGCTGGTAGCAGAGGTTTCTCCCTGCGACTCTTTTTCCCCATGGTGGGGGCTTCAACCTTCGCTTGTGGTGCAGCAGTCAGTTTTGTACAGGTCGGAGGGTCCCTCTGGACTTTGTTCGAGCTCAAGCTTTTTGAACCATGAAGTAGTATCTGTCCTCAGATGCCAGAAGGACTCTGGACCCAGATGGGTGCTTCTTGCTTCGTGCAGCATGTCCGAGCACAAATACTGCAAATAGTGGATATGCCTAGCACAACTCTTGGAAAGCGTCCAGGTGCTGACCCTTTGTCCAGAGGCGGTCAAAATAGGAGGTCCTTGAACATTGCGACTCAAGGTATCTAGCCGGAAAACAACAGCGGAAGCCACAAGAGAGATGAAACGCGATGCAATGCGGGCATCATCCTAGCAAAGCTCCTAAAATCAAGCCAAACAAGGCACGTCTTCTTCTTGTGGCCCACGTGCTTGTCTGGCATTCCGCAGAACAGATCGATGCCATACCTGAGGGTCGAGCAATGCTGCCCCTGTGCAGGGGGCACGGTGGTTTGGTCGAGCAACAGGGTTTCACAGAGCTCCGCGTTCTTGGCATTGCGTGGCCCAGCTGACCTTGGTAGATTCCCGGGCCCAGCCATCGTTTACGCCTCCCTGTTCACACTTCGCAAAGATCCCGCAAGGTTCTTCTTGGGGGGGCCACTGCCAGCACCTAGCGGACCTAGCGTAGCCAAGCGACAGGAACATCTGCTCGTTCTCATCCCTCAACTCAGCAAGCGTTCGCACAAGACGCCGAACATACCTGCACTGCACGCTTGGAGCACCCTTGTTTGACAGGGCATTGTCCCTGGAGGCACGGGAAGCCCCGCGACCAGACGCTGCGCACGTGAGTTCTGCAGGCCCTCTGCACTTCTGATACCTCTACCAAGTCTTCCGTACATGCCTCCATACCTCCATATACCTCCACTCTGGATTGGCACAGCTGCTTGGTTTTGCATTCTTCGCGGGCATCTGGCAGCAAGTACCACCACCCAGTCGAAACATATGTCTTGGACATGTGCTTCGACTACCTCTTCGCAACATGCAGCGCAGCTTACAGCTTGCCTACTCCTGAATCATAGAGTTACTGGCGTGTGGCATGGGGGGGGGGGGGTATTCTCGTAACCTCTCTTAGGGTGAGCGAAGCAGCGCATGACATCCCTAAAGCAGCCATGACTTCTTGGGAGAGCTACTCGGATGCTTCGGAGCTGCCACCGCTAGCGTCGCTACTAGAGCCGTCATTCTCGGGGCTTTCCGCACCCGAAATCGCCACACTGGAAGAAGCCTGTGATGGTTGAGAGCGCGAGGCAAGCGAGCTGCCCCCACTGAGCTTGGACATTTGCTTGTCGTGCAGCGGTGTGGATTTCTTGGCAAGATGCAAGATCTGCCGCTCCAAGACGTCATAGGGATCCTCGTAGGAGTCCTGAATACCTTCGGGCCAAGGCATGGAGGCAGTTCCGGACCCTCCGAATCGAAGGATGGTCTCTGTGACCGTCGGATGTTCGGCGGCCGGCTCCGTGACCTGGATCCCGCCGGCGAAGCCAATGTCACCTTCACTGAACTCTAATGGCTCATCAAGCCGCAAAGATGCGACGAACTCTGCCCAGCGCCGGGCAGAGAGGCCTCGGACTGTTGCCACCACGACGCTACATCGCCGCAGCCTGGCGTAGCCAATCATGTCCTCATGTCGAGTCAAGAACACGCCGAGGAACTGTGCAACCAGCAGGCTCACCAAGAAGATGAGCACGAGCGTGACGAAAACTGCAAGCATGAGAAGCAATACTGGATCATCGTTGAGGCCTTCCATTCTGCGTAGATTAAAGAGGCCAGTGGAAAGCTCCCACAGGGAGAGGCTGGCTTTTGGAAAGTTCGTGAAAGCAGGGCTGCTGTGATCCAGCGCGCTGAAGGCGCTAGCAAACATGAGAATGAGGAACACCAGTGCTCCCAGGAATAGAGCTAGCTGCTCCAACACCTGAGCACAAGCGAGAGCAAAGGCTGCAAGACGCATCGATAAGACGGATAGACCGCCGAGGATGAGCCAATAGATGAGCATTGTCACCATGGACAGCGTTGAGTGGGCGTCCGTTACACGCGCTCCAGCTGCGCAGGTTTGCGTGAAGAGCTCGCCATCAGCATCGGCCAAGCACCAAAGCATCGGATCAAGAGCACATGTCAGCAAGAGGCAAAGCAGCAGCAAACCTTTCAAAAGATTCTGGACGTCCACGAAATAGGATGGCACGGGGACCATACTGAACCAAGTGATGCTGCCTTCTTTCCCTTGCTTGATGTTCTTGATCTCCGCACATAGCTGCCGGGCGTGTAGAACGAGTAGCTGCACCAGGTTGCCCAAGTAGACGACTATGCGGCAAGAAAAGGTTGCAATTCTAACGGGCGTATCTGGAACGCCACCGTTCAGATGCTGCAAGAAGGATTGACTGAGCATGAACACAAGCAAGAAAAACATGTAGACAAGGCGATCCAGCATGAAGAATCGGCTTGCAAGCCCTTTCCAAATGGTGTCAGAGACTAACAAGAGCACCGAATGACACGCCAGCTCAGTGTCCTGGCTCTCGGCCACCCATTCCAGCGCTTGGTTGAAGTTGCCATCAGCATCTTGAACCAGATGCTTCACATAGTAGTTTACGCGCCTCATACCATCCACGACAGCTCGAGACCGCCAAACCAAGCCATCCAGAAAAATGGGTACAAGATCTCGCGCGTGAGTAATCAGGTACTGCAAGATGTCTGGATGTCGTATGAACAAAGCATCACATCCGTAGAAGTACACTGTGCGATCAGCTCGGATGGTCAGCAGATCCTGTTCTAAGGACAACTGTCTGCACACGTATCCTGAATGACTAGGTGACGAAGTAGTTACGTACTAAACCAGAAAGCAGTTGAGCATGTTTGCCTGCGTCATATTAATTCAACCCAGTTCTCAAAGCCCCCACCTGAATCATGGCGCGGGCCACTTGCAAGCTTCCGTTGTCTATTGCCCAGTACAAGGGTGAGATGCTCTGCGTCCCGACCGTGATGTTCAAGAGCTGCGAAGAGCGCTTGCCCCGTGGAGCTATTGCGATCGCCTTCTTCAGAGCGATCGCATCGTCAGTGGTGACAGCTTTCATGACCAGTGTGGAGCCTGGGAAAGGAGGGAGGATTGGAGGGGCGTGAAGGGTGTGAAGCGGCTGGAGCTAGGAACTTCATGACATGACCTATGTGACCTCTCCAAACCCCTGTACACCGGCACAGACTGGCACACAGCCTTCGACGACGGTGCGCGTAAGGATCTGCCCGATGAGCGCGACAGACCAGCGGAAGGCCTCGATGACCAGCTCCGATGTTGTGACCTGTGAGACGGCCAAGGTAGCTGCCGTCACGAAGGGCGGGAAGAACTCCGTCGGTATGGCCAAGCCCACGTGTTTTAAGCCCAGCTCCGAGATCTGTCGGATGCTCTCTGTGGGATCCTCGAAGAGCGAAAGACTCAAATCGATGACCATCTGGGAAATGAAGTGTAGTCGCGTGCTCGACTGCTTGAAGTAGTCTTGGCCAGCAGGGGCTAGCTCAAAAAACTGCTCGTGGACACCTGTGCGGACCCGCTGCGCATCCTTCTCTGAAAGGTTCTCCTTGGGAAGAACAGCCGAGATGAGTATTGCTATTGGACTGCATGTGCTCAAGGTTGTCAAGTGTGGCTGTACCTATATTTTCCCTGTATAGCGTATATACATGTGTATATATGTATATAGGGGGGGGGGGGGTAGCATATGTATGTACATGTAGCATATATATATATACATATATATATATATACATGTATATGTGTATATGTATATGTATTGTGAAGTCGACCAGCACTGGACTTGCACTAAGCCAATGCAATCACAGCCCGGTCACGCTGTTTTACGACTTCGTGAGTCCAAGCACTTGTGCAGCTACGCCTGAGTGCGTCCGGTCGGACCGCACAGCAACCTAGGAGCTACTGTACGACTCTACCGTGCTCAAAGGCACAAGCTCGGTACTTGAGCCAAAATATTGGCATTGTTACGAATTGCAAAACTACACATGCAAGGGAAAACTACAAGCTGCACTAGCACTAAGCAAGCACTCCATGCATGCTTTGACCTGCTCACATTCGCCCCTCAGCCGAGGCTTCCGGCTCACCAAGAGCTCATAGTGCGTCAAGCACTTCAGCAACGCGGCAAATGGGGTAGGGTGAGGGTGTCGCGTGCGACTCTGGTAGAGCCCGCACATCATGAGCATTGGCATGCGGCTTGGGCGGCAGCCCGCACTACCGGACGGACGCACGACGACAGCAACCCTCCACGACCCTAAACCACCCCAAGTCGCGAGCTCTCACCTTTGTGCAGACAGGCGAGGCTCCAGAGTACTGGGCAGGTCTTTGTGCTGCTAGTGCAAGCTATGGTACAAGTGGTACACTGTACACTACCGGTCCTAAGCTACGGCTACGGCTACTCACCTATCCGGAACTACCCTACGGGCTACCAGACTCAGCGAGAGCCGCGCACATGGCTTGTGCCGCAGGCAATGCAGCTCACACGCGCTTCGGCGAGCGCATTGCCGCGACCAGGACACGGTCCGCAGCACCTGCAAAAGAGCACCCTCAGCACGAGGGGCCACAGGCAGGGCGGAGGAGAAAGGTGCGGGGAATGCAAAATGGGCAGGTTTCCAACCTGCCGCGGCTTTTCGCCCGCAGTCAAGCAAAAGAAAATGCAAAAGGTTGGCGAAGCAACGTGCCGTGCTGCAACGCCTGCTCTGATAATGCGTGGATGCATACCACGCCGCGCCGACTGGCCGCAGCCTACTCGATACCCTGTGGAGCAGTGTTGGGGGCACGAGTGGCGTTGCCAGCAACGTTGGAGCTACTGGCTCGCTCCAACTGAGGGCGCTTTGCGACCGCCTCATCGAGGGAGAATGCCTCAGCCGACACCCTCTGGAAATCCTCGATATAGGACTGCGCGACCGGGTGCGTCTTGGCGACCTCAAGCCTAAGCCCTGCCTCCGCATTGGCTTTGCTGCTTGTGGTAAAATTGAGGCTCCCAATCAGCACCACCGCGCCATCAGGCCGCAGTAGGCAAAGGGCCTTGGCATGGTGAAGCCCTTGGATACCGGTACCTACTTTAGCCCCGCGGCCGTCGCGAGCATAGGCGTCGCGCACGGATGAGCCGCAACCCACCTTCACCTCGGCGCCTGCAGCCGCCAAGCGTTTCAACGCTTGCCACTGCAGTTTGGTGCGGTGGCATTGTCCCATGTCGGCGACAATCCGAACGCCTGCGCCCTTGCTAAGCGACGCTTCGATTGCCTCGATGCAGGATGGGCAATCTAAGCTGTACGCCCGGATGTAGATCACATCCTCTGCTGCTCCAGACCCAAGCAGCGTTTGGGCGGCCTGAACGTATGGCCCGCCCGCAAGGAATTCCGCTTCTTTGACTGGAGAACTCCTAGCGGGGACTGGGCCCTTGTTCCTCCGGCTGGGTGTGCGCGCCACAGTGGCAGTGGCGGCACGTTGCACGAAGCCGGACTGTGCGTGGGCCGCGCTCGCTCCATCTGCTGGGGCCGCGGCCAGGTCACGACCCGCGAGCCCCTGAAAGCAGGAGACCTGGCGCCGCGCTTGCTACAATTCAGTCCACTGTGGAGTCCTTGGGGCCCATAGGTCTGCTGAGGTTACCGTCAAGCTGCTAGAGAGGGCAGTCTGGTGGCCCGACTTAGAGAAAGATGTGCGGACCTGGGTCGCCAAATGTCTCGCTT